CTATGATGACGACGTGCCTGGACCTGCACCAGCTCGTTGCTACACTTGTGGCTCATAAAGCGGTGAAAACGCATGAACACACATACATACACACATACTATACATACAGACATTTTCATTGGTAATAGAGCAGAAGTAGAAGCCTCAACCGCAGCTCTTCAAACAAAAATTAAACTTATATATATATTGTTGTTGTTGATATTTTTTCATATATATATATATATATATAGATGTATGTGTGTTGTTTTGGGTACTACTTGTAGTTTTATGCTGCTGCCAACATAGTAGTAGTTGGTCTTTTATGGTTTGGCCATAAGTTGGGGGGTGGCATCAAAGTTGGCCGTTGCTTTAGTAACTTCACTCTAAAAAAGTTTTGTTAACCATTCGGCAGAAGGGCAGCTGCTGCAGTGCGTATGTACACACACACACACACACACAAACACTTACATATACTTGTACATATATAGTATATGTGTGTGTATTGATGTACTTTTTAGTATGCAAAATATGGCCAAAGGCAATTTTTTCCTATTTAAAAACTTCGTCTAGCACGCACACACATACATATGTATGACCAAGGGCCTGGCTTTGCGATATGAATGGGAATATATATGTGCGTGTGTGTGTGTGCGTGTGTGTAGTGTTTGAAAACATCAAAAGGGCGGCACACCGTTGCTGTACTTGAGGTTTCTATGCTATATAATATATGTATATACTTATATATATATCCTATATAAATATATACATATATATATATATCTGCCAGCCTTTGAACCAAGAACAGCACACTGACTGGGGAAGGGGCCAATAAAGTGGCAGCATCACATTTGGGTCAAGCCCGACGACACAGAGCAACTTCACAAGGATACGCATGTGGCTGCCAGAGCAGAGAATAGTTCATTAGGCTAATAAGTTTTCACAAAGCAAAGATCTGGGGTGAGAAAGACAACAAATAATGGAGCAGCACCTGGGGCTTCGATTTAGATTACTATGATAATATTTACAACTTGTTGTTGGATTACATTATTGCTCATGCTGGCACATTCATTTATGCACGTTAAGCTAAAAATTAATTTAGATTAAATAGAAAATAATAATGAATAAACTCTTAATACCTATGATTAATTAGGCACATAAATACGATTGTCACAAGCACATAGGGTCCAACGCAAATTGGTTCTTAGTGATGCCAACTGTGGGTGATTGGTTTGAAAAGTAGTTTAGGAATTTGTCAGCATCCTACTGTGCTCTGGGAGAGTATTTTGCCGCCTCCTTCAATGAGGCACGCCTCTAAATGTAACGAGTGTTGGGCAGGGGCAGACGAGGTGTTCCAGAATTTCTTTCGCTTCTGTTTCCTTCCATTTCCTGCAACTGTCGTCTGCTGTGATGCCCATCTGTGAGTTGCAGGAGCGCAGTTGAGTTTTGGTCTACCTATGTGTGTCCTTGGCAGTGTTGTCCCTCTGCCAACCATCCTTTGTTCACAGCTAATGTGGAACTCAACTTGTGAGATATAAACCCCAATTAGGCTTCCTACTTACTGAAAAGAACTTATCCACTCAGTTACGGCTCATAAAGCCAATTCGGAAGTGAAGAAATCTGAACTATGTTTGTCTTTGTCCGACCAAAAAGCTGCCTCAACATCATCGGTCAAGGTCGGTCGCATCAGATGTGTAGAACTAAAGCTAAAGACCTTGGTTAGTTTTCCTATAAATCATATTTTTATTGTGATGGTGAAAATCCAATCTCTTTTGTTTCAAAGCTAAACATTTAAACGACTTTCCGAGCAACGGAAAATAACGCAATACTCTTTATGGAGCTGTTAGTGTAAATGAGTTTGAAAAATAATAATAATAAACAAAACCAAGCAAAGCGTGCTGTTGTGACTAAAATATTTCACTTTTATTTCATTGTACTTTATTTTATCTGCACTTCTATCCGTAAGCCAGCCCGTCAACGAGCACACACCTCTCGTGCACTTTTGCACTTACTTAACGCTCTGCCAGAAGTGCAACCATATAGCACCTGATTCCAGGGACTCATGTGAGTGTAACTGTGAGTGTGGGTGTGGCTGTGAGTGTCTGTTTGTGTGACGAATGTCAACTGCTGAGTGGGTGAGTTGTGTGTGAATGATGTGTGGGGGACACTTGAGCTCTAGTTGAACTCTGGAGTGACTAAACCGCCAGACGCCCTGCGAAATCGACACTAGGGTCGGACCGAGTCGCCCAAACACTCGAAAGCTGCCTAAGCAGCTTACCAGCTTCAATATTGTGGGTTTGGTCCCACTCGTCCCCCGTCGTCTCCTCAAATCGCTCACGACATCAGGAAACAGCAGTTCAAATACTACAAATAGAGCACGTTCCTCTGTCATACTACAAGTATACTACATAGTAGGTACACTCATAGATAAAAAACAATATAAGATACACAAGCAAACGAACAAACAAAAATACATTCAATATTTCATTTCTTACACAAAAGACACCCAAATGCTTATACAGTCAACAAAACGAGAATGTGTTGTAAAACGAATTTCTCAGTGCAATAAAAAATAATAGAATTTCCCACAATTTTTAAAACCATCCCATCAATCAAGTATTTTACGCGCTATATCTTTTTCTTTTGTGCCACTTATTCTAACACTAAAGCATACCGTTTTTAATAAACTCTGCAATTGAATTAAATGAACCTCCTTTTGTGGCAATTAAGTTGTTCTTTAGTTCGAGTTGGCTAAGAAAGTTGAATTACTTCATTACTTTTTAAATTTTGGTTGCGTAAAAATAACAAACAGAAACTCTACAACAGATATTATATGAATTTTAAGTTGTTATCTCTAAACTTAAAGATTAGGTCGTCTTTTTCTTGAACTCCAATTACCATTTGTTTATTTTTTTCTTCAACTACAGAAGAAAGAAATACACCTTTTTGAAACTTTACAAAAAGAAGTCTACTCCTCTTTATATCAGTACAGACCTATTTAAAAGCTATGCACATTTTAGCTAGGTAGTAGATCCGTCTTATCTATCAGCACAATATATGGACAAATGGAACTTCTATTCCGGTTTTAATTTATTTTACTGCGATTCGCAACGGAATTTTGTGAAATTCTTATTTTGGCAATCGCTTGATTTGTTGGCGAATGAAACAAAATTTGTACCTTCCAGTTACAAACTGGTTTTTCTCCTTCCACTTTCTTTCGCGACTCTTTCTTTATCGACATTCGCGCAAAGTTTATTTTTAAAACAATTTTGTTTGTTCTTTGGGTAATTGAGAAAAAAGTGTGCGTTGCATTTGGCATTTACTAAAAAAAAAGGTGAAAAAATGCATCAAAAATACAACACAAAAGGGGGAACTTAAAAATCGAAGAGTGTGGTTTGGGAAGGCAGGCTGACTAGCTTCCAAATAAAAGTATAAGTTATTCGCAATAACAATATCACATTTTATTATTTTAGAAAATTAGTATAAGCGATATTTTTCGCTTAACCTTCTATTTTTTTTTGCAATTTTTTCTCCATTTCACAATTTTGTTTTTTTGTCATTAGACAAAATTTGGGAAAACTAGGAAAACTAGATAAAGGTTCATTAAAATTGCAATTTTTCCAACAATAAGCTTCTTATCAGTTTATCAGAATATTTCTATTTGTATATAGTCCAGGGTGTCATAAAACTGATGAATATATTTTGTGTTACGTGATAAGATTTCCAAGTCTATCAGTCGGCTTATCAGTCGAAACAAATTACAAATAGTACGTTGCGGCAATATCGTTAGTAACGTTTAAAATCTACATACTATACATAGTATTCATGTCTACTATACATATTTCGGTTGACAATTTGGAGTGCAAAAAATGATATTCGAAAATAAAGATGAACAACATCGCTCTATTCATACTCTACATTTAAATTGAACCTTTTAGAGCAGTGACAAATGCATATAAAACATTTAGCTCTAAGAATTAGTCCTCGACTCAAATTGCTTTTGTTTTGATTCAGATTCTAGTTTAAGGATAAACTACGCAGCTAAAGTAGATTTCCGAGTACGACATTAATATCTAATTATAATATTTAAGAACAATTTGAGAGTTACTTGAACAAGTCAATTATTTTGCAGAGTTGAAAAAAATATATTATATTCAACACCAAACATATTAACATAAAGATCTGTTTATTATTATTCATCGATTAGATTATCTTTCTTTACGTTGTTATAGAATGCCCTCGACTATTAATTTCTTACCCTTTAGCACGTAGTTTCATAGAAGACCTATGCGGTTAATGAAAGGAGAGCTTTTGGTCCGTTTAAAATAATCATTCTTCTATCATATATAGCTACTTGTATAAGTCGGTAGCCTAATCTGTAGATTGTCTATAGCTACACAAATGATGTATGTATTATGTAGGGTTTGTATATAGTGTAAGTAAAAACGTGTTATAGATCATACATATATGATCGGCAGGACAAAACAAATCGATATAAACATGTCCGTCGTCCATCTGTTCGACTGTATGAACGTCGAGAACTTTTGAACCATAACAACTAGGGATAATAAACTTGGTTGACTTGTCTTATCCATATGCAGAGCAAGTCTATACAAACTATACAAACCATGAAGACATCTTAACCAATTCTGGTAGCTATGAGCTTTGTATAGTGCTTCACCATAACCGGAAGCCATAGGAACGATCCGTGCAACAAAATGTATTTCATTTGAATGGCTGTAGGGAGAAAAAAGGTACACAAGAGTCGGGCTAGCACAAGTTTTATGTTCTACTGGCTTGTTTTAGGGACGTTTGATTGTAGAATTTTGTTGAGTGTATGCCATGGTACCTGACTCTTGCGGCTTCTATTGTTTATTGCCATCAGACAACAGATATATGTATGTTTTTACGAAAGTGTTTGTTTGTTTGATTTGACGCCAGAGTATCCGTTTATTCAACAATATTTGTTCTGTCATTTTTTAACCTCAACCCATCTCTGTTCTCTTTTTGTTTTTCATATGCAGCTATGACGGAGGAAATAACTGGCAATTGGAGCTATTATGTGTACATATCACTAACATTGGTTCCAGTCTATTTGGCATTTCAGCTCATTAAATTTTTGGGCTGGCGACTATTCGTGAACAACTGAGCAAATAAAGAGCAAATAACTAGCGAGAGTATTGAAGAGAAGCAGCGGCCCCAGGCCCAGGCAGGAGACAAGCAGCCGGGAGGAGTTCGAAAAGGTGCGTCGTAATAGTTATATAGTCAGTTGATAGAAGCAGTTGCACGTTGCGGTTGTCAGTGGAATGCACGGCAGTGGCAGCAACAACCCAAACAACACTTCAGGCAGTCAGTCACTCACGCACACCACACACACTCAAGTCAGTCAGAGAGTCAGTCATTCATTCAGTTAGTCAGCCAGCTAGACTGCCAGACAGCCAGACTGCCAGGCAGACAGCCGACAGCCGACAGCAGAAATAATTTCAAAACTATTTAAATATGCTTATGGCTCAACTTTTTCACTTGCAGGCAAATTGCAAATCGCGCGCAGCAGACACAACGCTTCGCAGTGGGGACGAGGGGCAGACAGAAGCACGAGCAGAGGAAGCAGCATCTGTTGGCGCCATTGGATCGCTGGCGAAGGGAGGCAACTAACTAAGCAGGCAACCAGCCAACGAACCAAGCCATCTATCCATCCATCCATCCAACTATCTATCTATCACAATCCACTTTGGCTGGGAAAGTTTTGTGAAGTGGCGGCTGTTGAGGAGATTTTTCAGACGCAACGCGTGCAATCCTTTCAAGCAAAATAATGCGCCGCATGTCATAACAAAGGGAATAAAATAAAAAAAAATTGCCTAAGTAAATATGTTTAAAATGCAATAAAAACAACAGTAGTGGTGGAACAAAAAGAGGCGATAACCGCATAAAAATAAAGGACAGCGCCAAAGCTCAACATTGCTCCTAACAGCTGTTGTGAGCATTGTGCAAACAAAAGCGAGGAAATGCAAAGCAATCAACGTCATCAGCAGCAGCAGCAGCAGTATCAGCAGAAGGAGCAGCAGAAGCAGGATCAGGAGTACAGTGGCTGCCGACGCAGACGAAGTCATTGCGGTGGCATATCACAACAGCAACAACAACACGCCGCACAGCTCTAAGCAAGTCAAAGCGCCAAAGACCAAACACGAGCCCCAGAGACCGAGCAAAAAAAATACAGAAAAAAGAAAGCAACTCACTCAAAAAAAAGAGGAGAAATGAAATAAAAGTGAAGCAAAGCCAAAAAAAAAAAGAAATAAACAAAAAAAACAAAAAAAAACACAGAAAATACTGAACGGCCATCAACGACAGGCAACGCATCAGGAGCAGGAGCAGCAATCCCCATCATCATCATCATCATCAGCAGCAGCATCACAAGTCCAAGTTACAGCTGGACCGGACGCAACGTTTTGTGCAGTCAAGTGTGCGTGTGTGTGTGTGTGTGTGGGTGTGTGCGTCAAAAGAAATAGCATCCGGGAATAGGAAGGAACTGCTGAAGGATCAAACCCACGCTCGCACTTGCAGTGGAGAGTGGCTGTCGCACTGGCAGTGGCAGCCATAAGTGAGTCAAACGCAAGAAACTAATTTACATATTTAAGCTTTTGGCAAACGAAGCAGGGCAAGGCAAAAGCAAAACCAAAACCACTCACTAGACAGACAGACGGACGGACGGTCGGACGGCACTCAGAAAGGTGTTGGTCCTAAATAACCGCCTCCTGTGCTGCGCAATCATCAGTGTGTCATACCAGAAAGAAGAGACCCATACAAATCAAAAAGCAGTTAACTACCAAATTCAGAGCCACCTACCTACCGACCTACCTACCTGTAAACAAAATACAGCCAAGCAAGCGACAACAACAAGTAGCAACAACAAGACTACTGGCTAAAGTACATTAAAAATCGGAATATACCTAGGCGGGCCAACTGGCAAAAGGGTCGGAAAGGATACCCAAAATCTACCGTGCAATCAATAAACCAATATAAATAGGCAAACACAAACAGATAAATAAAGCTAAAAATAAAAAGAAATCGAGTGAGAGGCACGGGAGAGGCAGAAAGAAGAAACTCCGCCTTGTCATCGAACATATTGCAAATCAAAAAGCAGTTAGCTACAACACTCGAGACACACGCACACACGTGTGTGTACAAACATACACACATACATACGAATATATATACATATATATAGCCCATTCAATATGCGTCTGCCCTATCGCAATAAAAAAGTCACCCTTTGGGTGCTCTTCGGCATCATCGTTGTCACCATGTTCCTATTCAAATTCACTGAACTGCGGCCGACATGTCTATTTAAGGTTGATGCGGCAAATGATTTGCCATCCCAGATGGTACGAGTTGAGGTACGTATTGCAGTAATCGTATACGTAATCGTTGTTATTGTTGTTATGTCGTTCCCATTCCTTCCCCAAGTATGCAAGCATATCCCCTCTACACACACACAGAAACACACACACATACACATGTACAGTCAAATCCCAATAATCCGAGAAGAAAATCCACATTTCAAATCTGGCATTGTCTAGTTGAAAGGAAAACGTGAAGTTTAGCATCAAATTATCTGCCATTAAGTCTCATTTATTTTTGCTTTATGCTACTTGTTTTTAATCCGATGTGTTCTTTATTTCCCCCTTCCAATCCAAATACCGTACAAATCGCTTTTAACTCAAGCTCGATTTATACCATAATACTGTAATCAATAGAGCCAATTTAAGAAGTTAGGCTTCACAAGATTTAGGCATAATATTTGAGTCGCTTGATAAAAGAAATATTGCATTTGATAAATTATATACTGAATCTACTTGTATACTAATTTAGAGACAAAGATGTCCGAACATAGCTTATAAAGGTTATATTTCGCTTTTAATTTCAATCAGTATTATTGCCTATTTCCACACAACCAAACTAATCAGATTGCGTTCCTAATCCAATCCAGAGACTACAAAAAATATGTAGTGTATAGAGACAGAACCAACTTTATTAAAGATAGGAATGATTGGCACAACAAACTTTATTTTAGTTTAAAACTGTAGTGACGAAATGAAGGGTACAGGGTATTCAAAATGGACTTGGACTTGGAAGAATTTAACGTTCTACTCTTTTCCTTTTTGTAACTAGGCAATGTCTTTTAGATACTGTGGAACCAAGTATGCTGTTTCATTTATTTTTAATATTTAGAACTGCAACATTTATTTTAATTAAATTCCGACCGTTAGAAAAATTTCATAATATATATTCCCACTACCCGATAGACATTTTAAATGCACTGACGGCCACATCATTCATTGAGTTGTTTCGAAAACACAATTAATGTCTTCTGCAAACTGTAGAATACGTTGAAATATTCCTGTTAAATTTTGTTGTCATATTTAAGTCAAACATCCTTATCGAAAACCATCTTCCTTAATCTCATCGTCAGTAAATTTCACTTTTCAAACTAATGCCTAATATATTCATATATCACTGAATATGTCGACAAGTACACTTTTATTCACATTATTTAAACAAATTTTTCAAAATTGTGCCCCAACCGTAAAAGTACTTTTAAAAGTCATCGTCCAACAAATTATTTACAAATTTCCTTAAAGTGTCTTTCAAAAACCTCAACAAATGTTTGGAAAAAGATAATTACAATTGTTAAGCAAAAACAATAGACGAATGGAAAATGAATTCCACGAAACATAAACCAAAAAATATTGTCGATCTTAAAAATCTGAAATGTTAAGTTCGATTCTTATTGAAACAAGTGCGAAATTCTTGAAATATATTAATTAAATGGAGCACTGACTTCTCTAACAGATATATTCCTCATAGAACACAAAACAAATTTTCTTATGATATTGTTATTGTTTAATTAGAAACTAAAAACATATGCTTAATAAGCTAAAGCTAGGCCCAAATGCATCTTAATGTCATTTTTTTCAGTGCAGACATTAGGCAGAAAAGAAACTTTAAAAGCATAACAGCATTTTTAATGAAATTTTCAAATAATATGATTCTGTTACTGATCGATCCTTTAAAGCCTATATAAAATAATGACGCTTGACGTTTGTAATAAATTTTCTGTACACATGGATGAGACAAATCCACATACGAAGTTTGCAGTTCATAGCTACAGTTGAAAAGTTCTCGATGCTCATACAGAAGGACATGCCTATGTCGACTCGTCTTATTATGTTGAACACACCTTCTGCTGCCTTTTACGCGCATTTTTTGCATTTTGTCTACAAATAGCGAGAAATAAGTACAAAAGCAGTCGAAATAGGACGTTTTTGAATTCCCAGAATTCGACATTAGAAAGCAACAAAACATCTACCATATGCTACGCTAACTAGAGTTTACTGTACTATATATGTATAGTATATGAATAAACAGGAAAGCAATGGGGTAAGCACGCAACTCGAGTTTATTTACACTCGAGCGCATGAGTTTATGTCCAAGCACTATGCGACAACGTCGGTCTTAGATGACTGACTGACTCTGCTTCTGATAGAAGCGAAGGGAGAGACAGACTTACTCGTACATATATACTGGTCGTATGTACATACGTGCTGGTGCATACCATGATTGCAATGATAAATTACATAACACTGTAGTAGCGCCAAAATGGGGGGGTTTCAAGCTTAAAAGCTAAAGACCATAAAACGAAACACTGGCAACAAAAAGCAGGGGGCAACAAGAAACAAAAAAAAACAAAAAAAACAACAAAAAACAAAAAAGGATAACTATGTAATTTCATGTTTGGTGCACACACGCGACCGGCTGCTCGTTATGCAAAGTCATTTCAACGGGACCGTGCTGTTCTGGTCGGGACAGGTCAGGTCAGGTCAGCTTTCACACGCACACATACTCACACACACATATATATATACAAGTATAGACAATTATAGTTAATGGTAAAAGGCCGGTCAGGCAACCAGAATGTGCTGGCCTTAACACAAGCTTAGTTGAACCCACTAGGAAGAACTGCGCTGTCATCACATCATTCCAACAAGGATAGTCTTTTATTAGCTGACACTATCCGTATGTTATTAATCTCTTCCCATTCCTACGATTCGGCTGTAGTTGTAAAGTTGTAGTTGTAGTTTGCAGCAGTTTGTTTTACAACTTTGCAAAAGACTTTGATTCTAATTGCTGCAGAAAAATTGCTGAGGACAAAAACGGAGATTTAACAGTGAATGCCACATCAATTGAAATACTTTTGTGATTTTAAATTAAGCTGAAAACGCTGCTTCTAATTCCCTCGTTAAACTTAGTTTTTTTTTTTTTTGTGATAAGCTTGTTTGTCTGTATGAACGCTAAGAGCTCAAAAAGTATTATAACTAGATTAGCAATTGTTAATTAGTCCTATAGTGGAAAGGCTTATGTTTTTCTTAATCTTAATGCAGTTACTTTTGCGATTTAAGACGTAGCTGGAAGCCCCGACTCAAATTATCTCTTCAAGTTTTCTTTTCTGGAGATAAGTTGTCCGTCTGTATAAACGCAAAGTATGTGGGAAATATAGTATAACTATTATAGTATATTGGTAGCTTTGTTTGTCTGTATGAACGCTGAGAGCTCAGAACGTATTCAGACTAGAGTAGCAGTTGGCACTAAACCCAATAATGGGTAAGCTTCTGTTTTTCTTATTTCCAATTGAAATACTTTTGTGATTTAAAATTTAGCTGGAAAACCTGATTCAATTTCCTTCTTTAAACATTGTTTCTTTTTTTTTGCGGCACTCGACGCTTTTGCCTTAAGCCTGGAGACGAGGCGTGCGCTTTTGAAAACAAACGTCTTGCGCCTGCATTATCAACGGCCATATGATGCCAGGCGAGGAGCAGGACAGCCAGACAGCCAATCCTTGCTGGCGTTGTCATTTTTCAAGCAGATTACGCCCAAACATACATACATACATACATACATCTATATATGTATATGTATGTATTTATATAAGAACACGGATAGATAGAAGCGATGAGAGATGGGAATATAGGAGCTGAGAGAATTGGCGCAGCTTTGGCGCTAATGCAAATGCGTTTGTTGTTGCTACGCATAATCCTTGCGGCAAACGCCGCCACAATAAGCACAGTTTTAGGCGCCTTCACATTATGGGCTCAGGCCTCGGGCTCTGAGCCAGTCAGCCAGCTACACACTTTTCATTTTGCATAACGTGTGGACGGGACGCGCGACTAGAGAGGGGAGAGAGGGGGTTGGTGAGGCAGGGGAAGGGCAGAGGCTGATGGCAAATCCTTTAAATTGACATTAATGCTACTTGTGCGTCAAAAGTTGAGCGGTCTGGGCGGGAAGAAGTGTCCTTCAGTAAATTTCAATGCGCCTACACAGCACACCTGTCCATGCATGTGTAGGTATGTGTGTGTAGGTGTGTCATGCAAACACCCACTGAAATTGAAATTCAGCTGCCAACACGTCAGCGCCATCATCATCGTGCTCGTCATCATCATCATCATCATCGCCATTGTCGTCATCAGCAGCTGCCTGCAACTTTTCTCTAATTTCATTTTTTTTTTTTTTTTCACACCCCACCATTTGGTTCTAGCGAGCCCAGACCAGACCAGGCCAGACCAGCCCTCCCTCTCCCTCTCTCATATAGTTGCTAAGCACACCCGCACTCTCTCTCTCTCTCTCTGCTTATCATTGTCTCTCTTGTGTTCTCTCTCTCTTTAGAAATACCTCACAGATGACAATCAACACGTTTATTCATACAACCGAGAGATGCCATTAATATTCATAGGCGGTGTACCAAGATCTGGAACGACATTGATGCGCGCCATGTTGGATGCGCATCCCGATGTGCGGTAAGTTGGCTTTCCCCATTACCCATTACCCAATTTACCACTTACCATTGCTGCTCCTCCTGTTGTTTGCCAATGTCCTTCTTGTTGCTGTGGGCTCAGCCACCATTTTTTGTTGTTCTTCTTTTTTTATGTGCATATTTATTATTATTATGTATGTATGTATTTTGTTTAGTCTTTACCCACCAGTCGGGGCACCTACGCTCTGTCTACGTGCGTGCGACCCATCATTTGTCTGTGTCCCATTCATTTTGTAGATGACAGACCCCCTGGCCCTGCCCCTGCCCCTGCCTCTGCCCCACTGTCCACCCCATTCCCAGTGTCCCACAAATAAGCGCTGGGCAGGGGCTTAATGTTTACCAAAGTTTGGGGCCAAGGATTTTTGGTATGATTTGTGTTTTTTGTGTTTTCAATTTCAGGTGGACTTCTCCCCCACTCGCCCGCTAAGTTATTGTGTCCTACGACAAAGAAATTGTCTTTATTTTTAGATTTTTATTACGAGTATTATTATTTTCACAATAGCCGGGCTAATTAAAAAACGCACAAACTAAAATGAGCATCGCCAGGGAGGCTGACAATTAAAATCAGCAGCCTTACAAAATTTGAGACATGTTCAATAACAATAGAGAATGTTGGAGACGAACAAGCCCGACAATGAAATACCCTGGACCCTAAATGAAATTCCTTCCCAGGGTCATTTCTTACAATAGACCGATCACATTTTAAATAGAGATAGGGACTTACAAATAAATGCCATATGTACAAAGTTTAGTTCAGATAGTGCTATAACGGAAACAGTTGAGCTAAGTTATAGGTTATATAGGTGTTTTGGTTTTTATAGGTATGCTTTCATACCGGGCAGTATTGCCAATTAATTATGTTATTTTGACAACCTCGATTTTTGGTAGCAAAGAACCTCCTGCTTCTCAGTGCTGGGTAATGACAGAGAAGCCTATCTACGCCCTCTATAGCTTCTAATATTTTGAATCATTGAATGCGATGATAAGTCTGGCGGCACGATCCTTTAATCCTTTTTCGTTTGAGAAGCTTCGTTGTTGTCCAGCCTTTCTTGAACACACAGATTAGTACTTTACCAGAGACGCTGATTTGCTGGATTATCTCGTTAAGAAATCTACGGCAGTTATCTAAATGGGAATCAACTGCGTTCAACGACGCTTAGCCGGAGTATATACTATGTATATAGCTGTCGATAGTTTCGATAGATGTCGCGGTAACTTCGACCTGGGTTACGGGAGTCAGGTCTGTAGAGTAGATTTCTTCTCTGACTCTTCCTCTTAGATTTGAGCCATTCCTAAATACGTCGACGGAAGGGGAAAAAATCAAATAACCTCGTGTATTATTCAGGCGGACGAACGGACATTTCTAGATCGATTTGTCTCATCATGTTGCTTCAGAGTATAACTTATGGGCTCAAGAATCTTGAGTCAAGATGCTTCCTTCTGGTTGTTACATGCTTTGCACTAGAGTCGGTAATATTTGTTGACCTTCGACACAGTTCTATCACCATGGCTCTATATTTGGCCTGATTTGCAATGGATTATATGAAGTTGCTATAGATGTTATAATAATCCTCCCTCTTCTAAAAGTCCTTTCATTTACAGATTAAGAAAAAAGCTGAACATCTCTTAAACACACTTGCTAAACAGCACTCTGTGGCTCATTGAATAGATCTGCTGGAGAACTTGCCAAGTCTGAGCTAAATCTAAAATAGCGCACAACAAAATCTGATAAAGCAGAACGAGTATAATGCGATTTTCGAAAAGTTCGTAGTAGAGTGTTAAATAATTGAGAATCAACGTAAATGTTCCGTAATTTTACAAATGCCTGTCGCCCGAGCTCACATTTTCAAACATTGTGTGCCATCATCTCGTAATTTTGACGCGATTTTTCGTTTACTTGCCATTGGGCGATACATACTATATACATATATATACTTGTATGTATGAGTGTATAACGTGTAGGCATTACATTATAATTTACGTGTCTATCTGGCTGCCAACTCATAGCCATCATGGGAGGCCTGTGACTGTGCTTGTGCCTGTGCTCGTGCCCGTGTCCTTCGTCCCTTTGACACTCCCCGCTGGCCATTGCCTGTCACAACACGAATTAGATTATTAAGTTTTCGTTACGCATGAGTAATTAGCCACGAATTTTTGCGCTGCACAAAGATCGTGTTTGGCCTCCGCTCTGTGTAGATTTTCATCAAACATTTCCATGGCTGCCTTCATGCTTCTTTTTTTCCCCCCATTTCAGTACCCATTTTTTGTTTTTGTGCTTTCTGTGTTTCGCTGGCGCTTATTTTATTAACAATTTGCCTTTTTGTAGGCGTGTGCGAACGAACTTGCCTTCTTTCTTTTTTATTAAATATATATGTGTATGTATGTATGTATGCATGCTGTTGTCTGGTACAGCGCAATTTCCGCTATTTAAAAACTTACTTCCGTTGCCATAAACTGTAGTGTAGTGTGAAGGATGCGGGCGAGCTGAATGGTTGTAGAAGAGTCTGCCAGATATATGTATATACATACATATATACTCGTATATGTATGTAGGTAGTACATCTGAGTACATCTGATGGAAGCCAGTTCTATGGGCTGGCTTTTGCATATGACATAAAAAAGATATACATACTTACATACATAAGTGATGTGCATATAGGTGCATGTCGGCTTTTAGGTGCGCATAGGTAGTGGTAGTGGCTGCTCCCGGGTAACCTGTCACCTTGCATTGTGTTTGACAGATGTCAGACAGAGAGATAGACAGACTGGCAGACAGACAGGCGTGTCAGGCAGCACAGCCATGTGACATGTTGCAGTTATAAAGTTTACATTTTAAAGTTACACAAAATGCTAGATTATGACTGTCATGATATTTGCAAAGCGCAGCAAATGACTTTATGATACGACTACTTCATACATTCATACACAGAGAGAGAACCTGCTGGCTTTTGACCCGAGTGTCGCCGCAATTTGCATTTCCCGCTGTGTAACAGTGTTTGCTTTGCTCTAGCCTTTATCCAGCTTTTGTTCAAAATTTTGCCATTCAAATTGGGTCGTCGTTGTAATAATGCCTTGAGTTCGCAGCTTCATCTAAGACGTTACAATTCTGCTGCCCAACTAAATGCCACACAGAAATTGTGAAGCTACTTTTCGGGTGATGTAACTAGATAGCGGCATCAACGAGTATTAAATTAATGAAATGGCTTGTATTAGAATTTCAGAGATGCCTCTACTTTTGTCTCTATTTGGCTTTGATTTTAGTACAAAAATTAAATTGGAAAGAGTCAAAGTACATGCAAGAAAGTCTGCAGGCAAATGTATGTAACAACTCTATTGATATACGAGTAAAATAAGCATGATGAAACGACTCTATATCGGTCCGTCCGTCCTTTCATCTGTTCGACTGTATGAACACCGATTTCTTTGGAGCCACAACAGCTAGGTGCAACAAACTTGATATGTACACTTGTCTCATCCATATGCAAAGCAAGTTTATTACAAAATGTGTATAGCTTCTTTATTTTATTTAGCTGTTATACAAAAGAGAGGTGGACAAATCGCTCTTAGTAGGATAATGAATTTGTTTATAAATATATCTGAAGCAAGCCTGTTAGCTATTTATTCTGGCTCATTATATTATGAAATTTCAAAAGAAATCGGCATACTATATCATATATCTGCCCTATTATTTGATTGGTATAGATAATGCTAGAGTCAAGCCTGGTCCAACTTGTCGTTTTCCAATGAAACCACTCAACGTTTTATTTAAACGAAGAGCAAAATATCCAGCAGTATTAAAGGAATTTTCTGTATAACTATATACTCGTACATACATACAAGCATTCTTATTACATTTCCATTGTAATTTGCTTTATCCATAAATCGAAACAAGAATCAATGCTGGACTATGCAGCTGGCTTCGTTAGTTCGTTGCTTCGTTTGCGTTCATATCCTCGTCCTGACTGACCCACTTACATGGGATGCTTAAATGTAGCCAAAGAGCCAAAGCTATAATTTAATTTCCCGCATAGTTGTTGGGGGAGGCCACGAACCATTACGAGTATGTACAGCTAAGATGAAGTTAAGGACCAAGCCAACTAGAGTTACTAAATAGATATATATGCTGTTGCTTCTTTTTTTTTGCTTTTGTTTTTGTTTCCGCCTTTGGCGCACATCGCGACAAAGTTATGGCATGGCTTCCTGTTCTGCCACTATCCCCTTGCCGCTATTCCCCAGTCCCTTTCTCTGTCTCCGTCTCTATCTATGTCGGCGTGTCTCTGTTTTTCCTCATCAAGCCATTGTATGCACATGTGGCAAAGGCAGGCATTTATATCGAGAGCGGGAGGTTCGAGTTCTGCCCATTTCAGCAATGCTATATCAAACAACGGAGTTCTTTTAAACATTGTCTGCTTTCATATTCTCTCTTTCCCCCCAACACACATACACACACACACACACACACACACACAATGCATGGACACAGTTGCGGGCAGGAGACGCGCGTCATACCGCGAATTCTGCAGTTGCGCTCACATTGGCTAAAGTCCGAAAAGGAATCGCTGCGCCTGCAGGAGGCTGGCATCACCAAAGAGGTCATGAATAGTGCCATTGCACAGTTTTGCCTGGAAATCATAGCAAAACATGGCGAACCGGCGCCACGTTTATGTAACAAGGACCCATTGACGCTGAAAATGGGCTCCTATGTAATCGAACTGTTTCCGAACGTAAGCGAACACAGACATTCCATTACTTTCTCCCCCACCACTCTGATGATGACTAACACCTAACTCCGTCGCTCTTCTCTCTCCCCAAACACATCTCTGGCTCCTCGCTCGCCAACAGGCAAAATTTCTATTCATGGTACGGGATGGACGAGCCACAGTTCATTCGATTATCTCGCGCAAGGTGACAATCACCGGTTTCGATTTGACCAGCTACCGGCAGTGTATGCAGAAATGGAATCATGCCATCGAGGTGATGCACGAACAGTGCCGGGACATTGGCAAAGAGCGCTGCATGATGGTAAGTACTGTTGCACACCCAAATAGTGAAACACTCGAGGCACTCCGAAGTCACCAAACCAAAGCAAATCAGAACACCCCGCCACACCTCAATTCACAAGTCACCTCGTTTCGTCAACTCTTCTATTTCAGGTTTATTACGAACAGCTTGTATTGCATCCGGAGGAATGGATGCGTAAAATATTAAAATTCTTGGATGTGCCATGGAACGATGCAGTCCTGCATCACGAGGAGTTCATCAATAAGCCCAACGGTGTGCCGCTATCCAAGTAAGCATAATCCACCAGAGTTGTGTACCTTCCCATCAAATATAAACTTAAGAAATGCTTCACTAAAGTTATTAACTTAAGAAATGCTTCTCCAAATTTGTTGCTGTGTTCCGACCCTAGAATGAAGAGCACACTTAAAATATAACTAGAAATTAAAGAAAAGTTCAGACTGCAAAGTAAACTTAACTTAACCTTACTTAACTTCACTTAAAAACTAACATGCAGTTTTTAAGCATCTCAGCAAAATATAAAATATTTGCCATATAATAACATATATCAGCTCATCGTATTCGTAAGACCACCGCTTGCTAACGTTCCTCTTCTAGTCTAGTGTTTAATGTAGTTTAAAAATGCCGACAAACCTTGGGACTTGCAAATACAGTAGAGAATACTAAAAAACTTTAGAGATAATTGGCTTTACCTTAAGCGAGTTATACGATAACAAAATGTTTTGGAAGTTTTCGAAGGCAAATACAAGTAGTAATGGAGACAGAGAAAGTTAGGAAAGGCAATAAAATTTAAATATTTAAAGCTTATTATAAAATTGAGCTTAAATGAAAATATTTTCTTTAATTGGATTTCAGAATATTGTTGCCAAAACAATTATAAGAAATAAAAAAGTTAATGCACCCAAAACAAATATCAAATAAATAAAGTTCTTAAGCTTCATTTTAGTTTTCTGCACCTTCAAAATCAAATGTGCTTTTAATTTAAAAAAAAGCATTTTAGTTTCTCCAAAATGTTTGAAAAATGCTTCGTTAAGTGCAATTAGAACACAATTCAAATGAAAAGTGTAGTCTTTTACTTAAACGCTTCACCCCTGGATAAAAAAAATTGGCTAATCAAATGGAAAAGCAACTCAAAAATGCGAGCATCTACACTAAATACAAACTTGTGCAAATCAAATGTAATCAAAATTAGAAACCGCACACCTTTAGGTTTAACATTTGTTGGCTTTCTGCCTCCGCCTCTGCCAAAAATAATAATACAATAAAAAAAACAACAACTGAACAAAATTCAGATGCATAAAGTATAGAAATAAAATCATTGGTAGAGTTAACAAAAAAATACTTGAGAGACAAATTTGTACATTTTTTTTTTCAATTGAACATACAAGTAAAACAGTTGAAATAAGTAACAGCACACTTTTAGACTTCTTTTTACGGTTTTATTAGCCTTTGCCAGGCTCTAAAATAAGTTGTAAAAATTTAATAAAATCAGGCACATTTAATATTTGCAAAGCAATTGTTGAATATTTGCGGCAAACATTTCATTTCTCTCTCCAAATGGGCAAATAGGCAAAATGGTAGAAATTTGAAAGTAAAATGAACAACAGCATGCTTTTAAGTTTCTCTATCGATTGCAGCCTTAAAAATAATTGATTTAAAATTCAATAAATGCAGAAAATCTAACAAACAATTCAAGCAGCATAAAAAGCTACTGGCTTGCCTGGCGTACACAAATTAAATAGGCAATAGCATACTTTTGGATTCCACTTCCCGATTTCCCTGTCTATGCTTAAGAATAATATTTTGTTTTGTTATACTTGAAAACTATCTTAAATGAAAAAGGAAACCAACAATTATACGAAAATGCCAAACAATGTAGTTAAGAACCAATTAGTCCGGAATAGACCGCGCATAGCTCTAATAAAAAAGAAAAATGCAACTTGAATGAAGCTTTGCATTGCTAATCGCTGTGATACTAATATGAATATATCTGTTTGTGTATTTGTCTGAATACAGAGTGGAGCGCTCATCGGATCAGGTCATCAAGCCTGTAAATTTGGAGGCCTTGTCGAAATGGGTGGGACAAATGCCCAACGATGTGGTGCGAGACATGGCAGACATTGCACCGATGCTGTCTGTGCTCGGTTATGATCCGTATGCAAATCCGCCGGACTATGGTAAGCCAGATGCTTGGGTGCAGGACAATACGTCTAAGGTATGTGCAAATAAAACGAACACGAACACAGACACAGCTACGCATGCAACTCACCTGTGCATATGTTTAATTCCACTTCTGTTCTTTGCTTACTTCCCCTTACTTCCCCTATGTGCATATTGTAAAAATGTCAAGGAAGCATGGCACAGGCCAGCAACCACACAAGGGAATCCCCAAATCCCATATTTTGTATGGGTGTGTGTGTGTGTTTGTTTGCTTGTGTGTGTCCATGTGTGCTGGCTTGCCTCTTCCTTTTCCTTTTCCTTTTTTTGACCATTGGCACTTCTTGCTCGCACGAGCATTTCCTTCGAATTGCTTCTACTCTGCCTCTTTCCCCCTTTTTGTTTTCACATTTGATTATGTGTACGTTTGTGTTTGTTTGTTTGTTTATTTTTGCACGCGCCTTTACCTTTTTTAATCACGCACTTGATATCATACAATACGTTCTATATTTAAACAGACTTCAAAATGCACAAAACAAGAAACAGACATATCGCTGGCAAAGCTATGTTGAATAATATACCTAAGCTATTAGATTGTGAAAAATGTTCCAATTTTAGAGATTTTATTATTATTTTTCCTACCATTTAGATTTAAGTTTCTTTGGCCACTTAGAGTGGAGAGCGTATGCGCAGGATTTGTTTAAAAAGATGTTAAGAAAATGAATAAATTGTTGAAGGAAGTGATTGCATATGTAACATATTTAGTTAAATCTCAATGACAGATATGTACGTATAAATAGTTTCTGCTGAAAATATTTTATTTGTTTGTTTTCTAAAATGACTAAAAACTTTGAGAAGTTATATGGCACGCACTTCTAAAAATCGTTTTCGTTTAAATTAGTTTGCAGTTTAGTTGCGCATTTTTAGTTGATTCTTATAATCAAAGGACTAGCACTGGGCAAAAATTAAATAAAGTCAAAGCAGTATTACCACTGTATAGAAATTGAGAAAATGAAATACTTCCACAAGATGCATAATTGTTTCGAAATTTTGAATTTGTTTTTGATAGTAGCTTGAGAAACGGACTCTTTGTCCGTAGGTTTGGTGGGGACTGAGAAAAGTGAAGAGTTTCGCGATAGAAATAATTTAAAGCATACTTTTAGGCAGCCGGAAAATCTTCGCAAAGACAAGAAATTTTGAAGGCGAACTTGAATATAAACTTTTGCTTTAATTAACTCTTAATGTGACGCTTTGAGAATGTTTCGCGAGTCTGTCAGACGTATCTGTGCTATCTAGTGTATATATGTATAAATGTATGTATTATAGATTTAAGTTTATTTGTATATTTATTTTGCTACGCACTGCCAAACACCGTTGTGACTATAATTACCACTATTTTTTTTAAATTTGTTCTAGGTTATGATTGTTCATTTGTGACGATTTATTATAGTCACTTGTTGTTGCGTTTGTTTTTATTGCCAGTACTACTATACTATTTGGCTTACGTTATCATGGCAACATATGCATGTACATGCGACTGTATTTATCAATTATATGCGACCGCCATTTGTTGTGCCTTAAATGGTTTTCAAATTGGTTGGCAGCATGTTTATTTCATCACCAAAGCGTTCATATCACATCTATGCAATGCTCTACCAATTCATGGCAAAAAAAAAAAAAAAAAATTGAAAAATGAAAATTACAAAATAGCATCGGGAGGTGAAAAAGAAAATGCATTGCTAGTTAAATATGCATGCATGTTCATTTCCCGTTTGCATTGAGGCCCCGGGACAACTCGTATTCAAATTTCAATCGGAATCGGAATCGCGAGCGCTTTGCGGCATTTCCATTTTCAGTTTTTTGCGGTATTTTGCCAAACCAAACAACAGTTGGGCAAATATTGGTTTTGCAGCGGATGAGATGAAAATGTTGTGCCATGTATTGCATCGGGAAATTAGGTTGGGGAAGGGAATATACATAAGTACATATGTATGTATGTCTATGGATATAAATGTATATATATATATATATATATTATTATTAATATGCAGTGCATATGGGGAAAAAAGGTGTCCATTAGGGACAGCCAATTGATAGATTGGATAGATATGTGTATATACATACATACGTATATACATATATGTAAGTAAACACAGATATTAGCAATTAACATGCAAAGTAACCGCACAACTATGTGGTGTGCTAGTTTTTCACTCCCCTACATTACACAAATGCCCATCTGTCTATCTGTCTGTCTGTCTGTATGACCTCGACAACTGCTGCCTCAAATTACCATCAAATTAATTAGCTTCAGCTGTTGACCTCCAGTCGCACTGCTCTTCTCTGTTAGATTGCTACAGACATGTCGGCTCCCCAACTCCCCAGCAACCCACTTGCCAGCTTCATTACTGGCAACATTTTATTCGCGCTCTCATCATAAATTAAATGCCTTCTGCTGCCAACTCTAATGCAATGAATTTCTTTCTGTCAGCACCAGCGGCGCCCGTCTCTATGCAACACTTTCTGTAATTGAAAAAAAAAAGAAGAAACGTTTTCAATTTCTTCAACTACTTGTATTTACATGAATTTTCATAATAAACTGTTAATACCATTTGGCGCAAAAGAAATTACAAACAATAATTCAAAAGCTAATCAGTTTGTTAATTAATTTAAATATGAATAGTTTCTTTCGCTTAAGACGCTTTATGAATATACTTGTGTCATTACTTTTCCTAGCCTTCGAAATGGATATAATTGCGAAAATTTGAGCTTAGATGTAAAGCAAACTGTTTTTAATTAATACACTGTTCTTGAGTTGCAAGATATTTTTTCTCATGCTTGCAAAGGAGTGTTTCTTCTCTTTTTTATTTGATATATTTCCAAATAAAACACTAATCAGATTGTAGAGCTTCTTTTTTAATTTTTTACTGATATCTTATTTTAAAGAAGAAATATCAAACGAATTTGGAAACCAACCATTTCAAATGGAATGGAATTCGTTGATTTGCGGAGAATTGTAAAACCATGACAAGTCTAATTGAATTTAGAAACAAGGCTCTAAAATGTAGAGAATTTGATTTCGAAAATGTTAAACGAATTTGAAAATAAAAATACATTTTTGTACTGGCATCTTATGTTAAAGAATCAGTAATTTTTTTTATTGCAAAGCTAAATCGATTTCTCAAAAATATGTTGAACAAATTTGAAAATAAACCATTTGAAATGAAATGGAATTCGTTCAATTTGCGGAAAATTGTAAAACTCACGACAAGTCTAATTGAATTTAGAAACAAGGCTCTAAAATGTAGACAATTTGATTTCGAAAATGCTAAACGAATTTCAAAATGGCCTATTAGTTTATTTGAGTTGCGGAGTTCAAAAGTCATGTCAGCACTGAAAAAAATTAAATTCGTGAAATTCAAATTGATTTCGATAAGTTCGGTTTGCGTGACATCGCCTTCTTGCGCCAATACTGAAAAGTATTTCTCTATGTACTCGTATTTCATATTTGGTTGTTTGCACTTTAAAAGGCACCACTTGATTAATATGGCAATCGAGGTCAAAGAGGTGGCGGTGGGTGGCCGAATGAAGGAAGATAGGTGGAGGGCAATGGGGAAAGGGGAAAGGGAAAGGAAGCAGAACGCTTTACCTTCGCAGAATTCTGATTTTATGGCATGAATGTGGCTGGGCATGCCGTCAATTCCGCCAATACCAATCGATTGGTCCGTCGATTTTCAATGCGTGCAGTCGCCGTCTCAGTCGCAGTTGCAGTTTCAGTTGCAGTTTCAATCCTCATACCCGATACTCAGGTGGTCAATAGGCAATGGGCAATGGTCTCATGTCACACGGAAAACACGTTATGGCAAATGCAAAGGCATCGACATCGGCAAAAGCTGCAATTTCTGTTTGTCCAGATAGCTGACAGTTGAAATTGCAGTAAGTCCCCTTTTGTGTGGCGCCATAAATGCCAATTTATATTGGTATACATACATACATACATGTGTATGTGTATTTATGTATGTGGGAGTGTGGGTGTGTGTGTGTGTATTCATGAATATGGTGGATATGTATGCGCACAATTGAAATGCCAGCAACAGCAAATATAAAGCCCAAAGTCATGTCAACTGAGCGCATAAAGCCAGAGACAAACACCCACAAACACCCACACACGAACACGCGCGCGATTGCTCTTTATTTTTGGTGTGCCTTTAGTGGGTTAAGGGGTTGAGAATGGTTGGTTGAATGGCTGGCTGGCTGCCTGCCTGTTGTTCAGCAGCGAGTGGTCGTGGGTTGCTTGGTAAGCCGTCAAGCGCAATTAATATCAATTGAAAGGCCGCCAATTTAATTATATCCCTTAATTTATGTTAATAGCAAATATTTTAATTAATTGACTTTTTTTGTATAAATTTTTATTTTGCACACAACGCAACGCTTTCACAAGATATGCGTCCGTCTCTCCTCCTTTCTCTCTCCCTCTGTGTGTATGCGAGGGTGTGTGTGTGTGTGGATGTGTGTGGATGTCTGTCTGTCTGTCTGTTTATTCGTGTATATTTTTCGTATGAATAATAAGTTATGTCCATTTGATTTTAATATCGAACAATAAAAATTAAAATTGAAAATGAAAATTAATTGAGCGAACAGAAAATGATTTTAAAGCCACTGATAAATTCTCCATTTTATCGAATATAATTATAAACTTTTTTCCACCATTAATGCAAATGGCAAATAATATAAAATAGCTCGCTTGATAAAGTAAAAGTTTCCAAACCCACATAACTAGGCATGGAAAATGACAAATAATAAGCGAACAGCCAAGCAATCAATAAGACAAATATTGTGCACTGTTTTCAATGTGGAATTCGAATAGGTCGGAATCAAAATCGGTTTCGGTCATGCCTTTTAATATTTAAGCATTAACTGAAAGGCAAAGCTTTCGTAATTAAACAAATATTAATAGTCATGTACATATCCTTCATAACTTGGCCATAAGCCTCACAATAATGACAATCTGATTTTGTTAAATTTTCTGCATTCATTTCTGAATTTAAAAAGAAAATTTCCACATTTTGTTTTGCTTGAATTCCGCTAATTACGAGATTAAATATTTATCAAGGAAATTACTATAAATGGCCGGGATATGATATAGTTCCATTGTTTCATTTATTTCCCAATTAGCTGGCCTATTAGGAAATTGGGGAGTTCGAACAGAATTACAAACGGATAACAAACGAGAGCATTCGATGTTGTTGGCATAAATTTCTGAAAATTATTGCAAAATGGCGGCCATAAAATCTATGCCTGACTTTTTGGCATGTGTGGGGGATTTAGGGGGACTTACATGCATAAATATGCGTACAATGTTTGTTCATATTGTTAATTTTACAACAAATGCAGCAACAAAGCAGAGAAGCGGAAAAGTAAACAAAACACAGCACAACAACTGCAATAGATAATAACAATAATAAAAACAATAATGACCTCAACTTGTAAATAATGCGACTCAGCTGGTCATTATGCACAAACAGTATCTTTAGCGGATAACGAGCAACAAATAACAAAAAAAAAAACCTGCTTAAATAAAATTTTAAAAAAAATTCTAGAATAATTAAGGGCACATCGGTTTTTGTATACTACCGGGAGAATGATTTTAATGACGCCTCGTTTTCTTCAGATCAATATTGGAATAATTCCAAATTTGGAATGTCAAAAACTAATCGATACGAAATATGTATTACACTCGATGAATCACATATTAGCCAAGGAAATATTTGCAATTAAACTGTTCAGGCCCTGCTCTCTGATATATGCTGGACATCGTCAACTGTACCGGATTATTCTAGAGCCAGAGTTTAAACATAAGACGAGTTTTTTGCTGGGACAGGTTCATCTGTAGGTTCACAAATTCTTATTTCAAAGTCGAATGCAGTGCGTGCTCAACTTTAGGCTAAAGATTTAAGAAATCCTATGGCCAAATTTAGTTTAAAAAATTTTGCTGAGTGTGGTAACGATTAAAGGGTATACAATCATCGATTTGGCGCAATTATAACATCCTACACTAAGTACTTTTTGCTTAAGCTCATCATTATTTGTTGTTTTTGGCATGCCACGTATTGCGAAAATATGTGTGGCATTATAGTTTGTTGTTTTATTCAGATTGCATGGTAGACGTTATTTATCATATTGTGCGAATATAGAATTATGTTTTGTTTCTCTCACTCTCACTCTGACTCTGTCTCTTTTGCTGACTCATGTTATTGGTTTTGTTGTTTAAATTAAATTTATAGCTAAAAGCGAACCGCATGCTGTGGGAAAGTAAGGCCAAACAAGTGTTGCAGCTGCTGCCTGTGGATGACAAGGATCTGAAATCAGATGAGCATAATGTGCATAACAGCATCAACAACAACAACAATAATAATAATAACAACAACAACATCAACAACAATAATGAAATTGAAAATAATGGCAATGATGTCGACAACAACATAAACAACATGTACAATATCAATAAAAATGTAGCACCAGCAGTGCAACAACAACAACAGCAGCAGCAACAACAACAACAACGACAACAATATGAGCAGGAACAGCTGCAGCTGCAGCAACAACAACTTCAGCAACAACACTCACAAAGAATGTCACCGGCAGTGCAACAATATAAAAAACCAAAGGATGTTATAACGATAAAGCAGCTTAGCAACAGGCATTACAACAACAAAAACAATGCTGCCAGCTCATTGTTGGAAGAAACATGATATCCGCATATACCCATACGTCTGCCTCGCAGCAAACATTGAGGCAAACACACACAGACAAACACATCAAGTGCGCCTTCAATGGTTATAGTAATGGCGGTGGCCGGTGACCGGAAACCGGAAATCAAATGCAACTGCAACACACAAATGACAAACAAACAAACAAACAAACAATGAAAAATTACAGCAACTTCGACAGCAGCAGCCGACGTAAGTAATCGTAATAGTAATAGATTTCTAGCGCAAATGCCGAATTCAAAAACCAACAACAACATCTACGATATAGTTACCTAATCTGAATTGTATTATGTATAACAATTGCTAAATACACGCATACACACACATAGCTATGCATGTGTTGCTTTTAACTGTTGAATGTTGTGAGCAAATTTACCAAAAAAAAAAACAAAACAAACTAATAATAAAAATATATAATAATAATAATACTAATAATAATAAAAAAAGAGAAAATCGTACAACCTAACACTTAAGCAGTTTACAGCGAAACAAAACAACAACTACAAAAAAAGAGGGAAAGTGCATTTCTATATAAACATATACACTATATATGTATGTATACAATATTATATACGCAGACATACATAAGCTGCGTTCCAAGGTAAACAGGACTTTTAAAAAGACAGAATTTAGTTTATTTCGTACAACATTTTGCACTTTCAAAAAGCCGTTGGCGCGCAGGTCCTTTAGCATGCTGGTACAAGCCTTTTCAATTGATGTCCTTTTAGCTTGTTTCCTTCCAACAGCAAATGCCATTTTCCAAAAAGGTATGAGACTATGGCGAGCAGATTTATCAAAAAAAAAAAAAAAAAAAATCAATCACATGTGTCGAACAATGAGACCGTTTTTTGATTCCATTTTTTTGAAGATATTTATTTCCATTAATTTCATCGCAAAATTTCGCTGATTTCTGGACAAATTTGCTTCTCAAATTGTAATCTCAAGTGTAAGCCGTCATTCGAGATAAACAATTAACACCTTAAGTTTGTTCGAGAAAGGTTTTAACGAATCTAAAATTGAACTTAATATTATTAATTCGTCATCTCCGTGCTATCGGTGCACAAACACAGTGTGCGACCAACCGGCTGCTATCTATCCATTCCATTGTAATAAAATTTCTATTAATATGTGGAATATATTTGTCTTTTGTACTTTTTGTATATAAGTCCTGTTTACTTTAGAGTGCACCTTGCATGTATGTACATGTGTATGTTTGTGTGCAGAAGACAGACCACCAATAAAGAAGAAATTTAATTAAAAACTGAAAGCATATGCAGCATACGAATATGCATACTTATTGCGCTCACTTTAAATGCCAGAATTGTTTAAATGCGAAAGCAAACGTGTTGCCTTTTAACATTTTTATTGCAAAGAGTTGAGCTCTTTTAGTTCGTAGGCCTCTCAGCTCTGGACAGATATTTTCTCTGTAATTACTTAAAACATTTATTTAATATTTGAGCGCCCTATGCACTGGAAAGCCCAACTCTGTTAAACTTTTAATTGTTAATTTTTTTTTTTGTTTAAAGACAACGAACTCTAGACGAAAGCTCTGAAAGCTTCTTAATTTAGTGTAATAAATGGCCTTTAAAAGGCATTTTGGAATCTCTACAAATGATTCGTTTTTTAAATAAATTAAAAGCAACATAACTAACACAGTGCTGCGCGATTTCCGATAGCATTATCGATTGTCCCATTATATCTTTTTTTTAATCTTAGAGCCATAATCGTTTAAGTAATTGAAATACTATATCTCAGTTTCAATTGAGTCGATAAAGAAACCTAAATTGAAGAACTTATTTTTTTATCCCAGATGCACCTATTTTTAATTTTTCCTACAAAATAAAAAAAAATCGTTAATAATATAAGCTTTTTGTACTTACGCACTTTAAGTGGAAAGAAAAGGAATGCACTAAATAAAGAGGTTAAAGGATAAATGTACTTTATGTATAGGTAGCCACCATCCATTCTGCTATCAATAGTCGCGCAAACTGTGTGTTTTGAAAATATATCTCTACTGTGCAACTTCTTTATTTTTGTTTGACTCTAGTTAAGTTTTAGCTATAGCTGACTACTTCATGCAAGTTATCGATAAAACTATAGATAGTGCTAACAGTCTTTGATTAGTTGGTTTTGATGCTACAAATAGTTATGTTGCCATAGCCAAGAAAACATTCTTTCTAATCGAACTAAAAGAAACAATCGATCTTTTTTTTTATCGCCGACACTAGATTGGTCAAAGTGAAATTATAAAATCCGTCTTTCATCTCAGCTCTACTCAGAGCATACTTGCGATAACATCAGTAGTGCTATCAATAATATTACAATTTTTGATGATGTGGTATTAATGCTACAAATTCCATACTTTTGTCACAAAAAGATTTCTTATCGATAGCAAAAGTTGCAATCGATAGTTTTTGCATAGCAACGACAGAAGGTTGATAAACATAAGGTCATCTCAAATCAATAACTCAATCAAGCGCGATAACTCTGCTCAAAAATTAGCATAATTAAAAGGAACAATCGATAGTTTTCTCTTATCGCAAAATCAAAAATTAATCTCAACAAGTGTGACAACTCTACTTAGCCAACACTGTCGATACCAGCGCTAGTGCTATTGATAACTTGGTAGCGCTATTAAACATGATATAATTTCGTGTTCTTTTCCTTTTAGCATTATATTCCTACCCACTAACTTTCCAGCCCCGATACCTTTTTTGAGATATTATCTTGAAGTAGTGATAAGTGACTTTTATGGGTTTTTCTTTTCATTTTTTTTTTTGGAGCACTGTTTTTTATTCGCATAACTGATTTACAAAATGTGTTATATGTAATAAATGAATACACTTTTAAGAGCTTTTAAGATGAACATTGAAAAAAACGAAGTTATATACATAGGTGTAATGAGAAATGCGAAGAATAACTGTAAAACTAGCCAACAATTTGCTGTTTTACATATTGTTTTTTTTTTTAGTGTAGCCTAAAGAATTTTTCTTAAATGTTTTGTTGCAATAAATTGACTGAATGTATAACAAATATATAAACCTTATATATAACTAAATATTTGAAAACAAATATATATATATTTAAATAGTTATATACATATAAATATATATTAATAAATGTCTATTGTAAATGCAAATCATAATAGAAGTAACAGTGTATGTTTGTAAATGTGTGAGGAAAGGAAATTTGTAATTGGAAACGCGCCCAATACTTAAAACGTACAACAACAATTCCCAAAAGACAATTGTTCAATTGTTGCAAAAAAGGCTCAATTTAATTTAAAACGAACATTTTAAGAATACTAAGTACAAGTATATGTATGTATCAGTTTATTTTGAAGGAGCTGCACACAAAGTCCGTCCTGTGTGTACGTCTATTAGCCCATTATATATTTCTTTTCTAGTTCTATTTTAAGTAGCTTCCGAAAATTGTAATCAATTTTATGTTGCGCGTTATTTTTTAACAAAATGAAGACAAAAAACAAAATGGCTGACAATAAATATTTGCACAGTGCATAAGTGGAGAACAGAAAGGGAAATAGAAAGAAAAATACAAACTTCGTTCGGCAAAGCAGAAAGTTGTGCGCCCTATGGGGTAACCATCTAACCCCTCACCCCAACACCCTCACCATCTATTTTTTTATTTTATTTTGTAAAGCGCTTGACATATGAACTTGGCAAGCTTTCTCAAAATTCCCTTTGATCCCCTCTCTCTTTCACTGTCTCTCCCTCAATCTTGTGACAGCTTAAAAAGTCCAAAAATATTATACTTACTATATATACATGCGTATATATTGTATGTTAAGAAGTGTTGAGCAAAGTCTATATATACATATATGTATATACATTATGTGCGTGTGTCTGTAAATCCGTAAGCTAGAAATAAATGTGAAACGTAAACTATTTCCCTAGACCTGTAAGAGCTTTTTTTTTTGTATAACTATTAATGTGCATTCGAATTGATGTGCAGTCAAGATTTAGAAGAAAAAAAAATAATAATAAAGAGATACACTCAAAGAAAAGGTGTTTTGAATAATTTAGGTAAGGAGGGCAGCGTGCTTGCAGCTGACAGACAATCAAAGCTCAAAGAAATGCAAAAACTTATAACCAACTGAATTACAAGAATAGACATTTAAATGTGTTAGCGAGTGTTAAGATGAACAAGAAGAAGAAGAAGAAGCTGTTTGCGCACACACGCTGCATTTTGGAAAACGAAACGAAAAACAATGGAATATGTGTATGGAAGTGAATAAAACTTAACTTTATATAGTATATATACAAATATATACATTAATCACAACCACTTTAAAATATACATATATACATATAGTATAAATTAAATCCAAAACAAAGCGTGGAATATACACAAGAACGGTAGGTTAAGCGAAATGTACAATACACTACAAATAAAGCAGCGAAATGATAAATGTGTATATGATATACAAGAATATGAAAAACAGAACACTATGGAGAAATACAAAAAAAGAAATTTAAAATAAAAAAACTATGCAAAATGTAAACTACTTTCATTTTATGCTACTTTTGGATAACTCTACTTTGCAGGTTTCTTATTTTCGCCATTCACCGAGTTTTAGAGAAGACGAACCCTGAAAAGTGGATATTCTGAAATTGCAAGAATCCACATATTTAGGGGGACATTTCTGGAGAATTCATTTATAGGTTTATTATTTTCAGCATTCATAGAGTTTCATGCGAAAGCGAAAACTCAAAACGGCGGTATTTTAAAATCATATTAAATAGTCGAATAAATAATCATTGGTGTAATTTTGTTTGCTCTTTGTCCGCGATTAAAATTAAAAGGAGAAATTGAAAACAGGAGAATGATAAAGTGCTTAAAAATATTAATAAAAATGTTGCCACACTTGGCACGCACAATCAAAAACATAAGTAGTGGCCTGGAGTCTTGCTTTTCGAAAGTATATATATTTTTCGGAGTTCTAGGTATATGGTACTGTACTGTACACAAATCTTATTAATAATGAAAGGTGTTACATTTTGAAGTTTAAAAAGTTGTAAAAATTAGGTGAACTTATTTTGCTGTCTTCCTATGTATAAAGAAAACGCACATAAGTATGCAATGGTTTTTGTAAGCATTTTTATAAGCAAAATTTGATTTTGCATTTAAAAGAGGCACTTTATATATATATATATACATACATATAAAATTATTTACAATTTATTAAACTAGTATTCTGCTGCCAATATGGCATCAAATTAAAGGGAATACAAAAATTGTCCATATTATACACATATCTATATACACACTTAAATTTATACATACTTGTATATATTTTTCCGACTCAGATACTAATAAGCGGATCGCGCCGGTACTGTGATATACTTGATGTGTATACTTGATCGCATAGTTTGCTTATAATGAACAACAACAGGCGGAGGGAATTCCTAATTCAAAGGGCAATGGCAATACAAACCCAAAAATCGATTGCCAAGGATCTGTACAGGTAATCGTATATGGGAATCGATATAGCTGCAAAAAAGGAATCGACAAAGAATCGATCTGAACATAATTGCAATTATAAAATGCAAATCTTCTATATCGAAGGCGACTATATATATGCACTTAGTAGTACGGTATAGAAGCAGCTGCAACACAGTTCCCTGATAATGCTCTTAAGTTGTAAAAAGTTCAGCGGCCCTTATCTGGCGCCATAACCGCTTCGAACCGCTTCTGTTATTAATCCAAACAAGGCAATTAATAGAGTGACATACTAGAAAACACTTGAGAAAGCATGCAAAAATAAATAATGCCCTATAGATTACTTGTGCTTGAATGCCCCCAAAGTCTATGCTCCTATCAAAATTGGCACATCTTGAGCCACTTGAAACCGGTTTGTCCGTTTATGGCGTACCAGCGAAACCGGTTCTGCTGTTTGTTTTCAGACATTGCATAGATGGGGGCACTCGAGCAGGTTATCAGGTTCGCTGATTATGTCTATTTATATATTTGTGTGTGTTTTCATTCAATAGGTATTATTACTAGGCAAGTAAATTTGCTTAAGCTGGGCCACCAAAAATTCCATTGGCTAAGATTTAATCGTTATGTGCAGCTTTAGAACGCGTGCTCGACTCTCATAAGACATTCAAGCTTTATCGGTAAAAATAAATAGCCATGAATCTTTCTGAAGACCCCCTAGCTAGCAACGCGGATTCGTTTCGATTTTTCACTGATGTGCTTCTCAGTCTATGCTTGTCACCTGATATTGACCATGACTGGCATAAACTGTTGCTTAACCCAGAAACATGCTTATATCGGAAGCGATAAGAGTTACAGATTAGAACACTTCTAGCTTTATCGACACCTTAACGTGCCTATTGCGCCAAAACCGCTTCTGGCCGGTTCTCTCAACTCTGTTGTTTTGGTTCTTTATTCGGTTCTCACACCTATTTCTTTTTTTTCGGATCGTTATCAAACCCATTTTATTTAAATTCTTGTATATATTGTTGCTCTACAAACTGTAGTTCTCATAAGACTTAGACTAAGCTTCAAGGCCAACTGATATACATATGTACTTGTATATATGTAATTCCTTTAATTTGATTAATGTAGAGAGATATTCATTTTTGTTAAGCGACAATAGCTTTGATTCTTACAAATCGCATTCTTGTGCTGATAAATATTATTAACGACCCTTTACTTTACATTCGTCTGAAGAATAATCTCAACAAAAAAAGAAATTAAGTTAAAATACTTTCTAGATTTGAAAAATGTTGATTAATTTATATTGTAGCTTTAAAACTGCAGACACATTCACTTTCTATTATTATGGGGACTATTAAAAAGAGATGTATTTTTCTTAATAGCCGAAACGCTCCTAGCCCTAACATAATTATATGATATGAATCGATTTAGATAAATCATTAAAATAGGCTTTATACCATACATAACTCATCAATACAACATTACGTTATAATGTCTTTATAACCAAAAAAAACTAGAAGTGATTCTTACACCGATCAGCCCTAGCAGGCTTTATAAAATAACTTGCTCTGCATTAAGATAAGACAAGTGTAGATACGACGTTTGGTTCAAAAGTTATCGGCGTTCATACAGTCGAACAGTCAAACAAAAACACGAACGGGCAAGTGGGTTTATCTCCATGGACTCGTCTTGACATGCTGATCGTTTATAACATCGGGCCTACCACGCTTTCTTCTCTCTGTTACCCTTACTTATATAGGGTATTAAATATACATCTACTTCAGGAGCAAAAAATTATTGATACATATTTTTGAGGTATGTGAAATATAACTTAAAATGTATTCAGTTAAAAAAGTCATATTTTTAAATGAAAACATTATCTTTAAGTTCCACAAATAAAAACTGAAATCAATAAAAATGCAAAGTTGAGGGTCGATGGTTATATTAAAAAAATTATTAGAGAGAACAAAAATGTATATGTATATATTATATAGATATAGCTGCTATTAAATTTGCCTAATATTGCCTGTTTCGAACTCAACTTAAACGTCATTTTTAACAGTTTGCTTTGCTTCTGAGTAAAAAGAGAATACCATCAACCCATTCCCATTGTACAAAAGCATGTATACATATACGATTCATATATATTTGGTACAAGTATATATTATATTCTTGGTAAGTAATGCGTGTAATTGAAAACCCCCCCGGTAATTTAAACTCAACTAGACTAAACACAATTTACTGTGAATCACCGGACACACCACACCTTTTGGTCTTCCAATTAAATGAAGCTGTCGCTCAGTTTCAATTTTCTCAATCGAAAACATTGTGTTGAATAAATAGCCTTGAGCTAGGCGCCATCAACAACACAACTGAACTTTCAAAGGTGTTTAAACATTTGAAACATAAGCAAAAACTGTTGTGCTCTCAACAGCAGCAACAAAAGTTCATATGTAACTTTAAAGTGATTTTGCCACGCACATGTGTCTACTCATTTGAACTGAACTCAAATATATAATTATCCGCCCCTTCCCTCCCCTGCCCTGCCCTCCCCAGCTACTCTATCATCGTGCTTATCAAGCGATTCGTTCGATTTTACATGACTCTATTGATTTGTAACTGGAACTGGGGCTGGGGCTGGGACCGGGACTGGCGTGTAACTGTGGCTGCAAATACGACTGATAAGCCACGTCGTCGCTGTCGTTATTTTGACTAAATTATGAAATAAAAAATTTAAAAAAATGGCAGCTCATAATATGTATGTTCATTCGCCGTCCATATGTATGCACATATAGTATGTATGTATACTCGTACAATTGTACAGACGATAATGTATGTGTTTTTGTTTAGAATCAGCGACGATCGCCAAGGTATAAATACGACACGTTCATCGGAGCTCATTTAATAGATTGCCGGCATTTCTACCAGATTGGCCGCAAAGCGCCAACAATATAAAAAGAATAATTATAAAAAGTAATACATATTTTTTTTTTTTTTAATTCGAGTGTGTTTTTTTGTAAACAATTGTCTGCCGCATAAGAAAGACGGAAGTGGAAAAAGCAACAAGACTTCAAAATGACTGTAAGTATAATTAAAGCGAATTTATTTTATAGCCGAAACAAACTAGTCGTGGTTCGACATAAGACTTATGTTTATGCCAAGTTAACCGAGACTTTGTTGTATAGTCTTTGAGATTTAGGCGTTCATACAGTCGAACATGACATTTTCGTAGTTTTACAGTTTTATTTCAAAACGATTCTATTTGATCATTAATCATTGATCATTTAGATAATTCAATTAGATAAGCAGACATTTGAATATTATTTTACGACTTTGGCTGTTCCAGTTTTTTAAAGATCGAGGCGTTAATGATACCTTTATACAAAAACTTATTTATATATAGTTGAATAGTATCTGAGATATAGAAAGATACATAGAAGATACATAGAATATGAAGAAAACAATAATAAAGCCCATCTTATTTTGATATTTTTTTATTCTAATTTTTCTCATTTTTAATGACAATATCTTTAAATATATACAAAAGCCATTAGAGACAGTTATCCAATTTTGGAAGCGATTACCGAAATCAAAGTAAACTATTCAATCAAAAAGAATCGATCTATTCGCACATCAAAGTTCAAGAAGTTTTAAAATACCGTTTTACAGAAATATGAAATAATTGAGTTTGGTAGACTTTATAGTTTGTTAATAACATTTTGAACAAAAAAAGATGAGATTTAATTAGAATTATTTTTATAATTCATTTTATATTCGCAGTTAAATCTACGCATTGCCATTATTGGTCAGAGCAATTTTGCGGCCGACGTATTGGAACTTCTATTGGAGCGTCGGAATGTGGAAGTGGTGGGCGTCTTCACGATACCCGATAAAGGTAGTCGCGAGGACATTTTGGCGACCACTGCCAGTCTCCATCGCATACCTGTGTTCAAGTTTGCCAGCTGGCGCCGCAAAGGCATCGCCTTGCCCGAAGTTCTGGAGCAATACAAATCGGTCGGCGCTACTCTGAATGTGCTGCCCTACTGCTCCCAGTTCATACCCATGGAGGTTATCGATGGAGCGCCTCTGGGCAGCATTTGTTATCATCCATCGATATTGCCGCGTCATCGTGGTGCCAGCGCCATTTCCTGGACCCTCATCGAGGGCGATGAAGTAGCTGGTTTCAGCATCTTTTGGGCCGATGATGGTCTGGACACGGGCCCATTGCTGCTACAGAAGCAAACCGTTTTAGAGCCCACCGACACCTTGGACAGCATCTACAAGCGTTTCCTATATCCGGAGGGCATCAAGTCAATGGGCGTGGCTGTGGATATGGTAGCCGCCGGTACAGCCCCGAAAATTGCCCAAACCGAAGTGGGCGCCACCTATGACCCAGCCATGTTCAAGGTGGAAAATCAAATGCTGAACCTTCAACAGCCTGCGGCCAATATTTGGAATTTTGTGCGTGGTCTGGACTCGGTACCGGGCGCCATTGCGACAGTTATCGAGCAGGATGGCACCGAACAGCAAGTGAGACTCTTTGGCGCACATCTTTATTCTGCAGGTGCTCCAAAAGCGGGTCGGGCGTTGCGCCTCAAAGGTCTGGACAAGCCCGCTTGGGTGCACGAGGGTGGTCTCCTCATTGAGGGCACCGATGGACAGTTCGTAAATGTGCGCCGCCTCAAGCGGGGCGCTAAAATGATCAATGCATCGGACTGGTTTAAGCTGGAGCAGGTGCAACAGCTGCAGGACTTCAGCGAGGATGAGTTGGCCAAGCGGGAGTTGCTGAGCAACATCTGGCAGGCCATACTAAAGCTGCCCATTGAGAGCAATACGGATTTCTTTGCCGCCGGCGCCGGTTCTATGGATGTGGTTCGTCTAGTGGAGGAGTGCAAGGATGCCTTCGATGTGCCATTGGAGAACGAGCACGTCTTCATGGCACCCGTCTTCGAGGAGTTCTTTGTGGAGCTTGTGAGAGCGTTGCGTCAAGGCAGCGCCGGTGGTGCGCAGCAGGTGAGCTTTGAGGGATTTACGCTGCGCGCCAATAAGCGTGAAATTCCAGTGCCCACCCAACTCTTCTACGGCGGAGAGTTCGTTGATGCGAAGAATAAACAAACTTTGGACATTATAAATCCGACGGACGAGCAATTGCTGTGCAAAGTGGCCTGCGCCTCCAAGGAGGATGTGGATGAGGCTGTCAAGGCAGCCCACACGGCATTCCATGGCGCCTGGAAGCAGGTTTCGGCGCGCCAACGTGGTCAGTTGATGCTCAAGCTGGCCGACCTCATGGAGCAGCACAAGGAAGAGTTGGCCACCATTGAGTCTGTGGATTCGGGAGCGGTTTATACGCTGGCCCTTAAAACCCACATTGGCATGTCGATCGATGCGTGGCGCTACTTTGCGGGCTGGTGCGATAAAATTCAAGGCAACACCATACCCGTTAACCCCGCCCGACCCAACAATGTGCTAACCTTTACGCGAAAGGAACCCATCGGTGTGTGTGGTCTCATTACACCCTGGAACTATCCGCTGATGATGCTGTCGTGGAAAATGGCCGCCTGCATTGCCGCGGGCAACACTTGTGTGATAAAGCCCGCCCAGACCTGTCCACTCACTGCTCTCAAATTTGCGGAGCTAACGGTGAAGGCCGGCTTTCCACCGGGCGTCATTAATGTCGTGCCCGGCATGGGCAGTCAGGCCGGACAGGCTGTGGCGGATCACGAGCTGGTCCGCAAATTGGGATTCACCGGCTCCACCCCAGTGGGCAAACACATTATGCGTTCGTGTGCCAATTCAAATCTGAAGAAATGCTCATTGGAATTGGGCGGCAAGAGTCCACTCATCATCTTCGCCGACTGTGATCTCGACAAGGCTATCAAGCATGTAAGTAATTGAGACTCAATTCTTGGCCAATTGATTTAAAATGGTCCCACATTTTAGGGCATGTCCTCAGTCTTCTTCAATAAAGGTGAGAACTGCATTGCAGCAGGCCGTCTCTTTGTCGAGGATCGCATACACGATGAGTTCGTGCGTCGTGTTTTAAAGGATCTGCGCACCATGACCATTGGTGACCCCCTGAATCGCTCCACAGCCCATGGTCCACAGAATCACAAGGCGCATTTCGATAAGCTGCTGGAGTTCTGCGATCGTGGCGTCCAAGAGGGCGCAACTCTTGTCTATGGTGGCTGCCGAGTACCGAACCTAAAGGGTTACTTCTTTACGCCGACGGTCTTCACCAATGTGGAGGATCATATGTTTATAGCCCAAGAGGAGTCCTTTGGACCCATCATGATCATCTCCAAGTTTAATGGCAGCGATATCGATTCTGTGATGCAACGTGCCAATCGCACGGAATATGGACTGGCCAGCGGAGTCTTCACCAAGGATATAAGCAAGGCTCTGGGCTTTGCCGATCGTATCGAAGCCGGCACCGTGTTTATCAATGTCTATAACAAGACTGATGTGGCCGCACCATTTGGTGGCTTCAAGCAGAGCGGTTATGGCAAGGATTTGGGTCAGGAAGCGCTCAATGAGTATCTCAAGACCAAATGCGTGACAATTGAATATTGAGTGGAGAATTTTATACTCGCGAGAGCTGAAGGAAAACAAAAGACTTGATATCCATTCTAGTAGTTTTAAGCACCTATCTATAGATGTAGACTCACAATTGTAAATATCATCGTTTAAATATACTTATAATAATAATAATAATATATAATTAATAATAATTGATTATGTATACGTAAATACATTAAATTATTGGCTTTGCGTTTCTTTGAGAACAACCTTGGAGCAATCAACCAAGTTAGCTTCAAGCTAGAATTGTACGCTTTATATATTTGGAGGCGCGCGCTAGATGGCGCCAAAATAAAAAAAAAACATGACGAAACAAGAGAGAACGCTTCAGTCGAGAAAGACCGACAATAAAATATCCTGTACGCAGACAAACTTTCGGCACTGAGTTATATGCGCCCATAACAGAAGCAAAAAGAAGAAGAAAACGAACGCCCAGGAGTGAAATTGTTTCTCTAATAACTTTTCTTATAATTGATTACGTATATAGATAACGTGCAAAGTTTGGTTTATGTAGCTTCTGAAATGTGGACAGTATTGATGAAATTTTGTAATGGGTAGAGGGGGGTGGGGAATCAAAAAAATAAAATAAACTCGTATAGATAGTGTGCGCTCAGCCGTTTCCGAAATCCAGGCGTTTATCCAGACAGACGGACAGGTCTAGATGGATTTGTCTTGTCATGCTGATTAAGAATATATGTCCATATCTGCAATAAAAATATTGTGGCCGCCATCCTCTGTGATTCTCATACCAAGTAGTTAGGTGATGGCAAACGAGAATTAAATTGTCATTTTTCTGATAAGTCAAAAAGAATTTGTGGAAATAAATTGTGAAAATTTTTATAAATTGAATTCAATTTAGAAATATTGTGGCTGCCCTCCTCTGCGATTCTCATACCAAGTACCTAAGTGATGGCGAATCGAGATTTAAAATGTGAAATTTCTGATCAATTAAATAAAAATAGATTGTGAAATTTCTGATAAATTGAATTCAATAAAGAAATAATGTGGTCGCCCTCCTCTATGATTCTCATACCAAGTACCTAAGTGATGACAAATCGAGATTTTAATTGTGAAATTTCTGATAAATTAAATGAAATAAAAATATAGTAAATAGTGCAATTTTCGATAAATTAAATAACAAAATATTGTGGCTGCCCTCCTCTGCGATTCTCATACCAAGTACCTAAGTGATGGCAAATCGAGATTTTAATTGTGAAATTTCTGATAAATTAAATTAAATAAAAAAAAATAGTGCAATTTTTGATAAATTAAATTAAATAACAAAATATTGTGGTCGCCCTCCTCTGTGATTCTCATACCAAGTACCTAAATGATGGCAAATCGAGATTTTAATTGTGAAATTTCTGATAAATTAAATTAAATAAAAATAAATAGTGCAATTTTTGATAAATTAAATTAAATAACAAAATATTGTGGCTGCCCTCCTCTGCGATTCTCATACCAAGTACCTAAGTGATGGCGAATCGAGATTTAAATCTCGATTTTGTGAAATTTCTAACAAATCAGATAAATATATTGTGAAATTTCTGATAAATTATGTATATAATACCTAAGTTAGGGTTAAGGAAAAAGGAACAATAGTTTCTAAAAGATCCATAGCAAAAAGAGGCGTAGCCGCCCCATTATTAAGGTGTACATATATATGTATTTACGAAATTAAATAGACTTTGAGTCTACGCCCTTAAATTATTACCCGTATAGAGTGCGATAAGACTGCAAATGGAAGTGAGTTATTAAATTAAAAGAGACAAACATTTGTAAAAGCTCATTAATCCTAGAGCACAGACGTTCATATTCTTAGTATATAATTCGTAATAGTTTGAATTGATGAAACATTTAAGTGCAAACATTTTACCTGTCTGACCATGGCCATAGCACGACTCGACTAAATGGTTTTCAGATAAGTAGCTAGCCTGCCACTTTAGAAAATATAACCTGCTTATCAAGAACGTGTGCTAAATTGAAATGTTTATATTTATAAATAAACGCTGTGCAAATAATATAGAGTATTAAAAAAAATAGAAAATAATAATAAAACATTTGCCGATAACTAGCAACCTATCACAGCTGCATGACAGTCGTCTTTCAATCAAACAACTTAAAACGATCAAAAAAACAAAAAAAAAAAAAAACATTTTCCATTGCATGTCTGTTAAGCGACGTGACGTTAGCAATTACGACGTCAAGTTGGCATTTAGTCAAAAAAAAAAAAAAAATTAAAAAAACAGTCAAGCCTTTTTAGAATATCAGTTATCCGAAGTAGACTGGCTTGTAAAACTCTTTTCCTAACTGACATTCAAAACATTAAGATGAAATGCCTCCGGATTAGATCAAACGATCATAAAACTCTCTTTCAACAGTCGTTTTTCAGTCTTTTTTAAAGTCCTTAGAATCGCTAACTATATATATTAGTGAATTCGTTTCCAAAGCCAATCGGAACATTATTTTCTACGACGTAAGTATTCAAACCTAGAGCTGTGAACGCTGAGTGAATGTAAAAGTCTTGATTGAAACCGTGCATTAAGTGAGAATGAGGACGACTAAAAAGACCGTGAAGCTCGTGAAAAGTCTACCAATCACGACTTCACGAAGAAAAGCAACTAAATTATTTATAGATTGAGCTAAGTTGGACTTTTTTTTGTTGTTGGGCTTTCATTAGTGGAATAGTAACATTATCTTTAATGTTTAATTGCTAATCTAGCGCTCTAGCGAAGTTTATCGTTACGGAGAGAACTTCATTATAGAGTTGTTAGACTGTACTTATGAAATGGAACTGCATTCGACAAACGTCTATTGGTTATCAATAGGCTTAATTATTTGCTATTGCATGCGGAAAAACAAATCGGGCACATCACTCACGAGCACTCAGAGAAGCGCTCAGCATGTCACTCGGTCAGTTGGTCGCCCACACGAGGGTGGTGGAGCGGAAACGGAGGCATTGAGAGGGACTGGCCACTTGGTCCGCGGGGGGGCACGCCTTGATAAGCGTTCTCGATGCGCGCATAACCCGTTTGAAAATCGCTAGAACCTATAAAAGGGGAATGCGACTTGTATTTAGAATGACAGACGTATTCGCGACCTCAAGTCGACAACAATTAAATTCTTCCGTCCCCAATGGATCGTTGGCAGAATCGTGTGGCCGTTGTAACTGGTGCCAGTTCGGGCATTGGGTCGGCAGTTGTGCTAGATCTGGTCAATGCGGGTCTAACCGTAGTGGGTTTGGCGCGTCGTGTCGAGCGAGTGACCGAGCTAAAGCAGCGGCTGTCGGCATCGCGACGCGAAAAACTTGTTGCCCTGCAATGCGATGTGGGCAGCGAGAGTTCAGTGAAGGCGGCCTTCGATTGGATTGAACAGCATTTGGGTGGGATCGACATACTCGTCAATAATGCGGGCACACTGCAGCAGGGCCAACTGGTGGACATGTCCACCTCGGTGGTGCAACAGGTGGTGCAAACGAACATCATGGGCGTCATTTACTGCACCCAGCGCGCCTTCCGCTCGATGAAGCAGCGTAAGTTCGATGGCCACATCGTGCTCATCAACAGCGTTGTGGGTCACAAGCTGCTGCCACCCCGTGAGGGCCAGGCACCCGATTTTAATGTCTATCCGGCCACCAAACATGCAGTTACTGCCTTGACCGAAATGTATCGTCAGGAATTTATGGGTCTGGGCACTCGCGTCAAAATTACGGTGAGCTATTCATCTTTTTTTTTAAATGATTTTTTCGACTCTAAGCCATACTTGTTCGTCAATAGAGCGTTAGTCCTGGTGCTGTGGACACGGAAATCATACCGGATACTTTTCGGAATGTTCTTGATACTCGCATGCTCAAATCGGAGGACATATCGCAGGCCGTGCTCTTTGCCATCTCAACGCCAGCCCATGTCCAAATACATGAGATAATCATTAAGCCAGTGGGCGAGTTGTTCTAATTCGGATATACAAGTAGAAGCAATATCTGTGCTAATTGTAAAGGTCCTGAAACATATAGGTGTCTGTCTATCTGTAAAATTGATGAACTACTTTAAGCTTGCAAGCTATTCCCAAAATTCTTGAATTGTGTTATTTCACAAAATCGAATTTTAATTCGCGACTCATCAACTAACTTATCCTACCAATAATAATTACAATTGTTGTTTTTGTTTGATTCGTTTTGGTTTATTTTATATATACGGGTATACACATACAAGTACTTATCTATGAATGTATAAGTATATAGTATATATGTTTTGCCAATCCTAATGGTTGATTATGTGGCTTTCTAGTTACAAAACGAGTTCTGAATCAAAGCCAGCCACATGCAGTCAGAAAAAAATGCGCAAACTCGCTCTTAAACTACAACTAAAGAGAATAAATTCAGAATTCTTTTTTTTAAATACGAGAGACAAATAAGTAACAACTTTGTATCGCTCTGATCGTCAAATGCACTCTAATCTCTGTTTGAACATACTTAGTTTTTTTTTTAACTTTTTGCGCTTTAAGCAAAAAAAGTCATTACAAAAAAACAGATAGTCGTGTTATCAGCCGTATCGGGGACGCCAATTGGCAGCTGACGCCGTTAAACTTTTTTTGTATACATATTGCCGTTTTATGCGAAGGATTCCATTAACGATTCATGCGAATAAGGTGAATATCGACCAAGCCATTCGTCAGATAACGCCCTAAACCATCACCAAGGATGCGCTATTACGAAGCTATGTAGGTCGTGGGTCAGCCACATATTTGTTTTATTTTTATAAACAAACCACTATATGGAACACCACGTATACACATATACAGGAAGAGGACCTATCAAGATGACTGGCCATTTTCAACAGCTAAAGTTATTTAGTTAGCTCCTAACACGGCTATGAAATATTTTTGAAAATGTTTAAATCTGTGTGTGCAAACTATTTGCCTGTTTAGACATACCTTTAGCTGTAGCTACAAATAAGACACACACAAAAATTCGTTTGGAAAATGTTTATTTAAATGTTTGTCGATTTGTTGGTTTTCCTTTGTTTGTTTACCATTAATAAATTAGTACTCCTTGCGATTTTACATTTGAAATTTGTTCTTTCTTCACATTAAATATTCAACACTTGTGTTGCTGCTGTTAGGTTGTAATTGTTGTTTGGATTTTAATTAATTGTTGCACAATAAATACCATCGTGTTGTTTAAATAATTTTCACAATATTTCCATATGTTATATTTATTATAATAATAATCGTTTGTGTTTTTTTTTTTATACATTTTCGTTTATAATTTGCATAAAAATATTTTCTGTAGCACAATTATTTTTTCTTGCAGTTTTTTACGTTTATTAATTATGTATAATGTTAATGTTGTTTTTATTGCTATTGCTATTGTTGGTTGTTCTTCTTGTTGTTTTGTTGTTTGTGGTCTTAGTTGTTGTTGTTTTTGGTTGCTATTGGCATGGCACAGAGCGAGACTTAAACATCGAAAACACAGTTCGAGAATAAAAAATAAACAATCAAAAATGCATAGAAATCGGATGAGATTTTAGAGGGCTTTACCTTTCGTCCCTTTCTAACTTTGTTTCAAACGCCTGCAGCAGCAATTGGCAAATAAGATATACATATGTATAGATAATCATCTATATATTTAAATATATACTTTGTGTATTTATGCGCATTTAATAAAGGTGTGGAAGCGAGGTTTTAGTTTAACTGTCCTGCTTAATAAATTATTATTCATTATTATAATTGTATCGTTAGTGTTGCCATCTCGCTCAGCTACGAATAAACAACCGTTAACTATCTGTCTGTCTGAATATATGTGTGTGTGTGTAGTGTCTTGAATTTATGAATTTTGTTACAGTTATAGGATTAGTTACAATATCATCGTGAAAATAATGGTAGTAATGATAAACAAAATACAGAAAGCTTTAAGCAATGTATATAACTTCCACATATGTCTGTATGCAAAATTTATGTTCTTCTTCTTCTTCTGATTTATGGTCGTCGTCTGAGGCTCGTCACTCAGTACCACTCCAAATGGTCGTCTTTTTGCCGCTGCTTGACATGTTTGGCATACTCTATATTTGCGTGTTTGTTTCAATTCGATTTAAAAATAAAAGTTTTAAAATTTCAATTAAAATGTGTAATAAGTCTTCTATAAAGTTCTCAATTAGTTCACTCATAGGCTCCACTTGTGCTGCCAAAAAAAGTTAACAACAATGGTTTGTTGCCATACACATATGTAAGTCTTAGAAGGATTTGTTACATAACTAATCGCTATGCACAAAGCTGCGATCACACCAACGACGTGCTTATCGATAGACAAGTTAGACAAATTAATCGAAGGCAGTGCAGTCCACAGGTGGAATGCAGTTTACATGTTGTTGGTATTATTATTATTACTATATTATTAATTGTGGTTATTTAATTGATTGCGCAGCTTTGTGCTCGAATCCTTAAACCTGAGTGAACTCGCCATTTAGTGGTGTTCGTGTGTGTGTGTGTGTGTGTGTATTGTAGGTGTGAGTGAGTGGCTTTTGAGCAAAACAAAGAGGCTGCATATTTTATTTAATATGCGCTAAAATAAAAACAGTTAAAAAATAATAATTACAGCAAATAACATGCGACATACGTGTGTGTTCTTGAGTGCCAGACTTTGCAATTACTTTTCAAAATATTGCATAAACATTTTAACATTTCTGATGATTTTTTTTCACAATAATTTAGGGCGCAGAAAAAAATACGTTGTTACAATAACACGCCAGTTTGGAATTAATTATTATATAATTAAAAATTACATACAAACTAGAAGCTACTGCTAGGTGTGTCTCTGTGTGTGTGTGTGTATATATGGTTGTGTTCTTGTGTGTATGTAGCTCATAATTTTGCTGCAGAATCTCACGGCAGAACTTAAGTGTTTGCTAATTTTTTTTGTTTGTAAATCGTTTGCTTAAGTTGTTTTCTTTTTCTGTTTTGTAACTTACTGTTTGTCGCACTTGAAATTAATTTAAATAATTTATTTTACAATAAGCGCTCAATATCTTGGGCGCTACGAGCAGCAGGCAAAACAATAGATGCCATTCAATTGCAATTTCAAAATGCAAACCATTTGCTGCTCATTTTTTTCTTTCTTATTTTTGCTTTTTGCGTCTACTTTGCTAAGCCGTTTTATTTTGTTATTAGTTTTACTTTCGAACTAGGTGTTATATCGTTTTTGTTTTGTGGTTTATGTAGTTGAGTGTTGATGTTGGGACTGTTGTTGCTTTAACCGTTGTTGTTGTGGCTGTTGTTGTTGTTGTCGTGTCCAGCAGTTCAACACTCACTCTGTGATAAATCAATATCCTTTTTAACGCTACGCGACAGACGATCCAGTTCCGCAGCCGCATCCGTGCGCACAGCCAACTTTTCTGGCGTCATCAGACCATCGGTTCCATTAGCCCGAGGAGTTCCCATATTACCCGGAGACGCACCGCCAGCGCCCGCAGGTCCGCCGGACTTTTTGTGCAGCAGCGAATTAAAGAAATTTGCCAACACACCCTCGCCGCCGGGCGTTGCAGGATTCAGTTTCGGATCGATCTATAAAATACAAGCAATATTAATAGAAGCTCTATAATATTATACTAGAAAATGCAGTCCCTTCTTTCCAAATGCCATGGCCAACTATTTAAATGATGAGCGGCAAAGATATTTTTAGATGAGCTTCATATATAATACCATAACTAGGCTTATATTATAGCCGATTTCATAAAGCTTTATATAAAAAAGTTCATTATTGCGCCTAGAAATTAAATTTTGTATTGCATTGTAAATAATCATATTTTTCTAAGTTTTTCACAGAACTGGGCAACAAGATGGCGGATATAATAATAATAATCTTCCTAAGAGCGTGCCACAGCAGCTGAGATCATAACGCAGCCAAGTGATAGATCGCCCAAACTATGTCAAGGGTAGAGACAAAAAACTCACTCTATTCCTCGTGCAACTCTAAAAAATGGAATGCAGACTCATAAACAGCCTACTTACTACTGGTCATAGGCTGACTTCACTGAAGAAGGCGGCGAAATATTTGATTGTTTTATGAAGCTTCATGACATGTGGTATGCCACGCCTTCTTTGAATATTACATAGACTCTCTAGTATACCCTTTAACCCTTTGAATATTTGTACATTTTTTCGTTTTAAGTCACACCGTTTGTAAATCTCGGCACTCGAAGCCTTACCTTTTTGGGCGAACTCTGACCCGCACTGCCGGGTGTGCGTGGTCCGCTCTTATTGGAGCCAGCACTAGCGCTGCCCGCTTGCGATCGGAGCGGCGATTCGCCGCGCACCTGACCGCCCTGCTTGAGTATCTCCTGCTGGCGCGCCAGGAACACTTGTTCGTCTTCAGTTTGCACCTCAGCCTCACGGTTCGATACGGCCTGCAACATCATCATGTAAAATAATAAGAAAGAAGCGTATCAGAAAATATTTTCAAATTGAAATGCAATTATGAAGCTATAAAGCTAATGCGCACTGCCAAGAAGTTGAAAAGTATTACTAGAATTACTAATTTAAATTTCGCATAATCTCCTTCTGAATTCTGAAACCAAAACATGCTTCTATAGATTGCTCTATCCCAAATGTTCTTTGAACGTTCAGGTAGAGCATATAATTCTTCATTACTTGAGCAACTTTTGAAAGTTACGCACCTTTCTGGTTGGTGGCGCCTTTATAATATCTGTATAGTGGTTCTCTGCCTTGACCGCATGCATATTCTCATACAGAATACTTATTTTCTTTAGGCTGTCCCAACCCGCCGGACTGAAATAAATCAATGACTTAATTAGATGACTGGAAGAGCACAAAAGGCAAGGGCACTTACATTAGGACCGCATCTTTTTCAACGACTAGCGCGGGTGTGCGGAATGGTAGACCGTAAATTCGATGCGTTAAATATTTATAGAGGAGATCACAGTTTTTGTCTTCTTTAACACTCGTGTAAAAAAGTGATGTGCCATGCCGCAGACAGAAGTTTCGTATCCATTGCTGTATGAAATCGAAATGCTCATCACGATATTCGTACTCCTTTTCCAGCGTTGTCATGTAGTCCGTCTGGAAGGTGATAAATACATTATGCATTGATTTACACTCACATTTATTAAGTTAATTAATTGTCTTACTTTTGTGACCACCACGACAATGTCTAGACCGAGATTTGTTAGTAGTGCGTCCTCTGTCAGCGGCAACAGGTCATCCTCGTCAATTGAATTGTTGCGCATGGTGCGTTTCACAGGCGAACCGGGATCTAAATCATCACCGACCTCGCAATAACTTTGCCACGTCGTAACGAGACGCTGGCGAGCTGCCTCCTTCTCCTTGAGATCTAGTGACAGACTCTCGATATGCTGCTGAAGCACTTTGATCCATTGATTGAGCTGCTCGAGCCAGTCCCAGGGCTGTGTCATCGAGACTGTGAGTATGACGAGGGTGTGTGCATAATTCGTTTCGTTTAGCGCATAATGCAGCAGATTTTTATGGCCTGGATCGCCGTCAAGCACCCAGACGCCAAGGCGTGTCATGTCTATAATCATTCAGAAATGTAATAACACAGAATTAATAGAATTACATTTTAAACATACCGTCTCTGTATTCATCCTTGACATCAATATAGGCATACTCCAGGCCGGAACCCTTCTTCGGATCCTCGACGCCCTGCAGCTTGGCAATGAGTGTGGTCTTGCCGGTGGCATTGTCGCCTAATACTAGTACAGATTTGTTTGATGGAAGTTTTGTGCTGCCTTGTGTTTGTACTTCATTCAATATCGCAGACCTGTAAGCAGAAAAGATTTGTACAGCTATAGTATTTACGGGATAATCTCGCTGTGTAGTTTGTACCTTTGCGCAAAATTTCTACACACTTTCATTTTCTTCAAAAGATGATCGATATAGCGGATCTCTGCATATTTTTGCAAAAAGTACATTTTTTCAAAAAAAAAAAAAAGTCGACAATTGTTTTTTTATGTATTTTTGTTTTGTGTTTTATAATGGAATAAAATATGTGAGATAAGTATGCGATGTGTAAACCATTAGTTTTGGGCTTGGCTTAGCTTGAGATTCAAAACTCTTATAAAACTTTCATATAAAGCGTGATATTTTAAACTTGAATTTACGATTTATGATATTTTTGTTTCTAACACTAATAAATATGTTGCTTAAAAGCAAATTTAATATCACATATCTCTAGTTAAGACTTGCCACAAGTTTAGAATAAAAGATAAACGCCAAAGCTGCGGTCAGAACTCATCGATACTCATAAGATTATCCATTTTTGCTATCAATAATGGTTAACCGTTTTCATGTTTCCGTTTCAAAAATTGCAAAAATGTTGAAATCGAAATTGCAAGCAGAAACCGGTCCATTTCTTTGATTGATTTAAAATAATGTTATTATGAATAGGTATTCTAGAAATATTGAGTTGATTCAATGCTTCAATTAAATATTAAACTATTATTGTAGTCCCAGTGTGAAGGCAACTCGCCATTAAGACCAATTTTCCATTTTTATTACCATACCATTTTCAAGTTAACCCTCTGTACTGAGGTAGAGTGTAGTGGGGAGTTGGGTGTTTTTGGGGGCACTATAAAGAAGTCGGTCAGTTGGGTTATCAGATTTTTTTAAAATTCCACCACCATGCCCGCTCGCTATTCGATTAGACTAATTGCGCGTACACTATTTATAGTGCCCCAGTGGTCTTACCACCACCCAGTTTTTAGTGAATTTTGACCTGCGTCAATATTTGATGGCTCATCGTATCCGTCGTCATTGGTATTCCAGAAGCTCCAATTCCACGTGCACAATTTTCGCACAACTTTTATGAAACTCATTCAATCAAATAAAATAAACGATGGGCCGGACAACTTTAGAGGAACGTGAGGCGGCGGGTGCGTGGGCAGTTGTTGTTCTCAAGAAAAATGGCTTGACATGCAAATTGAGCGGCCGCTTTAAGTGGAATTTTGAACGAAGAACGCACAACCTTTCTGCCCCAATCATTCGGCCAAACGTTCATTTAGCGCAATTCACTGTTCCGGTAACTTCTGGTGGCAGCATTGACACGTGCATGGACTATTCGATACACTCTAACTACTTAACAATTATTTAGGCTTGTGAAATATTACTAATTTTGTGTTCAATCGAAGTACAATTTCTAATGTTTTTTCTTGGATAAAGTATTTGAAAGACAGGTGACTACTTTTGGGACCCAAAACCCTATTGGTTTCTTAGACGTGGGGAATATTTACCAACTCAATCGAGTTCGCAAACGGGGGCCTATTTGTATTTAAAGCTTGCTACGGCTCCTTTTTTCTTCTAATCTATCGATGGATCTTCATTCTTCTTTTTTAATTGGAAGTTATATCGAAGACAATATTGAAAACTATCTAAAAAATCCCCTTTTCATATATTTTATAAATAAAATACATATGTAAGTGCTAATTGAAATGTGGAAAGCATATCAAGTGGGCAGTCCTATACAATTCTTTTCAACTGTGTAGCAGGAAATAGACATGCCAACTCTTTAAATGGAATAATTCAAATTGGATTTTTAAAAACGTTAAAGCAACCCTAATATTGGTATAAGAAATCGGCAGATTCGAGATATTTTACATCATATCGAAGAAGTTGTAGATGGAATGAAAAATACGCTTTTTTTTTTAATTCCAGAAACTCCTCACAAGGCTCTTAGTAGACCTCACAGTTATAGGGTATAAGAATAAATACTGCGAGCAGTGTTTATCGATTGCAACTGCCTTTGTTGCTACTATGTATGTATGTGTAGATAGCTAGGTGTTTGGGCAAGTTTGGGGTGACTCTATAAATGTGCTTCGATGTGCTCCTGTGCTTCAGTGCCTCGGTGTTTTGTAGGGTTTGTGGGTAGCTTCACACTTGCTAGTCATGCAAACGACGTTGCGCCGAACCCCCACCCCCCCCCCGTACCGTCACATTTATGGTTGGCATGGTGCACGAAAGGCCCAAACGAAACGAAAACTATATGTTTTTCCAGGCTTTCAACTTTCCGAGCGTCAGTCGGAACGTAGTTTCAATTTGCACTTCCAGACGTGCACATTTCTCTCCCAAAAGTGGTAAAGAAAATTCGTAGTACCCGCCAGGACAAAAGATGAGTTTGTTGTTAAAGCGTCGCTCGCGTAGCGAGACGCGCACACAGCCCCCAATGTCAACAAATTCAATGGAGTCCCCAACAACAACAATAACAGGAACAAAAACCGCGGCATTGAAGGGTGAAAGACCACGACGGGGACGTGCCCGTGAGCCAGCACAACCATTACAATTGGAGGAGGACGACCAACAATTGGGACTGCAACGCGGCAGTGAACAGCATTTACACAAATTGGGGGCTCTCCACCAACGGCAAGGGGAGCTGAGCCACAGCTTGGGTATGGGGCGTCGCAGGACATCCGCAGAGCTGATCAACGAGGCTAAACTATTTCTGGGCGATGTTGGTACTCTGTCCAATGCCTCCAGTGTCCAGCACATCGCTAGCGGTAAGGAAGTCAAATAGCTTGGAGGGGGGTTGGTGGAAGCTTACTCTTGTTCTTCTCCCATTTAACTTTTGTTTTGTGACAATTTTACAGTGGGAGGGGCTCGTTTGGTCAACACCCGACGTCCGATTACACCCCGGGAGCCTGGACGCGTTCTATATGGCAAGGTGGCAATGGCCGGTCGACCACCCAGCGCCTTTTCGTAAGTTGCTTTTAGTTTTTCTGCTCTACTACTTGTATATTATATTGTATTGTCCATTGCCGTCGCCGACTGAATTTGTGTCAAGCGGAAACACGCAAAACGGAAATAAAAATAGTAGTTAATGATACTTGGTAGAGAGATGGAGAGATTTACTTCATTTTTTTGTCCGAGACTTCTGCCACAATTGTCCCAATTTCTTTATTCTTGCCCAATTGATGATTTTCTCAATGTTAATACATAGTTCCCCATTTCATAACCCCTAATGTATCTTCTTTTGTTTTCATTCGAATTATAATGATTACTCATTTATTTTCATTCATTCAATCATAACATGGTTTGGTAGTTGATATAGAAATCAAATCCAGCTCTTCTATGAAATCCTATTAGCATCGTTTGTGTGTTCCAGTTATTTAACATCTAAATAGCATTGGAAGTTTCACCCCCAAACATTATCTTTTATTTGGTTCTTTGCAGCATGCGTTATCTGCAGAACGAGTCCAACAAGCCGCTAACTCCTCCCACGCCCGGCTTGGGTAATGCCAATGGCAATAATGCCAGAGACCTATTCTTGGTACGTCGTGCTGGTGCCGCCTTTGATTTTAGCGGAGTGATGGACGGTGCGAAAATGGCGCCCCGTCAATTACCGGCACTACATGGAAACGTACAGCAGCAACAGTTGCCGCCACCCACTCGTAATGGCGCCCTCCTTTCCCAGTCAACTACAGAGACGCTAATTGAGTTGCTGAAACAGCATGCGGGTCTCAAAGAGTGCAGCGAAGAGACAGTGAAGCATATTAATGCGGTAAGTAAGATTTTTAATGCCCTAAGAAAAGGAATCATCCAAATGGGATGCATTCTGTCTCGACATGTTCCAACCGGAATGGGGAAGAGTGTAGTATTAAAGACTGTGCGTGGATTTTGATAAATATGAGTGATAATGGGATCATGAATGATGCACGTTTCAAAATCATTCAGATTAATTGTTTAGAGATATCAACTAATCAACCAATCTTGCGCCAAAGAAGCAAAAAAAAAAAAATAAATGAGAAGTGGTTTCCCTTGCTTCCACATTCATGCAGAAATGGGGATAACCTGGCCTATTTGGCTTAGGTTCTGAGAAGCTACAGCCCAGTTATTATCGGGAATTCTGCTAAACTTAGCGATATAGATCTCTTTAAGCTAACAAATTCTGGTGGTATTCATGGAGTCTGAAAACTCACAATTCCTAGTTTTTCTGATAGAAAATTTCCAACCACTTCCTTATTTAGATACTCCAAGAACTATACAATCGTGTGCGTAAACAGGAACGAAATTTTAAGCGTGGCTTCATCCTGGGCGGTCTCTATGGTCTTGTCGAGTGCACAGCACCTCGCGTGCTACTAGCGGTGGCACGCGTTGTCTTAGCGGTAAGTGTCTAGTCCTAATCCCGGGAGCTTTATTTCACTATTCTGAAATTCCTTTAGCTACGTGTAACAGGAAGCAATTTGACAGGGGCATGCAAGCTCATCTTTAAGGTGGCGCGTCATGAACAGAACGACAGTTTGTTCCATGAGAACGATCTCCTTGAATTGCTGATCGATGGATTGGGCCATGCCAGTCCGCTGGATGAGCCCGAGGCCTGTATCTATGCCTATGGCTCGATACGTTTTCTCACCGCCAGCACGGCACAAGAGCGCGATGATGCATTGAATCGCAATTGGTCTGGCGGTGCTGGCGGCGGTTTGGACGAACCTTTGCCACCGCGCAATACGCACCCTGAACTTGCAGGGCCACTTCTGGACAGTATTGTGCATCAGGCGGCTCGACATCACAAACTGAGTCGTCAGCAGACATTGGTGGAGCGTTTGGCGCATAATGGCGCTCTTGAATTGATGATCTTGCATTTACAAATGCTGAACGAGGCTGGAGCTACGCGGCGCCTTACTGGCCCGCCCTTACACACCCTCTATCAATTGTCGGCAGCACTGCGGGCATTGGCGGGTGTGGAGCAAAAACGAGCCGAAGATGTTGTAGGCCCAACAGCCTCCCGTCATATGCAATTGGAATTGGCTTGTCCCCATTTAATACGAGCCGCTGAGATCTCTATGGGAGAGCTGGAGGTTCAGGCGAATGTAGTGCGCACCCTTAGGTGAGTATTAGTTTCCAAATCGGAATACCGAAGGAGTTTTTTTTTCATATTCTTTTATTCTTCAGCGTGCTCTCTGAGGATGTGGATTGCTGTGAGACTCTTCTCAATTATGCGGCACGCATTGGCATGCTGTTGGGTCCTTGTGCGGATACGGCCACAAAGGCGGGCAATTCATCTAGCCAGACTAATGAGCGTGCTCTCGCTGTTCTAAGTCGATTGGGCTATATATTGGGCAACATTTTGGCCAAATATGAGAGCGCACGTGTGCAGGTGAGTACCCTCACTAGACGATTATGATTTATTTGTAATCTCCTTCCTATTCCTGCTCATTTCCAGTACTACCACAATGATGTAGCTATGGAGTATTTGCTGAATGTGCTAGACACGCTCACCAAAACGCCTCCCATGGAGAATGAGACGCTGCTCGATGTTCAAATCAAGCTCATTCGTGTAGTGGCCAACATGAGCGTTAATTCTGAGGTCGGTTTCGGTTTGGGAAACACGCGCTGTTTGGGCGCCGTGCTGCTGAAGCTACTTAATGACACGGTCACAGCTCTCGACTCAACCAAGCCAGCCAAAAAGCAGGTAAGCCACAATTATATATTCCATTCATCTGCCTATTACAATTAATATTTTTTCTGTCTTTTCTGAAAGGCCGCTGAGCTGCAGGAGTTGCTCCACGCCACGCTCGGCGCTTTGCACAATTTGTGCTTCTATCAGGACAAGCACAATGCACCGCCCGCCCAAGTGCTGGAGACAGTGGGCTCACTACAAAGCATCATTCCCGAGCTGGCCAACACTCTTTGCACCGCACTGTGTCAGTGTCAGCTGGAAGCGAGCAAAGTGGAGTTGGCCCGGGTCTTGGGGAATCTCACACGCAACGAGCAGGCACGTCGATGCTTCTGCGCTGCCGGGGGCTTGCCACTGATCATGCAACAGCTGACACGGAACTCAGCTGGACAAGATTATGAGTTGAAGACCTGTGCCATTGGTGTGCTCGTCAATTTGCTGGGAGATAGTGAACAGCGTGCACCGTTTCTGCAGTTGCGCGGCGCTGACGTACTGGAGTTGCTGCTGCGTGGTGCGCTAGAACAGGAGGATTGGTTCCTGGCAACGATTGTGTGTCAGGCGATGTGGAATCTTCTTATCGATGCACAATGCGCTGCAGTTTTATGTCGCAACGGGAACACGTTAGACGAGGTATGTGATCTGCTCGCAGACTACTTAGATGAGGAGCGCGGTATGGGAACGGGCAGTGATTTGGATGCTCTGTCGACTTCAAGCCGAAATTTGGAGCTGGGAATGGAGGAAGTCGATGAAACGCCCGATGCTTTGTGGGAGGATTTTGCAATAGTGGCCACAGATTTGCTTGAACGCATACAAAATAACTTCGATAAACAAACGGAGTTGGACGAAAGGCAAAGCGCCACAGCTGCTGATAACGGAGAGGAGGTGGAGGAAAACGATGAAGAGGATGTTTTCATTGAGGAGATGTAATAGATGAAATTGTTTTTTCTAATCAACTGCTTAAGGCGTAGCTTTGTCATATTATATTAATAAGAATAGCAACATAATCCAATGATACTGATGAATAAATCCAACAGCCAATAGCCGATATAGAGTCAATGCGATAGTTTTTATTAGCTTGGAATATTTGGGTGATGACAACATCGCCTACACATACAAACACAAACAAACACAAACACACACACACACACAAACTCATGGGCCAAACTTGAAGCTACGATTTTTATTTTTACTTACTGCCTAACGCTCTTTTGTTTCCTACACACAGAGAAGCGCAGAGAGGAGCGCTTATTGGACAAACAAATATGCGCGTGTTTAAATGTCGATGTTTGTGTAACTACGTTTATGCCAGCACGAAGGCAGGAAACCATTTTAAGATTTAGGATTTGAAGGGAAATGGACATTGTACTTGAAGTTACACGTAAAAATTGACTGTGATTAAAAGATCGGATCTGTTGTTTCATTTTTAGCCGTTTTTAATTTTATGATATTCCTAATTGATGTTTAAGATTTGAATTTGTTTTTGCCGATCAGATATTTATATTTTAATTTATTTATTGATTTTGAATTTACATGTGTTGACTAGCATCAACGTAGTTGTGTGTATATATGTATGTACATACACACATATGTGTAGCTCTTTTGAAATATTATGTTGTGCATCAATGTGAACTGTTTCACAAAAAAAGCAATTAAACGCGATAAGCTCCAAATAATTGCGTTCGATAGTAGGTTTTTATCGATACACGCACGAAAGCTTGGCCTAAACTGTGTCACTTGCGCACTCTTTTGCTTTCCCTCTCTTTCTCTTCTGCACTTACTCTCCTGTAACGATCTCTCTGTGTGTGCATGTGCGTATTACCTGTTTGCCCTCCAAAAACATTTTTTGCATATACTCGTTTTGCGCTAGTATTTGTATATTAAGACATAACAAACAATTTTTTAAATTGATAAAGTTAAATGCATTGCTAAGGCAGCCAGTAGCAGTTGTTGTGGTTGTTGTTGTTGTTATTATTGCTACCCATATGACAGGCACCGTTTAATGAATCATCGTGAGCGAGTTGTGAGGCTCTCTCGTGCTCACTATTGACACTCTATTTAATAATCACTTTTGTTGTTTTTTGTGCCACAAACTCATTAAGAACGTTTTGTACGCATATAGTCTGCAACAACAATAACAGCAATAACAAGAAAATTCATGGGCAAAGAGCCCAAAGGCAAAATTGGCAAGGCACGCGCATCTGTGTATGTGAGTGTGAGCCAAACGCAAATTTGAGGTTAGGGGAGCCTTTGCTCAAATGACAACATGTACTAAATTTAAATTTAACTACGTTAAGAGCCACGGTACACAGCGAATTCCACGTAACAAAGTTCGCAAAAAATCAGCTGCTTTGCACATTATTTACAAACATACATATAAAGGGCTGTGGAAAAGAGGACCAGACTGATAGATAAATTAAAGGGTGACGGTGGGTGTATGGCTTTTTTGTAGGCCTGGGTGTGGTAAAAAAAAAAAGCTGTGCTGCAGCCGGCACACACCACACACACTGACAAACTTGTACATGCAAACGGCGATAGAGATACGAACTGCGAATGAAAAAGGTAACAGAAATTATTGCAAACGTCAGCTAAAGAAAGTCGCTGATTGGGAGAGCTAGACATGAAATAATACATACATACATATGTATATACATATGTATATATGGAAGCAAAAGCATATGGAAAATAAAGCTCGCAGATGTTATTGCAAATTTTTGTCGCATATTATTTAGCATTCTAACTGACACTCCCGCCCCCTTGTGAACCCTATCAATGATTCATCAAGATACATACATACTATATAATGCACTTGTTTGCCAAAATAGATGCCAGCAGTCGTCACCCACACACATGAAGACAACCACACAGTGTATGTGCGTTAAACTTACCAAAGATTCTCCTTCTCGGCGGCATCCTTCTTTTTCGTTGTTAAGGATGATGTCAGCGCACTGGCCGTCATCGTTTGGGTGCCGCTATCCAATGCCATAGCAATCGGTGTTTTCTTTCTCCTGCTCCTGTTGCTTTTGGCGCTTGGTTACTCCTCCAACCGACGGACGATCCCTATTGCTTGTTGCTGTTGTTGTGCAGTCGTAACTTATTCAATAGTGGCGACAGCTGCTGCGAGACGCGTAAATACAAATTTATGTACGATATGTTAGAACGACGTACACAAATAAACACAAACACATACACAACCACCGAGATAATAATAAATAAAGTCACACTTCTTATTAATTTGCCAAATCTGATTGAACAATTTAAATAAATCCACTGATTATTTATTACATATTGCCAGCTATGGCGACGTTGGCGGTGCAGCTGCAGTTACAAGGTGGCAGAGTGAGCGCCAATATAACAAAAGCAACAACAAAGCCAACAACGATCACAAAAGCAACTATCTGAATGATACCGACATTAATGTTAATGCTAAAGCTTCCGCCAACTTGTTTTGTTGCTAACTATGATTATGAATAACGTTGTTGTTGTCGCTGCTGTATTATTTTAGGGCTCTCTCTCACGGGTTGGTTCGCAAAAGCGGCCACCCGTCGTCGCCGTATGACTGAATTACTGACGCACTGAAGTATTTTCAATGGTATGTACGTTTTGGTGCATTTGAGCGCTTCATTTTGTTCTAATTTTAATAGTTTTTAGTTCTTTGGCTGCGTATATTTCGACTTTATTGTGCGCTCTATACTACGCGCTACTAGCTGCTGAGCTTTATATGAGAAAAAATGGCAAAAACGTCTTGACGTTTTGCGTTTTGTTACATTTTTTCTTTTTTGCTTCCTACGTACTGTCAGCAATTTGCGATTTAGGGGTTTCCTTTAGGCTTGCCAGATTTTTACCGGGCACTAAATTACGAGTTTAGCGTATAAATTGTTGCGTGTGCTATATTGCAATTTGTTTTAGTTGTTGTTTAATAAAAAATAACAAAAAAAATAAATAGTTTTCGCTACGCCCGAGATGATGAATACGACGAAACGAGGCACAATGTGTACACACTGCGCGTATTGAGGAAAAAGTATATAAGTGTGTCACAAGTATTAAGTTAAATTAATCGCTAAAAAACACCAATGGCCGTGGCTTACAATTATTAAAAAATAGCTTTGAAAAGCATGGCAAGGGGCCGAAAAAAAAAAGTTTAAAATAAAATGAGCTCATAAGATTCAAAATATTCTCCAGTATACAAGTACAAGTAAATGTAAACAAGAACCGTCACGTTGCCAGATCAAAATGAAAACAATGTTGCTCGTAATGGCGCATTTTTCAGATTAGATCAGACTATTTTTCTTATAGGACTCAGGGAAAAAGAGCAAACCATAAAACGTATAGACTTCTAACTAGAGTTCCTGGTATTCAAAGAAATAAAATCCAAATAGATAGATTACACTTATTAGGCAAAACATTACAAAAATTTAATTTATATAAATTAAGTTGAATTTGTTACTGTTGCTCAAATTTATGTGGCCGTAAAATATTTTCACGTTATTTAATAAAAATATATTTTCCAGTGCTTTTTTCAGTTAAAGAAAAACGTTCAATCATTTCGCTGCATTATTGTTAGAATACGTTTAAACAAACAAACGTCCCTTTCTTCGGTTCACAATTCAGTTTTTCAATGAAACTAAGTCTTTTATTAGTTTAACATTTCAAATGCACTTTGGTGCCATGACAAAAGTCATTTTCCTTTACTTATTAATGCAACGTTGTTATAAATTTTAATTTACTGACAACTAAATGGAAAAAATTTTGATTCTACTTAAATGCATAGGGCTTAGCACCTCCCCTCCCCACGAACAGATAAAAAGATTATATAGAAATATTAAAAAAACACAAATTCTGTTCTGTTCTTTCACTTGTTTCATTCGCTCAATAAAACACTTAGAATTAGATTTGTTACAGGTTTGCAAAAATTAATAAGTCTCCTAAATTATACACAAATGATTTCCAGAAAAGCTGACTAACACCAAAACAACGGTTGCTGTTCATCATACATAAGCCCCCACATTCTGTGGGCTTGAGCTTATGGGTCCAGGTCAACAACATCAACTCCGCCAGCATCTATTTAAATAAATGGCTATCAATTTTAATGTATGTATGTTTGTATAAAATTTGTATACAAATCTAAGATTAATTTTAGGGGGACTTTTTGAGGAAAAATAAAAAACTACTTGCGAATTTTATGCTTATAGAATATAACGTTTTAAATTTGGACTACAACTTGCGTGATTCACGAAAATTTAAATATCATGATGTACGGATTTTGGTACGCCTTCCGACTCCAGATGGAGATATGTAATAACTGTAACCAATAGGGGGGATCTGAATTCAAACTAACAATTGAAAATTTAGGCGTGCAAACAATTTAAATCGCGCACACAAACATAATTATGTACGAATCTAAATTATGGGGGCGCGTTCTCATTGTGTGCGCGCAGTTATCACGATATTGATTTGTGGATAGACCTCGGGCCTTGACTCCGAAGTAATTAACTGGACCATCCGCTGCTGTAACTCGTCCTGGCTGGCCTGAGTTCCTGGCGGTATCATCCAGATAGCTTCTGCAATACGCAATAAGAAACGTATTAAAATTTGATATTTAAGATGATGCGTGATCCGTTGACGCTTACCACCAAAGTACCAGCCGTTAGGTGTGCACAGACGCCACATAATGGCAGGCTGTGTGGGCATCAAATCAGCCAATATATCACAAGTTTCGCCCGGACGTAGGGACGGCACATTAATGCGTTGCGTCTGTATGGGAGATGTCAAGTAGCAGCCATTGGGCCAACGTTCTGTGCCATCGTTTTGCAGCTGAAAAGCCTGTTGTTGCGGATTCACATGTTGAATCTGTAGTATTTTCATTGAAGGCAACGATTGCAGACCGCAAAAGTCCAAATAACAACCGACTGCAGCTTGCAAGTTCCTATATTTTCAGAGTTTTAAATATTTAAATATTTGGATTGACAGCCAAGTTCAATTAAATCGATGATCAAACTACTTACCAATTGCTCATTTCCAAATAGAATCGCGCCGAGTCTCTGTTCATCTGATTGTTCATGAGGCTCTGGAACTGACTGATTAGATCCTCATGATCTGTGGTGCCCATACAACTGAATTGCTGAAGCAGCAGCGAATCAATATCATAATCATTTGTCGGCAACGCCGAACCGATGCTTTTTATTGGAGCTGCTTGTGCGGGTAGTGTGGAAGATGTTAATGATGCTGTCGCCGATACGGGCATTACTGCGGCTACCATTTGTGGAGGGGCAGGCAATGGTATTGCAATATTACTGGTATCCATCATTGGATTTGTTGTTGTTGTGGTATTTGTTGTTCCAAATAACGGCTCGCATTGCATGTCTTGTAATATTTGGATTTGTTGTTGCTGTTGCTGTCCCTGCTGCGACTGAGACTGCGGTTGGCCCTCTGTAGCACTTTGTGACTCGTAGTTTTCCTCAACATCCATTTTGGCGTTCGTTCTTTATTTTGCGTGTTGCTTCTTTCTTTATTTGCTTTTGTTGTTGTTTTGCTTAGGCGGTTCAGGTGGCTGCTACCTCTCGGCCTCGAGCTGAAATGTTGTGCCCTTTTATTGTTTTGTTTGACTGTGGATGCGAAATGCGTTGTTGTAAGTCCATTGTTTAAACTGAATCTGAGGTCTGTTATTGCATTCGCAATAAGGGCGCAACTACAACAAGCTGCCTGCAATTACCGCTTACCTTTGATAAGTCGGCCCAGCACCGTGGTAAAATGGAGCGCACTTTGCAACGCAAAAAGGCGCCTTTGTAGATTGATGAGTGGACAGACTAACGTGCAGTTTCAGTGCAGGTATTAAACTATACTATTCGTATTTTCTTTTACCAACAATGTACAATTGATGTCTTCTTCTATAATTGTTGCCATTCACAACAGGCAATCGCGATATTGCATTCCCGATATAAAATAGCGGACTTCCAAATCAATTTATGAATTAGTTCAATTTTACCTATTTTTAAAATTGTTTGCTGCTGCGTTATGTTTATAAAATGAGTTATGAATTCAGAAACTAAATAAATTCAAATATTTTGAACAAATAATTTTGATGCTATTTTTAATGAATAATATAAAAAAAAACCTGATTTAAAGAAAGCTATTTATAATAGAAGCATAACGAAAATAAAGATGTATTTCATTGACTAATGTTTTGAATAAGCTATTACAACTAATGATTGTACTTTTGTATGCATGAACCAAATGAACGGTAAATCAGTTCAGTAGCTCAACTAATTTGGAATGAAAGTACGATATGTGTATGAATGCAACCCGTCTAGCTAGAATTTGTTGACGCAATTGTGTGGCAACACTGACACTCATTTGACTCAATCTTTCGCCATTTGCTTTGTCGCTTTGTCGCACTGTGTGGTATTTCTAGTACTGTGATCAAAGTTAAATAAAACACAAGGAAAATGGTAATAATAATTGAAGATAATATTGAAAATAATTAGTTTGCGGCATTAGCAATACGTGAACAATTGAAATTTTTGCTTTTCATTGACAACTTCGTACAAATTTGCATTTTTATTTGCCGGGTGTGTGTTGTAGACGGTGACGGTAATGGCAGATGCCAAAGGCAAAGCATTTGACATGCCTGCACGTGAGCGCATTATTTCCAGAATGTTCCTTCAATCGATTTTATTTCATAAATTAATTGCGGAATGTGCAGCGATGTCGCACAAAAGACTTCTGTAGACTAGGAAATAAAGAAATTTCTAGATGCATTGCACGCTTTTAGGTGTGTACGCACACCTGCGAGTTAGCCGCTTCTGTTGCCGATGAATCACGCACAAATTAGGGTTAGGTCGAATGCGATGCGCTGTGATGTGACAGTAATTTATGCATTCATAAACAAAACGTTGTATTTCAACATAAACACTGCAAATTGCATTTTGCTTTAAATTACAGGAGATGTCCTTAAATCCGGTGCGCGTCCTCAAGAGCGAGGCGGAGGAGGATAAAGCCGAAATGGCGCGTTTATCTTGCTTCATTGGTGCCATTGCAATCGGCGACCTTGTCAAAAGTACTCTGGGACCTAAGGGCATGGACAAAATTCTTGTCTCCTCTGGTCGCAATGCTGGTCATATTGAAGTCACCAACGATGGTGCAACCATATTGCGTGCCGTTGGCGTAGATAATCCCGCTGCAAAGATTCTTGTCGACATGTCTCGAGTGCAAGACGAGGAAGTTGGTGATGGTACCACATCGGTGACTGTTTTAGCCGCCGAATTGTTGCGTGAAGCTGAAAAGCTGGTCGAGCAGAAACTCCATCCACAGATAATTGTTTCTGGCTGGCGTATAGCTACGCAGGTTGCATTGGATGCTCTCACAGCTGCAGCCCAAGACAATTCAACAAACAATGAGAAGTTCAAGAAGGATTTGATGAACATTGCACGCACCACACTTTCATCGAAAATTTTGCATCAGCATAAGGATTTCTTTGCCAATTTGGCTGTCGATGCTGTGATGCGTCTAAAGGGTTCTGGCGAGCTGAACTCCATACAGATCATCAAGAAGACTGGTGGTACATTGGAAGACTCGTTCTTGGATGAAGGCTTCCTGCTGGACAAGAAGCCCGGCGTGCACCAGCCTCAACGCGTATGTTTAAAGTTTTTAACTACTATGTTGCATTAGGCCTTTAGATTAAGAATCATGCTCAATATCAGTTCGTCAAATTGACTGTGACTTATGTTGTTTTGCACTCATATCACAGCCATTTTGACGAGTTTGATGTGGAGTAAAACGCTGCAGGTGCCGAAATGAAGAAATCGTGAATCATACTTATACTATGCCTAAGATTTGCATTAAAGTGTGTTTTTTTTTCTTAGATTGAGAACGCAAAGATTCTCATTGCCAACACACCAATGGACACAGACAAGATTAAAGTATTTGGTAGCAGCATTAAGGTGGACTCACTGGCCAAAATCGCCGACTTGGAAATGGCCGAGAAGGAGAAGATGAAAGAAAAGGTTGACAAGATATTGAAGCATAAATGCAATGTGTTTATCAATCGCCAGCTTATCTATAATTACCCTGAGCAACTGTTTGCCGACGCCAATATCATGTCCATTGAGCATGCCGATTTTGATGGCATCGAACGCTTGGCTTACTGCACTGGCGGCGAAATTGTCTCGACATTCGACAATCCAGCTCTAGTCAAATTGGGCGAATGCCAACTGATTGAGCAGGTTATGATTGGCGAGGACACATTGCTCCGTTTTAGCGGCGTTAAATTGGGCGAGGCTTGCACTGTTGTCATTCGTGGCGCTACACAGCAGATTCTGGATGAGGCCGATCGTTCCCTGCACGATGCTCTTTGCGTACTGGCTGCCACAGTCAAGGAGTCGCGCATTATCTATGGTGGTGGCTGCTCAGAGGCATTGATGGCCACAGCTGTGATGAAGAAGGCATCCGAAACCGCCGGCAAGGAAGCTATTGCCATTGAGGCCTTTGCACGTACGTAATCAGCGTATTAATATTTTTATTTTGCGCTTAACACTTAGCCTGTTTTTTTCATTTCCTTTTACAGGTGCCTTGCTGGCGCTGCCCACAGCCATTGCCGATAACGCAGGCTACGATTCAGCACAGCTGATCTCGGAGCTACGCGCAGGACATGCCCAGGGCAACCATAACCTAGGTCTCGATATGGAGCAGGGCAAAATAGGTGATGTCCGTGCACTGGGCATCACCGAATCCTTTGCGGTGAAGCGCCAGGTGCTCTTGTCCGCCGCAGAGGCTGCTGAAATGATTCTGCGTGTGGACGACATTATAAAGTGTGCGCCACGCCGACGTGTGCCTGATAGGGGTTACTGTTAAACTTAAGTATTCGTATCGTATCTAGGATCGTTTACATTTATTTTAAAAACTCGTCTAACATCATCTCTATTTTAATGTTTTGTTTAAACTAATTACCCACGCATTACATTAAAAAATCAACAAATACACCCACAATACACAAAACAAGATAGAAAACCTTAAAAACGAAATTTTCTGTCATTAAACTGCATTTGGCAAAATACTATTAATATGAACAAATGATAAAATCTACAAAAAAGAGCGATTAGCTCGCAAACGAATACACACACACACACATTTTAAAAATGTCTAAAACTACAAACTATCAAATGAATACAATCTTTGTAAACATTTTGATAAAACGTTAAACCAAACTGCAAACGAAAATAAAAATAATATTTATGCTTAACAACCAAATGCTCTAATTGTTGAGTCTTATTATACTGAAATACAATGAAGATATCTGGAATCTGACTTGAAAACTTCATGGAAAACTTTCAATAAACTTGCCAAAAGAGGCCTATTGAATCTAGGTGGGACTAAAGTCATTATCCATACCTAGAGTTCAAACAAAGCTCAGCGCTATGTTCGAGCTTAGCGTCGATATCGTAGAGAACCGATAGACCGAATTCTGGAAGAAATTCATTCTGCAGTATTCGATTTTAAAAACGGATCGTATTTCGAAAACCCCCAAGAATAAGGTGATAAATAATCGGTGAGTACTTTATTGTTAAATAAAAACCATCTTAATTTAGAAAGGAACACACGGTATAGCGAACACTTCTTTATTGCAAACTTTACAATGAAACTTTCAATAATTTAAAAACAAACATATCCGTACTTGTGGTTGTTAATTATAACGCCGTCAAGTCTGTTGCCTATTCGAGTACAAAAACAATTTGTAGCGAGCAAAGCTGCACAAATACAGCTAAATAATACATATATGTATATGTGCTCTGCAGATATCGGTTATAAAGAAGAATTTTTAAACACAAATAATTTCTGGTATTTGTATTTTGAATAGATTTGTTGTTGGTTTTCTCAAATCCATTAGTCTACATTAATAAATTACTTATGGTAGTATGAATATTTTTCAAATTTGTAGATTTCAAATAAGCGATATCTGCCGCACGCTTTTTTATACATACATACATAATATCGTTTGTTCAAATTGTGATTTCGAAAACGCCGCACGCTCAACACAATAAAAATTTGAATACATATACATGCATACATACATATACAGACACATACACACATAGATATGTAAGCAAAAACCTAAGTAATCGGCAACTAAAATTATATACAGTGGACCCAAAGGATTTGGGCATCAGGCGGGCGGTTCTGACTAAACTTAAAATCGTTGGGAAGTGCAGGTAAGAAGACGCGAACATGATAGGGAGAGACGAAGAGAGAGAGAGAAAGTAGGCATATATTGATATAGAAAGAGAGAGCGAGTTTCTGAGGTTCGTGGTGATCGTTTATGGTACATATACATATATAGTAGAAGTTAAGTGTACATTGTGCAGTCATCATTTCTGGTCTTAAAACATCCACCATCGAGTCATACATGTATATATATTTACGAGATGGCGCATTCCATTTCGCCATGCTTGGGTACACAGTCAAGGACTAGAGCCACAGCACGGGACATATAGGTCATGGTTCCATAGCTGCCGCTGGGCGCACTGCAAAGAGAGAGAGAGAGAGAGAGATAGATGTTTATAATATGTGTGATTCAGTTAAGTATTTATCGATATTGTCAATTCAAGTGGGGTTTACTATTAAAATCTCATTTCAATTTCAAGATTTTTTAATCCAATTTGAATCTAATTTTAAAGAGTCTCTTTTTATATATCGATAATTGGATTTTAAATTATATTTCTCTCACCTATCGTACAGATGTTGGCATATATATGCGGCGCCACCGCATAACAACATTCCGGAGGCTGCCTGTTGTTGTTCCTTGCCATCCTTAAGCTTGGCACAGCACAGCGTTGCGTCGCCCTGCACCTTGCGCTGGTCCTCGAGGAACAACTGATTGGCCTTATGCACCAGATGTTCCACACAGATGATGTCGCCCAGCGATGCCACCATATTGTGTTCGGTTACAAGAGTTAGGACCATCAATGCCTCCACGACCAGCTGTCGATACTCGGGCTGTGGGATCTGATTCAGGGCCGTCTCCACTTCGAGGGCAAACTTCAATTCGCCGGGGGTCATCTCTTGTGTCAGACTCTGTTGGAGTATACGTCCTTCGATGGCGAGTCCCTGACATTTTTCCAGCACGGTCCATACACGCGAGTAAAAATCGCGTGGCACACGATTTAGGGCGCCATCCAGACGACGACGACGCAACCATTGACCCTGACGATCATCGATGGTGGCTATGAGCGCATCCTCTCCTTCCGGATCGCCCAATCCGATCTGGCTTTTCTTGCTGACGCGACTCGACTTGCAGCTAACAATTGATAGATTGCCCCGTGCCACTAAAAGTACAGATCAATGATTTATAATAGAGGGGGTCTTTTAAATTTTACTTTTTCTTAAGCACATACCGCTGCTAACAGCAAACTCCTTGCCACTGAGTATATGGTACAGAAGGTTCTTCATTTCGAAGGGTGACAAATTAAGTAGATGCTCCGAGGCGGCCTCACCGCCGCAGTTCAGTGTGCGCGAAAGCTCCTTCGCCATTACCTGGATTATTAGACCTACGCGCAGTCGTAACATTTCGTGGAACAACTGCGGCTCAGTGCGTATGAACATCGCCAGATAGACCATTAGCTCTTGTGTCAACATCGCTGTACTCTCATCATCACCATAGGCCTATAAAGGAATTACAATTAAATAAAATCGTGCTCCAAAATTGGGAAGACGTAGTCCGTACTTAATCGATCGTAACTTACCAAATATAGTTATTACTATATGATATGTTATATTTATAATAATAAAGCTGTAGATGGTTTGTAATATGACTGATCTGCATATGAATACGACATGTCTACATGCCAAGTTTGAAAGTCCTAACTATTATGGCTCAGAAGTTCTCGATGTTCATACGGTCGAACAAAGGGACAGACAGACGGACGGATGAACGGACACACAGACAGACAAGGCTACATATATTGATCTCGTTAAGCCAATCATTAATGTAGCTTTAACATGCGGACTTCAAGCGGACTTTAAAGACTTACAGTACATAACACTTTTTCCCAATAGTTGGGTATAAATAAAATACGTACTAGGAATGGAACCACATACTTACATCATGTATCAGTTGTCTCAGCTCGCCCTCTGGCAAGGGTGCCGTTATGGTGTGCTCATTATTGGGTGGCATACCCACCGTCACCTGTTTCTGGCGCACAAGCAAATCAGTGACGGCCTTGGCCAGATCCTCAACACGTTTGCCCAACATGCCGGCGGTGTGTCGGACCAGACCCCAGAGCTTTTGCTGGCAGGCCTTCTCGTAGAGGCCCTTCAATAGGTCGCGCACCGTGACGACGCGTCCCTCCTCCAGCATGCCTTCAGATTGAGAAGAATCGATGTTATTGAGACTGTTGTTGCTCAAGGCGGAAGCGACTGGTGCGGCCACATTAGCGGCTGCTGCGATTGCGTTGTTTCCGTCTACGGTGGCGGCGGCTGAGGCGGTTGCGTTGTTTGCTGTGGGTGTACTTGGATCTATGATCACAGTCGGTGGCACAACAACATGAAATTGCGGCCTCCCCGCATCATCACTATCACCAGCACCAATCCCACCACCACCTGGAGTTGCAGCAGCCAAGTCAAGCACCACATCATCCCCAAATGCTTGCTCGAATTCTTTTGTTGTTATTTGTTGTTATGTTTTGCGCATTGCATTGGTTTTTTGGTTTTGCGGTTAGTTCGGTTTGGGGGTATTATGATTGTTGTTGACGGATTCGTTATAAAGGCCACAAGGTTAGTCGATGCATAGGTGATTGAAATTTGTTGTTAGATTAATGAAAGGGCCGAAAAGAACATGCAGGAAGCAAGTATTTCCAGTGTGTGTGTTGTGTGTGTGTATGTATGTGAGTGTGTGTTGTGGGTGATGTTTGTATGCATGTGGAATAGATTTAAAAAGAATGAGATAAAGCAAAATTATAGGGTTAATAAAGCAAAAGCATTAATTGTCAAATTAAGAGCGCAAAAGATAAAAAGAGAATATGTAGCTCAAAACCAAGTGGTTTCACAGGACTCCAATTGATCTTAAGTGCTTCTCAAATGAGTTATTGCAGGATCCAATGTAATCTTAAGTGGTTCCAAGGGATTCCAAGTAATCACAAAGGACCTCAAGTAATTTTTAGTGGTTCCTAAGAGATCACAAGAAATCTAATGTGGTTCTTTGGGGATCCCAATTAATAGTAAGTGGTTCCTAAAGGTTCCCAAATGATCTTAAGTGGTTCCAAGGGATCCCAAGTGATCGTAAGTGGTTCCTAAGCGATCCCAACAGAGCTTTATTGGTTCCAAAGACTTCCAAGTGATCCTAAATGTTCTCAAGCGATGCCAAGAGGGCCGTGCGTGTGTATGATGTATGTAATGTGACTGATATTATAGAGACAGGCAGATACAAATACTCGTATAACATATAACGCATAGAGATGGATAGAAGGAGGGAGTAGAATATAGTTTGTTGGGACTGTGAAAACTTTGAAAATATTAACAGTCTAACAGTAGGAGAGTTGTAGGTAGAGGAATATTTATGAATGTACCACAACTCCAAAAAAACGCTGCACATTTAACAAACAAATCGTTGTGGGTGGCCCGCACACTGGCACTTGCCATCATTATTGGCGGTCGAGCTTCTTTAATATACATACATATATGATTTTTTGAATGGGAGCACTTACCGACATTATCATCATCATGTTTATGTCTAAAGCCCAAGCCAGCTGTTCGAATATAGTGACAAAGCACAAGTACCAACAAAGAACGAGACACAAAACAGTTAATGACATACATAGAGTGTTCAGATGTTTATACATATGTATATAGCAGATAATGACGCTTGAAACGCAACGATTTCACAGTGGAATTGATTTAATTTTGACTTCCCTGCTACACTGATTTTAAATATATAACTTCTAATACTATGTCTATATTACTTGGTGGGACACATAAACTGTGAAATCGTTCCCCAAGCCTTAGTTCTGTGCAAAAACTAAGATATCCTAACAATCAACACAGTATGTGGGTTATATGTTGTATATAGTATGTATGTCTGATTTAATATGTGTGTTTATATATGTATGTATGTGTATGCGTGTTTATAAGTGCATCTGTGCGTCGCATTGTTTCTTATTTGTAGGATCTGTAGGCGTGCTTGAAAGCCTTGTGCGGTTTAAAGTTTAAACTCTGCTTTTGGGTTTATCCCAATTGTGCCTACTACAATGGATCTGCATGGGTTTTTTTTACGTATATAGCTTCAACTTACCCGTATTGAAATCTAGACCCTGTGTATCCACCAAATATTGCAGAATATCGCCCTGCTCCTCGAGATTCTCAGTTTCGCGCAGCATCGCGATCAACTCTTCCACTTCTGTGTCAGCAAAATTGTTATCCGCACGATGGCGTTGGATGAGAATTTTTGGCACGGTTACTATTTTTGTAATTTGTATTCCCAACGTAAAACCGAAACGAACGGGAAAGGTAAACCATAAAAATAAAAATTTAAAACGTAAGTACGAAAAAATAAAAATAATAGAAAATGATAACACATGTATATACATACGTAATGTGAATAATAATAGGTACTATATACATCTAATATTCTCAAATATATATACAAGGGTATTATGTAATAGACATCTAGGATTTCCATAACCAATATTTAAACGAAGTAAAACAAAAGTAATATGCAATTGAAGACATAATTCCCTTATCCCTTACGCTCTCTTGTTTGTACTAATTGTTTCCATATCAGCTATATACCATATATATTAGGCCGATTTAAATGAACTTTCAAATGCATAGTGCGGCATTTGTTTGCGATATCGTTTTTAGTGCTTCGATCATTTTCAAGAACTTCAGAATATACTGGTGCTTTATAAATCTAATTAAAATTGTAGTTTTTTCTTCTAAGCCATAAGATATAGAGCATCGATTTTGCTAAAACTATGGAATATATTGCGCACTAACTATAAAGATTTTTTAAATACGAAGGTTCTTTACGATATCGTCATTACCCAAAAAATGTTTGTTTGATAATTTGTAATCGTTTATTATACCTATATCAGCTATAGAATTTAGTTGACCGATTTCGTTGAAAACTCTGAATAAATTGAGGCACCGTATAAAAACCTATAAATATCCACTTTGATAAAAAATCTTTGCATGTTGTTCTACCGAGTCTGATTTTTACAACGATCGGTCCTATGGCAACTATATATGTATAAAAAACTTTTGTTCAAAAGTTCTCGATATAATACTATAACTATTCATGCTCTTCAAACAGTGACTAGTGAAATTTTTGGACAAATATTAATCCGAACTGTGCTATCACATAATCCCAGACATAAAAACTGAGGTAAAAATTATAATTGGATAACAATAATAAGAGGGAGTTCCGTTTCAACTAACTCTCTTGCTGGCGCACAAACTCGCTGCGTCGATCGATGGCCGAGCGACTGTGATGGGGATCTATAGGATAGATATTCTCACGTATGAGTTCGCCACCCAAATGCGGTGGCGAACTGGGCCCCTCCTCGGGCGTGGTGGCGAACACACTGACATGGCTCTGTTGGTTGGGGTGCAGCCATGGCGGTGGCACAATTGATGAGAGACGTCGTTCGGTTAGGGGTGAAGGTCCCTCCATGCCCAGATTATCGGCTGCGAAACAGAATATTTACAACATGCAGGCAACATGCAGAAGATTGTTCGAGCAAATCAGTTCACTCCACACTCACAGTCCACATTGATGGAGCGCGTCTTCTTGATGGCGCCCTTACAAGACATGCGTCGGCGCAGATGACGCGGACGCAGTTGTCCGCCCCGTAGATTCATGGTGTTCCGATTGCTGAAGGAGCGCAGCAAATGCTCATCCAAATAGGTTTGGACATCCGGATGTAAGCGATCCGGATAGCCGTCCTCGGTGCTACCCAAAAAGCTCAGATCCGTTATGGCCGAGGTGTTCAGAAAGTCCTTCAGACTGCCCAGCATAACCCGTGTGCCGTTTATATAACCGGACTTCAGCTTCCGCATTGTCTGTATCATCGCCAGCGGTATTTTGTCCTGATCTGTGATGTGCAAATGGTGCAAGGTGTGGATGTTTGGTTTGAGTGTGAAATGCGTGCGATAGAAAGTTTTTATTAGCAATTATCGTAAGATCCTAGTCGTCGTGCATTTTAGAGGCATTCCGGTTTACGGGTTAGTGTGCGTATCTTAATTCTAATGATGTTATCTTTAACTTTTTACAAGTATTTACAAAATACAACAATAACCGACATACAATGTCAGAGAAGTCGGAAATCTATAGTTAATAGCGGTACCAGCACCAATTGCCGTTGCAGTTGTTAGTCACTGTACATAACCAAGCAGTGTTATTTAAGGATTAGGCAGTGTTCACACACATAAAATAATACAAGAAGGCATTTTACTAAGTAGTCGGATGCAGCAAGTTGTGGACCTGTCTGTGTTGGCGAACACTGGCAGAGAACAGCGGCGTCGATGTTGTAAAGCAGCCCAAGATATTGCCTATAAAAACTTCTTGAAGGTACCAAAGATATTAGTGTGAAATCTCTAAGGGGACTTCTCCACTCCAACTCCATTTTTGTGATTCTTCTTCTTTTTTTTTGAATTTTCAACTCGAAGATTTGTTAAGGAGTGTACCGAAAAGAAACTGCAGAGTAGTTATTGTCACTGAGGTTATAAAAATTTATCAACTTGGATAACCAAAGATTAGATTTGTAAATAAATTTTTTTCATTTTATACATTTCAATATTTATAGTGCTATTTGTGAATAAATAGTCTAACAGTAAAGAACTTTACATGAATCTACCTTAACTAATATATGTTTCGGACCAGTAATGGTTTGAGATGAAAATTCGGAAATAAAGGGACGCAGAATAACCTCACTCGAGTAAACCTAATACGATCATCTCACATGGTGGGGAATATAACAATTGTGTAGATTACTTTTCGGTACAGCCGTTTCTTTTAAAGGATGGTAAAACTCTAGTCTCCTAAAAGATTTCTGCAGTTCTTTCAAATAGAATAGCGACATGCAGGGAGCAATGGGGCTTACATAAATACATACATAAGGTTGCAAAATGTACACATAAAGTTTGTATATATTGGTGGGCAGAAATAGAGAAAATAGCATTAGGCAGGTGTACACAATAGGAATAAAGCAGTAGAAGCTAAAAGCGCAAAGAGCAAAAGTTGCAATTTTGTAAACATCATTGTAAATCAATCATCAACACAATATGTTTTTATTTTTTTTTAAATACAAAAAATTAGCTTCATGTACTGCATTTTATAACCGTGGCAATGTTCTGAAAGTATTGAGCTTTTGGAAAACTCAAAAAGAAATTGACACTTGACCGACAGCGTAAGATACGAGGAGTTAACTTTAAGATGCAAATGTGCCTTGTGAAAGTTTGTAATCACGATTACAATGTTTGTTTTGAAAACTTAATTTTTCAAATATCTTAGGATTGAGAACTATATAGTATGTATGTAACTCTCGTGGCTGCAGAATTTGCAAATGTACTTTAGGGCCAGACATTTGTATACTAATTTACAATTTTCGAATTATCATTTAGTTCGTGACAGTCGCAGTCAAACTTATATATTCATTATCATGAAAAATAGAAGTTTAGTTTACAAAATGTTCTAACTGGAAGTTCTTTTACTCGAAGTTCTCAGATATATCCGCAGTGAACTTACATAATAATAAATATTATTGCAATTCAGTTGATTTCCAAAGATGGATATGCATGAAGTCCAGGTTTTGAACTCCCTTGTATGACACCGATCGAGATGGTTGATATACTATGTATATTATATCAAAATATATTTTCCCATATGACTGATAAATGTAATATAATTGTAATATAATTCTTGCAACACAAATCAGATATTGATATCAAAAATTTTGTGAATTGCGACTTTCGCTACTAAGTTTCTTACCTGGTTTTTGAATCTGATTAATAGTAATAGTACATAGCAATGGAATAGTAATTGATTTTAGAAATCTTGTGAGTTGCAGTCTTACATTCGTCACTAAGTTTGAAAAGTTTTTTTTGATAGCTCTCTAACTTAAACTTCTTAAGACATTGCCAAGTTTTTCGATGCAGTTCATATACTAATTATGATTGTTGTTGTTCTATATACACGTAGGTTTATAATATGCATATACTTGTATGTATCTAATTATAAATACACATTTGTATGCAGCGTGTTTTTGTTGTGTTTTGTCTATTGTTGTAGTATGTGTTGTTTTTTGGGGTTGTTGGGTATGTGTGTATGTGTGTGTTTGTAGTTGTAGTTATAGGTATGTAGTTACCTAGCATATAATGCGTAGCCATTAATGTGATTGTCGGCCTGCCCAACATGTGACGCCAATTGTTGGTTAGAAAGGCTAAATTTGTGGTAAAATTGCTAGCGAGCAGATCGGGATCGCGTGTCGTGTAGTATTCTTCGTAGTCGATATGCTGTGTGTTGTTGTATGGGATTGATGTTGATTGGTTGGTTGGTTGTTGTAGTTGTTGTTGGTAAACAAAATATAACAAAAAAAAAGAGAGGAGATATTTTTTGTTCACATTTTTTTATAATTGGCCAATTAATCAATTGTTTCTTATTTGTTTATTGTTTGGGGAGCAGCGCGGAGCAAAATAGTAATAGTTTTCAGTGAGTGGTGAGTGGAGAGAGTAATAGGAAAGTAAAGATTTCTGAAAGCTGAACTAAAAATATATATGTATATATAAAATAATACGGTTGTGTGTGTGTGTCTGTGTGTGTGTGTGTGAGTCGTTGCCGAAGCCCGAAACCAAAAAAATTGCCAAAACTAAGTAAGGAACTAAGTAGAAATAGGTCAGTGGCTAAAACTAAAAGGATTAACTTAAATTTGTGCACTTTCCGTGTATGTTGTGTATGTAGATATGTGCGTGTGTTTGGATTTTAGCTTGTGCTGGCAAATAACTAAAATTATAACTAAGGTGTACAGGTAAAAAATAAACGCAACCCTTGCAAGTTAGACAAAATTGTAGTCAAAAAGATAAATAATAACAAGAAAATCAATTTCTCCGGCATGCCGTAGCTTTTAACACAACCCTGCAACTATCTTTCTTCGTGGATTTATATTATTATTAAAGTGGAGCAAATTATATGTCTTTACGTATTAACCCTTTTTCACACATTTAAGGTGAAATTTTGCCTTTTGCAATTTGATAGTGCGCTATATTTGTTCCTATAAGTTCTATGATAATGACAGAGTTTCGGACAGCTCAACACATGTTATACTCATAATGAGATTCATATATTTTCTGACGAAATGCCGAAAAGCTTTATCTGTAAGAGATTCCAATTCATGTTGGAATAAAACCGTTATGGTTATTTTCAAGCTATAGATTAGATTAATGGACTATATATATTATATATATTGGTAAAAGTTTTGTATAAAAAACATGACTGCAATGTTATATTATTTTTGGAGCTAGTGGAAGGGCTGTGCTTTAAAAATTTTGGAAAAATAAAACCACACAACAATAAAATATAATTAAATGTACAATACGCTCTAAATAAATATATGTATATATATGTAATATCTGACTGAATTTTGCAAGACCGACCTAAATGTATGCGCTTCAGCACTAACGTTACTAACGGACGTCCGAGCAGATCCCAAGCGGACTTGAGAAAATTGATTTCGCCTTTTAGGATGTCAATCATAAGTTCGTTATCGGATGCGATATAGAAGCGCGACAAGTCGACAAACTGATACATAGTAACAATATAATAATAATAGTAATTAAAAAACACATGTGAAAATCATAAGCACAGAATAAATGAGAAAAAAAAGTCTGAGCATTAAATAGAAATAACATAGATAAATAGATTTTAAAAAAATCATAATGGAAAGAAGAGAAAGAGCAGGGGAACAGGGCAGGACAGATGCAAGTTGAGTGCACGGATTGCGAGCAACTCACCTGCGGTGTAAAGGCAAAGATACGATCCTTCAGGGAGTACAGCTTGCTGGTGCTCAAGATGCCCACATCGCGAGATTTGCGTCCCGTCAATCCCAGTTTCCGATTACGGCCCAAATACGTGTACAGATGACTGAGCACGCGCGCCGGTTGAACCTCAATGGGCGCCACCTCGGCAATAGTTTGTACATGTAAATCGTGTTCGGCCAATTTGTCGCGTATCTCATTATCCTCGGCTATGATGACAACCTGTACAACAACGTCGGGTTTCTTTTGTGCTCCTAGACGCCTATTTAAAGGATCTAATTCACCGACAGCCAGAAAACCCTAAAATAAATTTTAATTCGTCAATTAAACCCGCAAAAATATTATAATTTCAGCTTACCTCTTGCAGCAGACGACCCAAAATGAAGAGCGATTGACCCCAGAGAAAGGGACAACGACCCACAACTTCACGCAACTGCGAGCCGGGCTTCTCATATTCGAAGCCCACTAGATCCATTGGCACCGCATAGCTCTCGGGTATTAGCAGAATGCCATCGTCCGAACGTACCATAATTTTCTGGAAAAAATCTGAGTGTTAGTTGAAATACTCCAAATAGGCAGCAAGTATAGTATATACCTCCAGGCGATCCGCATAATCCTGTACCGAGCGCTTGTCGTTTTGAAATGCGTGAAACAATATCAAGTAGCAAAAGAAGAGCGGCCATTCACACTCAATGTTCTCGAACATGCGCAGCTCCCAGCGCTCATAGTACAAACGGGACGGATCCTCCTTGGGTGTGCGATAGCCATCGCGCAAAAACCGCTTGCACCCATATTTTCCCTGCAGCCGTGACAGAATGGCATCTTTGGTATTGTGTATCAGTTGCGCATCATCGGCAGCAAAAGCTGGAAACCCAATAACACAGAGCAGGCCCGAGTCCAGTTCCTTGCTATTGGATTCACGTGGCAGCATCGATTGCAGCACAGCCTGGCATTTGTGCGCCTCATCGGCCAAAACGTGAATAACGCTAGCCGGTCCTCCGCGTGCACCAAACAAATCCAGTTCATTCATCGCCTCTAGTGCCGCCTTGGCCATGCCAATAGAGCTGGCATTGAGCTCAGGTTCACCTGTGAAAAATGCAAGCAGCATTAGTATGTATAAAATATTTAACACCACAGAACACCACAGTTGGGTAAAAAAATCAAACTGTTTTAATAAAAACTCACCATGATTGGTCTTATCGCCGCGCTCCCAAATTCCATAATCCGGTATGGAGTAGGCAGACTCAATATAGAATACAAGATTCTGTATAAAGGAGACTTCGTCTAGCGAGAAAACGATCTGCAAGCCGGATGCTGTCATTTGTGCCAATATCAGCAGATATAGCGAAACGGCATCGATTTGCAAATGGCCCCATTCGTTATCACCGACGACGGGTAACCCATTCTTACTTGAGTACTTGGCATGCAACGAATCGCAAGGACTTTGTGTCGTCTTGAATTTCTCTACTTTATCCTTTTGATTCATCATCGCCATAAGGAGGCCGCGCATTAGTTTGACACAGCTTTGCTCCAGCTCATAGCATTTGGCGCGATCCTCGTCCTGATCCGCAATCTTTTTATAGGCCATGGACAGGCCCCAAACGGCGAGTATACAATACACATTGTCGCGTATCCAGGCATGTGAGTTAACATTCGAGGCGGGAAATAGGCCAGTCACCGGCTCTTGGTGGGCCAATATCAGACGATGCACAATGCGCTGATAGTAGTCTAGGCGTACGCCGGAATTACTGCGGGAACGCATCTTGTGTGGACTGGCACGGGCACGGAGACGGGCACAATCCACTTGGGACTACAATAATTCATACGCTTAATATATGAATAGCTTACCTTAGAATATACGCATACTTACATAATTTCAAGTTTGTTATTGTCTATGCGTTTGTTGGCCCTGACGCTGCTGTGGCATGCAGCCTAGCGTCCGGGAACCAAAACTAAAACCACAACACCAACAACACACTGGCACAGGCAGAGAGTCTAGAACCTGCCGCATTCAACATACACGTCTCTGTTCATTATTATCAATGTCGTCGTTGGGTTGGTTATGAGGCACGCAGTTGCCGAAAATATGCTGGACGGCACTTAATTAAAATTAATTATTATAAATTGATCGCTGAAGTGTCTTTGGTTTTTATTGCAAAAAAAGAGTCTATTATATTTAATACCAAATGTCAATTCAATGTCATGTCAAACAGCTGTGCAACGGCTTGTCAAAATGGGTAGCGCAGCGGGGACGCAATGCGCATGAACGCCATCTTGATTTTGAAACAGCTGGAAGCGAAGGCGCGCATTCAAACGAGAGTCTGAATGTGTGAATTTCAAATTTTGCTTACATTCCAGCTCCAGCTTCCATAATATAAGAGGAATTATAAAAATTTTATTTTAAATATTATGAGACACCACAAGTTATCTTTAAAGATATCTTCAAACCCAATGCTTATATGATAAAAGAAAACATTTAAATTGTAGTTGTTTACTTCAACGAAGTGCACAAGAACAATACGATTTTTGCTATTATTGCTGTTTTTTTTGTACAAAATTATTTATTTATAAAAACGAAAAGCCTATTCAAATCATTAAATATTTTAAAAATAACTTTTTAGCTTGTATTGTAGCTCTGTTTTAAATGAATTGCATCATTTCTGCACCAAATTTCATGGTTTCGCGAAATTTGTTGAGTATTTTGGCCTAATTGAGGTCCTGTTGATGCAGAAAATACCACCGAGAATTTGAATTCAATTTTTTTTAATGACGATTCGTCTCTGATCCGTATCCAACAAAAAACGAATCTTAACTTTCACGAAAAATCACACATGAGCTTAATACTATATAGCTCCTACATATTCGTATGTACATACATACCTACATGTTTTAAAAAATCTAAAGCAACTACGCGAAACAACTTTGTGATACTACAAAGGATCAACTGGTTTTTTGTAATTCATATGCTTTAACCAGTTTGTTTGCAGGAAAATAAAAGCAGGTTTTTCTTTCTCCCATCGACGATTCCCTTCTTAACGAAATACACGTGCAAATGTAAACTGAGCTTTTTGTATGGTTGAACCATACATTGACCTTTCAATTTATAAGCTATATTGAGTGGATAAGACAGAGAGCGCGTCTCTGTTCACTGATAAGAATATAGAAATTGCGTTATTATAGACACTCTTCTAATAAGTCTAAAGTTCCGCGTCGGCAGTTATGGTAACAAAGTCCAATGGATTATTTTTCGTCCTTGTTATCGTATGGATAGATTCGATCGCAAGCGCAAGTACGTATGTATGTACCTTCATGTCGATTTACTTGCAACACTCATTCAAACATCCACCCAATCACACAGAGCCACTGATACACTATGGACGTTGTCTAGTGGATTCAAAACAGGGCAACTGCCTGCCCCGCTCTCAGTGCTGGCAGAAGGATATAAGCGATAACTATTTTGAACGCAACAAATGTTCCAGTGTAGTCCATGAAGATTTGGCAAGTTGAAAACAGTTAAGCCCCTTCAAGATTAAATTAACTCTAATGCCAATTCCCGTGCAGATGTGTTGTACACATAAAACAGAGAGTCCAATCAACACCACTTCTAATAATACAGCAAGCAATCGATACACCAGCGCTCCCATTAAGCTGCCCCCTTCTCAGGTGTGTGGGATTGCGCTTCTGGATCGTATTGTTTATGGCATTCAGGCTGATATTAGGGAATATCCATGGATGGCACTGTTGCGCTACACTTTTGATGGTAAGAGAGAGCTGTCGAAGTTATTCAAGCCACAGCGATCAAACGATTCCATTTCTCCTATTATTATTTTATAGATGTCGAATACACTCATGGATGTGGAGGGTCGCTGATTCACGAGCGTTGGGTTTTGACGGCAGCTCATTGCGTGCCTCGTGAGGATCATACGACTAAACGACTCACGCAAGTACGTCTGGGCGAATGGAACCAGACAAGTGCACCCGATTGCCAGCAGTTTCGTCAGGGACCCATCTGTGCGCCAGCGCATCAAGATGTGCCCATCGATCGAATAATTATCCACGAACTCTACTCAATATACGCGCCCATGTATCCAAATGACATTGCTCTGTTGCGATTGGAGCGTGCTGTTACGTTCAGCGAGTATGTGCTGCCTATTTGCCTGCCAGCAGCCAATAATCAGGAAACGCACGAATATACAGACCACGTCATGGATATAGCGGGTTGGGGCAATACAGAGACAATACGCTTTGGTGGGAGCCCGTTAAAGCGCAAGACTTCGCTGCGAGTTCTATCACTAGCCAGCTGTCAGCGGCTCTTCGCCGATGTTGTTGGAAGTCAGATATGCGCGGGAGGCACTACAAACGCGAGCTCTTGTCACGGCGACTCAGGCGGTCCGCTGATGAATTTGGCCAAAAATAGCATTGGCAGTACGAGCTACTATCTCGTTGGGATTGTCTCGCTTGGCACTCAGAGTTGCGCCAATCACGGATTGCCTGTGATCTTTACTAGAGTGGAACGATTTGTTAACTGGATACTGCACAAAATGAGCACAAATATGAATTAAATCATATATGTATATACATTCAAATATTTATATTTACCAAAAACGTTAAGCTGTCTAAATAGTCGTCTTATATAGAAATTTAAATTTGTTAATAGGTTTACTTAACTAACAGGGGACGACTGGGGATGGCCTAATCGCGACGGCTGCGTTTGCGATCGGAATGACCGCTGCTTCTCTCGTTCTTCTCTTCGGCACGTTTGGGCGCTTTTTTGGCCATGTTCAAGAACTGATCCAGTCCGAACGGATCCTCCTCTTTCTCAAATTCGACAGGACCGCTGCGTTGTGCTCCGCCAGTTTCGCGCGATGAGCCCGAGAATTGCTTGTCGGGTACGAAGCGTTTGGTATTCACAATGCTCTCCAAATCACCACCATAGTTATCGCTATCGGCCTGCTTGGTGGGCCTATAGATGTGAGCGCCCAATGTATTGGAATCACGCCAGGGCTTATCGTAAACATGGTAGGCCTCATCGTCACCATAACCAGAGTCCATGCCTTTGGTCGTGTTGAAGAGACGCTGATCAAAGAGGGTTTCGCCATTCCCGGCGCTCTTTGCTGGCAAGCCGAGCGCAATTTGCTCTGATATATCACGTTCTCGCTCGCGTTGCAGCTTCGTGCGCCTTTCTGGTGCTGCACGCTGTAAATTGCGATCACGTTGGCGTTCACGTTGACGCTCCGCACGTAAATCATTGCGTTCTCGTGCCTCCGCATTCGAGCTAGAGGGCACATCCGTTTCGGGATTACGCAAGCCGGCACGTTCCTCACGTGCGCGCTGTGCCATCATACGCAACATATCCTCCTTCTTTTCCTTCTCCTTCTGGGCCAGTTTCTTCTCCAGTTGGGCGCGCGCTTCCACAGCCTCGCGTGCCTTTCGGTCTGCTATGTACAGAGCCTCGGCCATTTTGGCGAATTTCTCATTAATGTGAACTTGCTGCAAGCCGCGGCCATCGGCAGCCAGACGCTTATCCAGCGGTATGGTGTAGCCTGAGTAAAAAAAATTGTTTCTAGACTAAAGAAATACTTATTACGGATTTGTTAGGGCGTACACACCTTTTGCGTTCTTCCAATTAGATATGCATGGCGGTATTTTCCATTCTTTTTGTTCCTTCACAGTCACCTTACGTGAGGGCGAGTGCAAGACGGGAGCTGGTGGGGATGGCGGTCCACGAGGGATTTTCTTATTAATTCGAAACTTGGGTGGCTCCATTGGATCCAATTGTGCCTCTACCATGCGTATAACACGCTGCTTGGCGCCCGAGTTGAACGCATCGCCCTGCTGTGAAGGCGTGTAGCGTATATATTGGGCTGGAGCCGCTTTTTGTGCATGGCGCACTGGCAGCGCTGAGGTAATCTTTTGATTAGTTAGCTTCTCGAGTGCTAGACGTGTTTCCTCCGTTGTCTCTGCAACAGTTTCCTCATCGGGTCGCTGTAGCTCGTCCGCATCCTCACCCAGAACCTCGGCAGGCAACAGTTGCGAAATGGAAGAGTAGACTATTTTGTCCCTTCCATGTCCCTGCCGTGCAATGGCATCGTATTTTATTTTACCCTTATCATCCAAACGCACAGCCAATGCATCCGATTTCTTGCCCATATTCGCGGGCTCCCCAAGGCCTGATTCAACACATACGTAAATTACAATGAGGAACAGGAAATTTTTGTTGAGCTGAAAACATACCCAGTGGATATTGTGCCACATGTATTTCTGGAAAAGCGCCACCATCACCAAAGTCTGCCTCGGTACGGGGTATCCAGTCCTTGCGCTGGCCATACGGAGGCGCTGCTATTTTTGCTGAAACGAGTGCGCCAATTTGTGGTGCACCTTTGGCGGCCAAACGACGCTCGTCCTCACGATCCCAAACCGTATTGGTTGGCGTGGGCAGAAGACTCGATAATGACATAATGCTTTATTGTTTACTACAATTAACTATTTCTTTGCGCGTTTTATTAAACAATGTAAGGGAAACGAAGCAACAAAAAGAATAACACAGGGATGTTACACGCACACTGCTGTTTAAGCAATCGACTCATGTCGACCATTATACTACCACTCGCTAATATCGATTGTTGTCTATCGATGCTATTTAGTACAGAGTGCTATCAATATAACCCTGGTTCGCGAAAATAACGGCTAATAGAAAGGCAAATGTATAAACGTTTATTTAATCACAATAATCAAAATACACAATCATATACTAAAATAATTAAGAATTAAAGCGCATGCGGTCTATGGGCTTTCGAGGTTGTATGCGAAAACGTTTGGACGAACTTGCTGGCGACATGGTGGCACAATAACTATTATAATTTGTATAGTGAGTGTCTAGCGTTTGCGTGCGCTTGCGTTTCAAGCTTTGAATAGCAGCTTCATCTGGACGCGTGCGCACAAAGGAACCTGAAATATAGAAATATATTTTATAAAAATAGGTTAACTGGTGACAGTTATGTATGTATATTGCTTTGATGCATACCTGCAATGGAAGCACAACGCTTGATTAGGGAACCAGTGCCACTGGCAGAATTTTCCTTATCACTTGAGCTGCCTCTCAGTTTGGCTGGCAGGCGGATAACTGACGTCATCAACGACCAGAAGCGTCCAGCGCCTTGCCCGCCTTCTTGCACAGTCGAAACCTTTTCGTTATGTGTGGAGGCACTAGTGGGCATAAATACATCATCATTATCATCACTTTTAGTTTGCCCATCAAAGTCTTGCGCAGAACTAAATGCCGCATATTGGTTACACTTCCGCAGAGGGGGACGGGGGCGTGGTCTGGGTGGTGGCAATGCCATAGGCTTCGTGCTGGCCCCAAATTCATCGCTAAGCTGCCTTGGCTTAATCTGCTGGCGACGCAGCTCATTTGAACTGCAAGTCTGATGTTCCGGAATGGCCGCAATAGGTGTGTAGAAAGCTTCTGATTCCTGTGCGCAAGGCGTTTGGATTGGTTGCGTTGCTTCTAAATGATCGAAGGGAGCCTTTTTAGGTGTTTCGAATTTGATGAGCTTCTTGGGGATTATGGCGCCTGGTATGCGAGTTAAGGGCGTTATCGGCGGAATCTTATCCACGCCGCAGCTCATCACCTGCACATTAACGGCACTTAATTCTGCAGTGGAAGTGATAATCTCTACGCTTTCACATGAATTGTAGACTGTGGCGCTGGTCGCACTCTCTGTCGAGCTCGATGCCATTGCAGGCAGCGAGGAGCTGCTGATCTGGTCAACTGCCTGTTCTATATGCGGCGATCCGCTTTCTTTGCTACTCGACTGGAGCTTTGTGCGTGTTATGATAATAGATTCTGTGGTCAGTTTTTGAGCCGAGAGCAAGATCTGCTGATGATATTTCTGCGTCGACACTGATGCTTGCGCTACTGGCTGTTTGTGATGCTGCTCTGATTGGACCCAAGTGTTGCACTTACGGTCCATAGTGCTGGATTCACTTTGAGTGCGACGTAAGGCTGGCGATAGGCGCAAGTCCAATGCAATACCGGCACTGCTTTCATTTACGCTGATGCTGGTATTGCTACTGTTCTCGCTCAGATCTAGACGGATTCGTCGCTGCATTATGTTGCTGGAAGTGGCCGCTCCCGCCGCTGCTTGAGCTGGCATGCCTCCATGCTCCACAAAAGCCTTCTGTATGCTCTTCGACATAACCTGTCGCAACGGAGTGGCTGCACTCATTTTATTTCGTGCTCCTATTTTCCAAACGCGCTGCTGTTGTTGTTGCTGCTGCTGGAGAAGCTGGGCATTGTTGTTGTCCACAGGAAGCGGCGCCGGACTATTTTGCTCTGTATCCCCATAGCCGCTGTTATAAATGCTAGACATGTGGCCACCTGACGACGAGTGCATGAATGTGGGCGGCTCCTTTGGCTTGGCAAACATTGTGTCCACTTGCAAAGGCGTCGATGTGGAGCGTATAATCTTACCCCTGACCTCAACGCCTCCACCCAGCTGTCCAATACTACGCCGAACCGATGAGTTGCTAATAGATGAAATATTCCTGATGGACGACATGCTATCACTGATGAACTCCTCGTGCGCCACCTTGCCCTTGGCCTTCCAGTGCAAATTGATTAAAGAAATCGGCGTCTTATGTTGGGTATCATTTACGTTGGGCGATGTTTGAGTGGACATGTTGCTGGCAACCGACGTTTCCGTCCTCTTAACCGTAATTTTTGAAGCATCCGTATCACAAGTCTGATCCGAACGAGCGCTACAGCTTTGCGCCACATCCGCGCATTTACTAAATTCCCGCAAATCCTCGATTCTCGTGTAGCGACGCTGACATTTCCGACAGTTTAGCGGCAAATGGGCGCTCTCAATATGGGCCAACAGCTCCGCATAGATCTCCTCGCGTAAGAGCAGAGGCTTTTGCTCACAAATCGGACAGAAGACATAAATTGTTTTGGTAATCTCACTGGGAAATGAAGACCCACTCCCATTTTCAATTCCGTTATCAGCCATAGATACAGTACTGATCCGGTCCGGACCCGGCGGCAGCCTTACAGCAATGGCGTGTGTGGCAAACTGATGTTTTTGGCGGCAATTGCCGCAACAGAAAATTCGCTTGCAAATATGGCACTTAGACTGGGTGTGGGGTGGAGTGGAAGGTGGTGTAGCATTTGCATATTTTTAATAATTAATGCAGTTTTCTTACCTCATTATGCAGTTGCTTGTTAGCAAACATTGAAACGACAAAAACTAAATTAGTACAAAATCTTCGACAAAAGTTCACATCTACATTACCGGATACTACAACGGTTCTTCCACATATGTGTAAATATATAGGTGTGTTGTTTGTGGGATGCAGCGCAGCCAACTTTAATATGTACTCAACGCTTCGCTCTTCAGCACTTACAAACAACCGTTATATATGTACGTACAAGTGTAAACGCCTTGCAATTAAAAAGAACGCAACTCTCAAAAGATTGTGCAAAAAGTATTTAAAGGAAATAAAAATGAGACATACAGCTGCTGATTTGTTAATTCAGTACATTTGCATCCATCCGTGAGTAAAAAATTACAAATTATACTAATAAAAAAAAATAAAGATTATAATTTGTTTATTCAATAAAGTAATTTATGTTATACATGTGCTAATAACTGCACAGAACAGATTCAAAAATTAGACAAATGTGGCTCAAGATTAATGATTTCTTTAACTTGGTACAATATTTGATGCGAAGCTCGAAAGTAGTAAATTTAATATTTCAACACTTGTGAAATTGGTTACAAAAATAGGTTAATTTCGTTAAAAAACTAAAATCTTATTTTGATGGTTGTAAAATATATAAATATAAATGCTTATAATGCTACAAAAAATAAATCTACAAGTGAGAGCCAAAGAGGCGAACAGTTAAAGAAAACTTTGAATATATTTGAATCATACGCTTTCTTAAAAAGAACATCTGTAAAAGAATATGAAATAAACGATTAAACATTTTCAAGAGCTCCTAACCGGGAGTTTATCTATAAATCAATGTATTTTTTTTTATTCTTTCTTTATCTCATTATTACGTAATGAGCTCATATCAACTGATGGTGGCTGAAAGGCACTCTCAAGTACGCTTTCTAAGCGCTTCAGGACCGTGCTATCGAAATGACTGGGTATATTTTTTTTTACATAGCTAACTAAGTCACCTCCCTGAGTATTGTAAATATTATCAACGAAAATCGTGCTGGAGAACACCATTGCAATAGTGGCATAAAACGTTTGAGGTTCACTTCGTTTAAAGAAGTTTTTTTGCACATCTCGTTTTGCTTCCTCTGTCCATATCCGTTCCATAGTATACGGCATTAGGCCTGCTATACGAACCTCAATTGCCTCAAACTCTGCGTCTTTGAACTGTTCCGCACACAGATAGAGGTCTTTCATTTTAAAATTTTGATAACTGGTTCCATTATCTACGAATTTAACCACTATGGGTTTTTCGCCATGAGAGCGTGTCACATAAGCGCGATCATATCTGTTATTGTATTTTACAATACACAAATCACCCACTTTGGGGTCCAGAAAGGGTTTCCGGTTATCGTCCTGCTGATAGTATAATTGGATACTCTTACAGAAATCTGAGATAGGAAGGCTTCGAAACAGATTTTTTACAATGTGCTTTGATAAGCGTACAGCCACTTGTGCCGGCGAGTAGGTCTGAAAGTGAAACGGTAGTTATTATTATTGTTAATGGTAAGATTTAGCTTTTCGAAACATATATATTATATATACTATAGCTTAAATTGTTTCTATATAATTTTACAAATAATTTATTAATAATTAATAATAATTGAAGAGTACGTTTGAATTAGTTTGATTTATTAACATTTTTATAATGTTCTCTTTTGATTCCACTCAAATGCGTTCGTTTTTCAAAATCCTGAACAGCTGGCAAATTTGATTCCGAATAATGGGAATAGGTTAGGTCTTCCAAATTTATATCTTTCAACTACAAGATCTACAGATTTCCAACATAAGAGTCAATTAGAATCCATCAAATTATTTCAGAGTCCGTTCAGTAAGAAAGTACGCATCCACAAGGTTCATTTACGATATCGGTATGTTTATAAATAGGTACTCACTTGAATTATTTGAAATTCAATTACGCCCTCGATGGGATAATGCTTAGGTGGCTTACATTCAGATTTCCAGATGATGTGGCGATGGCGACAGTCGCGTCGAGAGCAGTTCCCGTAGGCGATGAATTGACTGCAAAGCGACGAGTCGTTACGTGGCGCTAAGCACTCACGTTCGACTCGCATCTGGAAGAATATATCTATGAACTCGTAGGGCATTTTAAGTTCGTGCTTCACAATGAAAGTGCAGAGGTGCCACAACAGAAATTCGTTCTGTTTTCTTGCCACAATCAAGGTTGAGGCATTCGCCTTATAGCTTCCATAGAGCAAAGCGAATCTATCTTTAAATGTTGTCCACGAGCTGGGCATTTGAAAGTTTATCAGATAGCTTATGTGATCGTGGCGTAAATTTGGTAGCACCTCGTCAATGGTAATAAGAATTGTGGGTGTAGTCTGTAGACGCCATTGCGCGAGCGACAGATTTGAGGCATTGTTGTGTGCGCTATAAATGGAGGTCTCGAGGTTGTGCTCGCTGAGAAAACCGCTCAACTGTAGGGCCTGCTCCAGATTGGTACAAGCGATGACCAAACCCTGTGTCTTAAGATTCTTGCTTTCCGGATTCTGCTGCAGCCCTTGAATAAATTCTAGTATATCCCGATTGTGCTCCAACTCTGGCTCCTTGGCCACTTTAAATTCGAAGTTAACACCACCGTAGATTGCCGCCTCCAATGCATCCTCAAAGACAAGCTGCACATCGGGTGACGAGGGCAGCAAGTCATTCAGCATTTGAGGCAACCAAAAGCGCATCGTTACCATGAGCTGCGTTTGATTCGGTCCAAACTTTAGCAGCGTCGGCAATAGGTGTAACAATTGCGTGCAGCATTTACGCCACTGGGCACACATATCGTCGAAGCCATCGAGAGCCACACAACAAATGGCTGCCGGATTGAAAATCGGGTTCGGCTCCTTACTCTGCTGCAGGACGTACAGGAAGAGATCAGCAGTGGTCAGAAAAATGCCGCAAGGTTCTACCAAGCGGGAGCACACCTCCAACGCATTGCTGCGATGAAACAACCACACCAAGATCTCCACATCCAGCTGAGAAAAGTCGAGCAGTTTGCGACACCACTCAGCCAGCTGCAGGCCCTGTTCCTCACTAGCGACCACAATGATGGCGCTCGGTCCGCAGTCGTTGACATCGCAATCTACACCATCATTCATCGGCTGCCGTTGGAGCATTTGCTGATAGGCGCGTTCGCACAAAGCCGGCAAATAGCACCAAGTCTTGCCAGTCCTTTTGGGTCCCACGACAGTGAGGGCGTGTCCTTTGATAGCATGGAGCCAGGCAACCCGTTGATTCCTATAGGAGCGACAAATGCCCTCCCGCTGCATGGCAGCCTTTATCTGTGGCTGCACCAGCAAATCCGCACTCTGATAGCAGACTGGGATTGGCAGTCGACTGTGCGCGACTATTCCAACATGTACGTACTTCGACAGGCCTTGCTCGGTTGAGGATTTCTCGTATAGCGCAGCCTCTTTCTCATTTCCAAAGAGAGGAACATTCTCCATTGGTTCCACCCCTGCGGCAACCATTGATGGGATGCTTGATGTACTCTGAGTAAAATTAACATAAATAATTGATTAATTATATCATTGACTGAACAAACATTTCTAAGCGTTTGACTTTACAGTTGTTATACAATTTGCTATTGTGCGCGGCCTTTTTTCTCCCTATCAGAACAGCTTACTATCTCCCACCCGTACTCATTTTAAATTAATTGCTTCTTATTCTAATTCACAGATTTTCATTATACTTCATAATATTTCCAATGAAGATGACGATTAGTTTTCTAAACTTATGATCTTCTAAGCTGCAATATTTTGAGCAACATTTTGAAAACAACGATGTATGTATATATGATAAGTATTCGATTTTATGCAGACAAAAGCTTTACATTCAATTCAGATTTATAAAATAAATGATAGCTTTTCTACGCCCTTCTAACAAAAATGTGCGGCAGTTATTATAATATAAAGTATGTTTAAATATATGTTTATGTTGATTCTATATAGCGTGGTTAAACTGAGGTTAACCGGTTAAGCCGTTAACCATTGGACTTTAACACACTGTTAGTGTGATTGGGTAGAACCCAATTTTTTTTTACAACAATCATTTACAGCTTCAAATTTTTCCAAGTATTTTTATAAATTCTATCATCGAAAGGCCTTTTTAGTTCATCTTATACTCACGCTATCCGCCATTGTTTGGAAATCATTAACATAAGTGGCTAGAGGCTCTTTTTCAACGGGGGAGATCGTATTGCAATGTTCCTCTATAGCGTCATTTTCGTTGATCTGCATTGTAGAGAAATTTTCCAGCGCAGCAGCATTTCTGTGAACGATGCAGACATACAAAAAAATGGACTCGCATAAAATCTGAAAAATGCTTACTGCCTGCAAGTCGGCTTAAGGAAAGGAAAAATATGAGTATCGTTTTCTGCTCTGATGACAAACGTTTCTATTTTACTGCTGGATTCTTTGGTTAAAGCGAAACGCTGAAAGAAGACATGCGAAAACGCTGGCAGCGTAAAGTGAATTATGTAGTTTGCTTTTTGACTTCCCAATTTAAGAATTAAATCATCGCAAACAATTAAAACCGAATTTAGGTGCTGTAAATGAGCAAACAATTTATTAGTAAATGAAACAAAGATATGCGATGCACTTACTCCCTGCATCCACATCTGCCACACACTGGTCCACATTTTGCTTTCAGTATCTGTATAGAGTATTGCTGATACACCTCGCTTGGCCATTTCCTGGTGGACATCTTTGGCTTCGGAAGCCTCCACGCACACTATCACAATACGGACGCTGATCAGATCTTTGGTCTTAATGCTCAAGGCCAGAAAGTTTAAGGCGTCAGCGGTGGAATTGGGCGTTATAAAGGTATATGCCATGCCATCATAATCCAATATTTGGAGCAGGCAATTTGAGCTGTATTTGAAATCTGTTATGACCGGATCAGAATCGCCATTTTTTGGCTCTGAGGATTTTAGAGTTTCAAGCTTCAAAGGTGATTTAGGTTTCCGATTTCTATTTTTCTGTAAGCGCTTAGCTAATGCACCACGTTCAGAGCCTGTGGGCATTTTATCATGCAGGTTTCTTGACAAAAAAAAAATGATACGAAAAAAATGCACATTCAGCAAATTTGTTTACATTAAAATCGGGCGTAAATACATACATGGGAGCGTGCTGAATTTTAAATTAATCACAATAAAAAAGCACACAGAAAATACAAGAGCTGTTATTTAAATTGCCAACAACAATTACCCGATTTTGAAATTTTTTAACGCTTGCGCTTTAACGCGTGCTTTTTTGGTAGGTAAGATTATGGTGGCTTATCGAATATCGAACGGACGAAAATGTTCTCGATTGGCAGTTCACCTGTTACCCAGGGCTGCAGCATGAGTAATAAACAATACATTAACTACATAAATTTTAGCATATTTCAATTATTCTCTAAAATCAAAATTTAAGGCAAAAAACAAAAAAAAAAACATTAAAATAATCAACGTGTGTAATAATAAAAGTACGTTTATAAAAATACGCCAAGGGCTATACTACGATAGTGCAGTGTTTGTTTTGGTGGCAACATGCTGGACAACACCAACTGCAATCCAGATAAGCTTTCTTTGGGGGATTTAAAGCTGGAACTGACCTCCAGTGATGGTGTCAAACGACAAGTGCCCGCGCTGGTAAATCCTTATTGACAAAATTTGCTTCGTTTAAGTTGAATATTTACTCTTGGCCGATTGTAGGATGAGCATTGGATTACTCGTGATAAGGATAAGCCCTTTCAGAACTACGTATGCATGCTCTGCTCGTTCAGGCAAATTAAATCGGGTGCCGCCTTAGAGGAATGGCTTTACATAGCCACATGTTGTCAACAGGATTTGGAGTATTTGCTCGGTCTGAGTCATCATGTGTGAGTGACGAGAATGCCTAAAGCAATGCCACTTTTGGGAAATTAATTTCTGTTTATTGCAGATTCTGGTCCCATATGGTGTACGAGGAGTCGGCCATGAACGTTATTGTCACATTTCTGCAACGTGCCAATCCATACTACAGAACGGATTCATCAACGGGCGAAACTACACCCATTGATGGTGCAGCTGCCTCCAAAGCTGAAGCGCTTTATGCCAAACTACTTAATCTTGTGGTACGAGTCATTTTGCGTCTTCTAACCGCGCAGGAATCGCCCACAGAGTGGATTATCCCAGAACAGCATGGCGATTTGTTGTACAAAAATTATTTGATTTCTGTTCCTCTTTTATTTGATCTCGTCGTTGCTGTGGGCGATGCTGAAGCCCAGAACGTTGCTTTGCTAGAGAAGATCTTTACAACTGTGCTCAGGCTGCAACCCAATTATTTAAATGACTTCCGGGAGGGCCTGGCCTTCTATGAGAATGCTTTTTTAAGCATGCAGATTCAGGTGGACAACGAAGGCTGCGAAGGCGCTTGCGGCGGATCGTTGCTGGACAGCGATGCTGAGACGCCGTACGACGATGTTGTCCTATTCGCCCTCGACTGTGCCTACACGCTGCGCGTTCTACTCAAAGTGTGCCCGGCGTTAACGCAGATCTGTGAAGAAACCAAATTGCCACAGTGGTGAGCTCCATGGCTCTATTCTCCACTAGGATTGTTAAGCATAACTATAATTGCAGCATCGCCAACTTCTATGACCTGACTGTTCCAATGATGTATAAAAATATTTGTCTGGTCAATCCAATGGCCAGATCGCTCAAGTGGTTAAACGAAGCACGTCAGCAATTTATTAATGCGGTGAGGAGCATAACACACGCACAACTGCAGAAAGCATGCCAGGATCCGCAGTCGAGTAGCGCCCAAAAGTTTGTGGAACTGCTGCAGGAATGCCTAACGGCGCACACATTTGTTGTGGATTATGAACGGCAATATCCAGTGGAGCACGATGTCCAGCAGTTGTTGCCCATCTGCCCAAGCATGTGAGTATTGGCGAAGTCTAGTTAAATCACATTCTTACTCCTGCTAATTGCAGCAAGGACTACAAAGTGGACTTTGTTGTGGCTGGCTATCAGAAAGTGCTCGGAGACTGCACCACCAGTATCATGGCCGAAGAACTAAGCGGGGCCAGTAGCATGGAGTCCCTAGATGATTCACACAACTCACCCATACCAGGGAACATAGGCACGGCTACACTAACCAATGGCATCGATTGCAGTTCCCAAACTCAACCGCAACGTGATTTTGATTTGGAGGCAACTGCTGTGCTGGATGTGCTGCCGGATCTGGGCAGGGGCTTTATACAACGTGTGCTAAAGCGCTATGAGAATAGTGAACAGGCCATAGCGGCAATACTGGATGATAATTTGCCACCGGATTTAATAAATAATGATCGACAGGAAATCTATATTCCGGAGGATCCTCAAGACAAGTTGCAGAAAAACCTGGGACTGCGACATTTTAATGTGCACGATGGCGATCGCTATGATGTGCTGACACAGGAAATGCCGCAGTGCATCATAAAGCAGGGCAAGGGATTGCCCGGAAAGCCACGGAATGCTGAACAAATGTTGGATGACAAACGGCACATTGGTGAGCTGAAGGAGCGCTATCAGAAATATGCCCTCGTTGAGGACCAACTGGATGATGGGGCAGAGTATGAGGATGAGTATGACGACAGCTATGAGGCACTAATAGATGGTCAGGCAGCACCATTACATAAGCAGCGCCGTCAACAATTCCCTGATGCTGGTGTCTATGAGGCCCCAGATAACGACGACGATGAGGACGATGATGGCTCAAGCAGCGAGGGTAGCAATACATCCCCACGTGATACTCACAGCGCTGACTTCTGTGAAAATCCTGAAGTGATACGCGCTCGCTACGCGGCTCGTCAGCAGGCCAAGTGGGGTAATCGTGGAGCAGGCACATCGGCGCCACCACCGCCCAGCCAACGCGATGTGGTAGGCGCAGCCAAGGGCCAGGGTCAGTCGCGGGAAACGCAGCGCAATCGTGGCCAAAAAGAGGCCCACAAATCGTCGCGTGCCAATCACAATCGCAAGGCTGGCGCCGCCTACAAGCGAAGCAAAGGAATGTTATCCTAAAGCGGCAGTAAAAGGTTCAGTTTGTATATTCCATCTTAAAGTTAAAACAATAATGGAAAGCTTCAGTTGAGTAAGCAAATAAAGAATTATTAACACATAGAGATATACGTTTATGTGTTTATGCGGTGAATATGATTGTCATATCTGAATAGCCTATAGCCGTCCGCCTTCGTTGGGTGTACACCAGGACGTTGTTACACTTTACAAAATTTGTTAGCCATAGTTTTCTTGTTTATTTATAAGACTAAATTGCGAGTTACAAAATAGATGCATTCACAGTTTCAAAGTACACATACAAAAAAAAAACTACAGTGCACGATTGAATTAGAATCGAAAGCGACTAAAAAGGCATTAATTCATATTCTCTTCCAATCTTGTATTATGTGTAGGACAATTTTTCAAAAGTTTTGAATTCCGTAAGTTGAAAACTTTTTGTTTTGGTTTGACTTCAAAAGTACTCTAGTCCAAGCGTTAAGTTAAGGGAAACTAATTCGATAAAACACAAATGGTTTAGTCTTTCATCTTAAATGTAAAGCTGCGCCAAATTCAGAATATTTATACTTTGCAGTTATTCGATTATTTTTGGAAAAAAAAAACAGTAATATATAATAAAAGAAGTTTCTAAACGAATTCGATAAATTATGTTTGCGATCGTTATAGTCAGTGCATGCGTTCGAACCAAATCCGCTGGGTTCATCTAGTTCTCAATCAATATCGTGCACTGTAAACTTAAGAATTATATTCAGAGCTTTCCAGTTCCCATGGAGGAAGACTCGTCGCTACGCTCACCGCCTCGATTGACTGACAGGGCTGTGGCCAAATAGAGCGTATTAACCGCTTTCATTTTGGCCGAATGACCCGATTCCGTTGTCTGCAAATATTGCTTCTTCACGAAATCTTTGTACGGTGTGGGCTTCTGATGACCAAACGACAAACTATGCACAAAATCACCAGCATGGGGCTCCACAATGAGCTCAAACTGACAATAATGGCACCGCAGCTGGTCCGACTCATCCTCAAATTTTATGTTCCCAAACGAACGACGCCGACACAAACAGCAGGAGTACTTATAATTAGGCATACAGTCCGCAATCGCTGGCAGCTCCGGCATCTGTGATTTGGCTTGATAGGCCCTGTGATAGTACAAAAATCATGGAAATTATTTGTAAGGAATTCAGTTTTAGTTCTTCAATCACCAAATTAATCTCTATTGTTCAATATTTAAACTTGAATTAGACTAGGATAAATGCATTACATTACATTACATAAACATTAATAATTATGTTAAAGCAAAATAATTGTTGATACAATAGACCTCTTCAAGTCACAGTACCGAACGGATTCTCAGTAATTGTTTAAACTATGAACAGAGTTTTAATTCATCGTTGTTTTATACAAGGATTTATGAACATTAACAAATTTTAGCTTTTGTTAGATATCGTACCAGCTTTAATCGTCAGAAATTCGTTTTCTTGATATCTCCAAAGGGGATTGGCTAGGCTTGATTCTGATCTTCTGATCGACACTCACCACTTGCGCGTGAAATCACCGTGGCCCGTCTCTCCGTGATAGACGAAAGCGGCCGCATGGCACATCTCATGGAGCATTGCCTTGATGAGGACACTCACATGGGAGATATTTTTCGATAGCATAATTTTAGACTCCCGCTGACCGCTTCCCGCCTTGATGCTATGCACGCACTTGCTCGATGAGCTCATGCTACGCGCCCAAACGATGACCGGCTTGAGTCCGCAGTGAAAGATTTTATGATTGAGCATGTGGAAGAGAGTCTTGGCCAGCGTCTCTTTGTTTGTGCTAAAATCACGTTCCCTGTGGATGAGGGCATCGGGGTGGCACATGTTAATCGATGTTTCAGCTACGAATATGTAAAAGAAATTAGCTAAACATTAAATTCGCCATTTCGTATCTACTCACAGTTTAGGGATTCAATAAATGTGTAAAAGCGTGGATGGCTCTCGAGACAATCGTAGATGTGCCTATGCTGACGACAGTTTTGAGAACGTTGGCTCTTACTGGGCAGGCCACTTAAGTCAATTGCCTCTTTTATGTGAGCCGGCGTGTTATTCTCCAAGTGATTGGCATTGGCACGCAGCACCATATCGTTGAACACTTTAACCTGTCGCTCCGATTGTGTTGTAGGTCTGCGTGGCGAGTTCAAAAGTTTGCTGTTGTTGGCCAGATCGAAGGTCGCTGGGGTCGCTGGTATGACCTTAATGGAAACGGGAGCGCCGGGGGACGGTGGTGGACCGGATTTCATGAAACTGTGAAAACGTGGCACCTTTACCTCACTTGTTTCATTCTCTTCCACATCAAGATCGTCCGTTGGGGTGTAGAGACGTCGTTTCGCCGCCACAAGTCCCAGAAACTTTTGTATCAGAACTTTTAATTCGCAGTCTACAAGAACGCAGTAGAGACATATTATTGTAAGGAGTCTTGAGTATAAGACAAGATAAATTACCCTGATCTGCGACAGAGATATCCGGTGGTTCGCTTTGTATGATAGCCGTGGGTTTGGTCAGATCGAGGTATATGATAGATGTGCTATCGCAAAGGGAGCTGTTGTCGCTACTACTGTAGCTGGAGCGTAGAGAAATGCGACGATTTTTTTGTTTCTTGCACTTGGGCTCATCATCGTAATCATCGTCGTAGTCCGTGTCACCGTCCTCGAAGTCATCAGCACCGCATTGCTCAGAAGAGTAATCAAAATTAAATTCAACGCGCGCATGAACAGCGCGTCCACTACGGGTGGTTATCACAGTGCCGGTCTTTGGCGAGGATATTAGCTTCAGGCCTTTCTCGACTGTTAGAAAATGGAAGTTATTTTGTAATCTTTAACCAAAACTCGTTGTCATATTTACATTCATTGTCCTCATGATCACTGGATAGAACAATGATCTCTTCTTCGGAACCATCGGAGTATGTTTCGGAGCATGTTTCGTATTTGCGTTTATAATTCGCAACTCCTTTCAAGCGTTTGGCACTGCCACCGCTCTCAGAATCATCCGACGCGCGCTTCTTTGGTGTGCTCATTGTGACTCTCTCTGCATTTGTGCGAAAGATGAACAAAATAGTTTATGTTTAGATAATGTATTTCCACTACAAACATTTACTTGCCACTTCCATCCGTATCCGTATCCGTTTTAAAGATACTTTCGCAGTCGGTATCAAGCAACAGCAAGGAAGGGTCTATATAGCTAACGTCAGAGCTGTAGTAGCTGTCTTCTTTTCTATTGGCACCGACATCGCCACTGCTATCTGTTTCACCTGTCTCGGGCGTTTTACACGAACTTTTTGCGTCGGCCGTCGGTGACTTCTGCAATAGTTGTTTTGAATCAAAAATAGTCAGTAGACTAACATTCAGTTACTTACTGTATGATTTGCATTTCCATTTTGGTAATCTAGTTCGTTCATATTCAAGCGGCCGATGCCGCACATTATAGAATAAATGTTTAAATTATCTGCCATTTCGGCGATGTTAAAAAAGCGCGTCCCGGCTGCGTTCAGACATGCAAAGCATTGGTAGCATTGCCTCAGACCTAGACGCCATTCAATTCAGTAGTGGTAGCATTGTTGTTCTACAGCTGTTCGCCCTGTGCGTTGTGCAACACTCCAGAAAACAAAAAAAAAAAAAAAACGCACCGCACACAGAACGGACCGCTAGCTTGTGGGATTTCTAAACAAATAGGTTTCTAGAGAAGTTTTAAGAAATTGCCAATAGCCAAGATGGGGCGTCGCTCCATAAACACCACGAAAAGTGGAAAATATATGAATCCAACAGATCAAGCACGTAAGTACCAGGACAACAAAAACGTTATAGCTGTTTTGCAAATAGAATCAATTTTTTTCACCAGGCAAAGAGGCCCGCAAAAAGGAGCTGAAGAAGAACAAGCGGCAACGCCAAATGGTGCGAGCGGCAGTGCTCAAGAACAAGGATCCCGCCCAAATACTCGAGGAAATGGAGAAAATTGATGAGATGGGTGAGTGTGTCAACAAAGTGGACTCATCAATTATTTACAACATACCATTTTTTAGAATACAATGTACTGCAGCCATCGCCGCTGAATGAAAAGGTACTCCGGGACAAGCGAAAAAAGCTGAAGGAGACATTTGATCGCGTCATGCGGCTCTACGTAAGTGCCTTCTGGTTAAATGTTTACAAAACTTACCAATACTTGTTGTCAATAGCATAATGATGAGCCCGAACATTGGGCGGAGCTGAAGCGCAAAGAAGTGGACTATGAGAAGAAACGTCTTAAAAAGCAGCAGTACTACGAAAGTGTGAAGCATGCGCAAAGCGTGCAGGTCGATGAGATTCCATTGCCAGCACCGGTGAGCACAACTGCATCGGTTGGACCTGGTACGAGCGGTGGAGGGGGCGTAATCTTCACAGGTGGCATACGTGCGCCGCCACCTCCAATGACATTAGCGCTGCCACCCTTTGCCCCAGGTGCCCCTCCCGGAGTAGTCAAGAACAGCGCCGACTCTAGTGAACCATTGACAGACAAGGCCAAAGATGATGAGGATAAAGATTGGCTGGGTGTACCTCCGGGGCCGCCACCCGATTTATTCGCAATGACAGAGCTAGATTCTGATGCCGAGGGCAATACAGATTATGACGAAGAGAATGACACGGAGCGCAGTCCCAAACGACGCTCGCCTTCCCGCACAGAGCCCAGCCAGTTGCAACAACGTATGCTGGCTATGTCGGGACAGAATATTGATGATTTCATGAAGGAAATGGAACATGTGCACAAGCGGAAGCACCGCAAGCTCCAAGACGATGCAGACAATAAGGACTTGGCCCACGAAGAGCATGCGCCGGCAGACAGCATGGACAACGAAAGGAAAACGGCTGCCAAATCCCCTGCGGACACTTCCAGCGATGATGATGATAATGACGATGATGATGATGACGAGGACGATGACGATGACATGGATGATTCAGACACAGAATCGCGTGTTAAGCTGAACAAGCAGCCAATACCCTACAGCTCTAAGGAATTGCCTAAAAACACTGCACCCTCAATCAGCCCATCGCCGACAGCATCTGGAAAAACAACAACAACACCGCCAATGGCGCCTTCGTTGCCGGCAATTCCGCTGCCTCCTACGCCAGTGGCCACAATTGGAAATACACCTATTCCCACAACTGTACCAGCACCACCGCAAATGCCGTTACCGAGCAGCGCGCTTTCACACTTGTCACACGGCTTGACACCACCTCCAGGCTTGATGTTCCGACCGCCACCCATGCGCGGACCTGCTCCCGGCCTGCCAGGTTTTGGTATGCGTATGCCTCCGGGACCGCCGCCAGGTCCACGACCCCCACATGCTTTGGGCATGCCCCGCATGGGCATACGCATGCCGCCGGGCCCGCCACCAGGTCTGCCGCCACGCATGGCCCATCACCTCAAGCACGGCCACCCAAATGGGCCAACGCCAAAGGAACCCGGCAAGGGTGTAACCACTATCACAGCCAAGCCTCAAATAAGGTAAGCAATTCTAAAATATACATATATTGTACTAAACATTTATGGGAAACCCGAAATTCACATGTTCTTTAACATTAATTAGACCTGTTCGCGTCCCGAAATCGATCAAATTTACTGGAATTATGCAGGCAGAAGGCATTTACTGATATTAATTCCGAATAATTTGTTCGAATACGGAAATAAGAACAGGCCGAATTGAACTGCATATGCTCGAAAATCGAGCTATAAATATTTTTTGTTATACTCTGTACCCAAAGAGTAAAAAATACAGATGGCTGTGAATGTATGTAGTATAGTTAATGTCCGTCTGTATGAACTTTAGAATCAGAGAAAGTGTAAGTGCTAAGCATTCCGAATGTTGATATTCCCTTTTTATAACAAAGTTTGAAGCCGATGGAATGAAAAATACTATTTTTCCCATACAAACTTTGAAGCCCTAATTGTCCAAAACTAAAAGTTTCACGTATACCTGAAAGGGAAACTTCTATATAAAGCTAGCTTTTACTACTTGGGCTCTACTTTGATTACCAATCCATCCGAAATATATTATATATATCTATATATAAAGAGATCTATTTCAAAGTATTAATTAAGACTCACTTTGCCCTTAGAGATATGTATATAACATTGGTGGCATCTTCTTGATATTACTTATTCAATGCTCTTGCAGAAATCTAAGCGCCGATGTTACACGCTTTGTACCTTCGACGTTGCGTGTGAAACGTGAGGATCAGCGGCGACCCCATGCACGACCCAAACATCTGGCGGATGCGCACGAACGCGCTGCGCACGCGCCTCAGGATGCGCATAAGCCGCCCACCAAGGACGACGCCTATTTGCAGTTCATGAATGAAATGCAGGGCCTGCTTTAGGCAATCACCCAAGACTCAATTCAAATATGAAAACTAAAATCTGAACACTGTGTGTGTGTCTGTACAATAGTATATATATTTTAATTTTTCTTAGTATGTCCATTGCTAGTTTTACATAAAGCGGAACAAAGCCAGCCACAAATTCCAAAATTTTCACCCACGAGCCCATTACATGTTTTGGGATTGGGGTTGGGATTTGAATTGGAATGTGGATTGGGTCATTTACCCTTTTTTTCTGGCGATTTTTTGCTAAACGGTCGCATCTCAATAATATCAGTTTTGATGGCACGAAAACTTTTGCGTAACGTATCCGATACCTTCTTCTTATAACTGGTATTGGTGCTACACAGGGAGAGCTTATCATCGGGACTGCCAAATGGATCATTGGCTAGCGGTCTAAGCTCATCATCGCCCCCCATCAATTGGCCACTGGTGTCGCTGGTCGAGTTCTTCAAATACTTGCGATTGAAGTGCAACTGCGGCGTACCCCATTTGCGCTCTGGCTCCGCACTAGTGCCGATGCTAGTCTCCTCCGAGTCGCTCTCACCACCCATCTTCTCCGTTGTGGGCGATGTTAATGCCGATGTGGATCCGCTTGTTGATGTTGTCTCATCCGGCTGCATACCCATCGCCTCCTTGTATGTGCGCGTAATAATCATGGACGCCGGTACGCCCTTCACATTAACGCCCGTAACATGTGTCTGCTGATGGTCGATGGGCTGCGGTTGACGCCGGGGAGGCTTCGCCCGACGTGGCGACTTCACGGTCACCACCCGCACGCGATAGTGCAGCAACTGCTATGGAAAAGCGAGATTAGTAAGAGGCTTGCATGTCTGTGGGGGACGAACAAAACATTGATTGGGGAAGACTAGAGTTAAGTGTGAAAAAATAGTGAGCAACTTTTATCGGACAATTTAAAAATGATCAGATATCATCATCTGCTACAGAAGACTCGATGTGATCATCAATCATTAGATATCATCTTTCCTTAATGTCATGGGATCATCAATCATTAGATGTCATCTGTCTTGAATGTGATCTTCTAATTTTGAAATTAATATATCATCTGCACTCACCTTCTCCTCATCGACGAAACGCGCCAGCTCGGCGAGACTAATGCTTACACAAGTACCTTCCATGAGGATATCACGATCGTATTCGCTGTGCACCGGGAATTTCTGTGTCAGCGATAGCGCCTCATTATCAGGCTGCAGGAGCGTCACCTCATAGGCATAATTGTATTTGGTCGCACGTCGGTTGGAGGTGCATGTCATGGTGAAGAGTATGCGTTGCTGATCACTAATCTCGTAGAAGTTAAACATCTCCTCGTGGGTTTGAAACACATAGTAGCCGGTGAGGGCCTTGCGACGCGCTGCCATGTTCCAAATCAAGTCAACGCTGTCCGTCTTAAACACCTTCTCCGGATGCTCTGTCTCCAAATGCTGCTTCCATTGAATCTCACGACCATGCCACTTACAATCGCCCCAAACACGACCCATAAAGCATTTCATCGGCTTATAGATGCACTGCTTCTCGTGCCAGGGCAGCAAAGCGACGGGCAGCCGAACCATGCAGCCCCCACCAGAGTGACTGCAACGGAAGTGAGCCTTGGCGCATAATGCCTCCACGGTCAGCGAACGTGAGGTGGTGAAGGCCTCCTGCAGAGCAACAGAAGATTGGAGAGAATGATGAGTGAGCGAGAGAGAGAGAAAAAGGGAGAGAAACAACGACTTCGATTCATACGGTTCATATATAATACATTAATGCTGTGTGCACTTGTAGATTAGAAACGCTGCTTAATTATGGAAAACCCAATGAACCCAACAGCTTGTCCTGTAAATAGAATCAATCTCAAAGTGTACAAGTCTTATTTACCTTTAGAAATGTTCAAATCCATTACCTGATCGTTACCATATGGAAAAGGTTGGCAATAGTACACCCCCAATAAAAGGAAGCTCCAATATTCAAAAGTACAAACACGAAATTTCGTATCTATATACTTGTATATTGGCAAATGGGGAAGAAAAAAAGATTCTTTCTGCATTTACATCCCCTTCAAATGTTGGGGCAATGTTGATATACATACATATGTACATATATAAGTAAAGGCAATACAACCCTTCTTTTCAATTAGAACTTTAAATTAAGAGAAAATATCTATGATTACAATACTACTATTGTTGGGAAAAATAAACATTTTAAACAAGCTGGATCGAAATCGAAAATAGGAACATTTTTTTTGTTTACTAAGAAGTCTGTTTATGATCAGCATGAGGGAGATATGTATAAAGACATCTCCATCTGCGTGTTCGTCTGTATGAACAACGAGATTTTTAAAACTATATAGGTAGAGAACCAAACTTGGCATATCGACTTACATATCTGAGCCATGCATATGTATCGTAAAGTCTAGCAACTGATTATTATCTATCTCATCTATCTCTTGTATGTTTATAAAGATATGTATATTGTATTCATAAAATGGGTGCTTAGGACTTTTAAATAGTGCCTCATTATATTTTAAAATCGGTGGAACTCAATTGTAGTCTCTATAGTGTATTGTATGTGTATGTTCCCTACAATTGTATTGCAAATAGCGATTGAAAAACTATGATTTCAACAAATTTAACCGGAAACGGAATGACTTATTACTTTGTTGCAATATCGTAACTAATTTGAATGCTTCTTCAGTCTTCAGTAGTCTGAAGTTTCAACAACATTTCGCCTGTGGAAGATTCTAGATAAACTAACATTGTTTAATTGTCGTGTCTGTTTTTATCAGTTAATATATTTTTATTGAAGCTATTCACATTAAGAGTCTATAATTTGTAATTGAGATCAACTCTGTTTTTGTCCAAGTGCTGGGTCCTTTCTTAATTTGCTTATCTACTCGTACATATATGAGATTAGGTTTATAGCATTGGAATGTCGAAATGGTTCAGTAATTTCGACTGAAGTTCTCAACTCTATCTATCTGTACTTGTGAGAGCTTTTTTTTTGGCAATTATAGTATAGTTTCTAATACTGTCTACCTTTCGTTCGTATAAAGTGGTATGCACGTACCTAGCTATATCTTGGGGCATGTACGTCATGAAGACAAACAGAGATAAGTGGGTAAGCTGTCGTCATTGGAGATAACGCCTTACATATCAGTGCGATGGAAAAAGATGCATGCCACTTGATATCTCTGGTATGAATTAGTTACCTAACGACCGGTCGGGCCGATTGACGTCAAACTCACCTTGCACAGTGGACACATGAGCAGGATGCGGGTGCATTGCTCACAGATGCTGTGTCCACTCTTGCAGAGCAATACCGGGGACTTCATCGCACCCGCACAGCCCGGACAGCGCAGCTCTTCGATCAGACTCTCGTAGTGGCGGGCCGAAATGGTTTGGGGTGCCTCCAGTTCCGCTGGCTTGTCAGCCACCGTATTAATGCTGGCCTGCTTCTCTTCCGAACCATTGGCCACCGCCACCATTGCTGGTGGCGAGCTGATGGGTCTCTCATCGCCCAGGCCGGTGCTGCGCGTGCGACTCAGCATGGGCGGCTTGGGTGGTGGGGAGGTCGGTGAACGCAGTGTTGTGGAATTTGCGGCCGGCAATGTGGCGTATTTAATGTCCAGTGCGAGGTTATTTGCTGGTAATTTGGTCTCAGCACCATTGCTTATTTCTAGGACGGGTTTCTGGGACTCCTCCACACGTTCGCCCTCCGCAATGATGGTGTTGTTGAGAAAGATGCGACGCTGTTCGTTGATCTGCTCGATGCTCTTCAACTGTCCAAGAATTTTGAGCTGCTCATCGTCGCCATTGCTCTTGCCAATGCTATCATTGCCATTCCCTATGCTCGGCTGTACATTGGAGGATGCCTCCACCTGCTCGACTTGGTTGCTGTTCATGTTCGCTGCCAAGTTGTTGACTGGTTCGTTGTTTAATAATAATTGTGTAATCGTGGCGAGTTCTTCGAGGCCCGCAGTTCTTGGCAGCACCACTCTGGTTAGTCGCTATATATGTACATACATATATAGTATTCTGTGTATATATGTATGTTTGTATATTTGTATCTATGATGAGTGTACGAGTGTTTGTGTGTCTGCCTCCACACCCGCGTCGTTGCGTTGCGTCTTCGGTTGGGACGCGTATCTTATCAGAGAACCTAACTAACTCGGCTGCCAATCGATTCGGATTTTTGATATAAAGTTGTACCTAAATATATGCCTTCCTCTATATATATATATATGTATATACATATATGTATATATGTATATAGACAAGCAATTATACACATATGCATGCCGCCGACATTCTCCTCTCAGTCGAGCGTCTCCTCCTCACTCCCGTATGGTCTTTGAGCGCTTCGGCGTTCGCGTCGTCTCCAGCAAAAGCTTCTTTCCAACTATTTGGCCAAATATTGTGAACGTTTGTTCTAAGCCCAGTCGGTCTAGTCTGTCTGTCTTCAACATTTGACCCATGGCCTCAACCCCTTCCATCCCCTTTGCCAATTGGTAGTCCATTTGAATTATGTATGCATGTTTTTGCCAAGTTTCTGCACTTCTTTGTCCGCTTCTGTTCTGTTTTGTTTTGTTCTGTTCGGTTCTGTTTGCTGTCTGCGTTTGCCATTTGTCGTTACCATTCCAATTGGCAACCGGAAACGTGAACCGAAAACCCCGTTGGGCCTCAGTTTGTGCCCGTTATGGCCAATGGAGGTGGGGCCTCACATTTCACACAATACGGCAGCAATCAATGTCAAGGTGCTAACATGAATAACCATGACTGACTGGCTTTCTAAGGGTTGCTGTTATTGTTGTTGTTGTTGTGTTTATTGTTTTGAAATCGTAATTCTTATTGCTTTTGGGGTTACGTCCACCAACAACACTCTACTCCAATTGGAAACCGAAAATTGCGCCGAAATATTGAGCTCTACTGGCAGAAGATAAACAGTGAAGCCTCACTAGCAATTATTTTATATTGAGAATACGAAAAGTAAGTAAAGCACTTTAGGATTCAAAATCAAACTGTCTGTGGATCGATGGAACGAAAATGGATTGCAGGAATAAAAACGGTCGCATACAACTTAAATGATATTACATTGCAGTTTTTAATCAAATTTGTATTGAGATATTACCTGTTCAATACATACCTCCTATTTGTTTACTATTTAATGGACTTTTCAGGAACACCCTTTGATAAAAACATGTACTTTGTAATCAGTTAGACCTGTTCTTTTTCGTTTTTTTGATCCAGATATATGCCTACAATCGTTCGGATTTGTGATAATGAGCCGGACGGTGATTATTTTGCCAAAATATTAATTCTTTGTAGTTATTTTTAATTTTTCCTGTTTAATAAATAATAAATTTTGTAGATTTACTTGCATTGCAAACATTTACTTTGCAAATAAATAAACAAACATTAATTCAAAATTTATTCTGCAAGTCAATTCTGGGATGAATTTTTGTTCAGCAATAAAATCAAGAGTTATTTTATTCTTTCAGTTGATTTCAACGTTTATTCTATATCGAAATATCTCTAGTCGTCAGAGCACTGTAAACGAGGAAAGGTTTGGGTTTTCTTTTCCTTTTGTTTAACTTTCAGTGAAAATCAAAATACTGCGCATTTAGTTGTATTTTCGAATGCGTTTCATTGAGTCCACAGAACTTGCCAAAAATCAATAATTATATTTATTTTTAGCTGTGCATAAAATCGATGGATGCTTTCGCTTTTATTTTTGCCTTAAACAAATGGCAAAGTGATTCTTATGGCTCATAATTACTAGAAATTTAAAATTACATACAAATTAACTTGAAAAATGAATGTGAAAAAAAACAAAAATTTATGAAAAATAAATAAAGTATGTAGATTTATTCGGCTGTTATTATATATCTGGATTTAAGATATCTAATCTTATCGTTTATTTTTATTAAACTACTGAGTCGTTCTAAGTTGCACTAAAAAGCAATATGAATGAGGGCTTTGGCAGCCATTGTCATTACATATGGTTCAGCTTTATATGAACAAATAGAGTTATCTGGCGTTGAATAAGCTTAAATATTTCCTATATTTTGTTAATGCAAGATTTTGAATAGCATTTTGGTAAACTTTCAATTAAATGTAATTATTTAGCCTCTTTTTCCGAAGTGTAAGAAGCGATGGTTTTCTCTAAGAATAAAACATGCACTGGGGGATTCCCCATCGTTGCCACCCCCACTCGAGAAGCTTGCTGTGACGAATATAGTTTTTAGGCCTCTAAGGTTTTTTTTTCAAATCTCAAGCACATACGTCAAAAAATGTTCCTAGGAAGGCATTACTCGTAAATCAATCAATCAAATTCGTCAAGTGGGAAATATATTTTTGTTGATAGTCGGCGTTTCTGTCGCACGTAAATACTATCCAGTATTTACCGTTTTTGTAAAAAAAATTTTTGCAAATCAATTTCGACGATTTTGATAAGATCTGAATGCCCCTGAATTTGCAAACACATACACAGTACTGATAAAACAGTTCTACTGCATTGCACAAGAGCCGAAAAGTATACCTTACCCTTTGTATTGGAAGAACCATTCACAGATTTCTTTAATAGACTTTCTGGCCAATTAATCGCAATCTAAGCTTGTTCAGATCTTGATCAGAAACTCACGGTTCTATGCATTAAAGTTGTCAGTCATGTATAGGAAATTCCTCATAAATTGACAACAAGTCTCAAGTCTAAATCATTAGGTTTCAGAAATGTTGATAGTAAACAATCAGCAAACTATCAATCAATGGGATCTTTCTATTTAATGGCACAGATTTGTGGGAGGCTATTAGAGCAACAATTCAGAAACTGTTTTCAATTGCTTTTAATGACTTGAATATTCCCATACCTAAACAATTCTGTAGATAAATAATTTCGAAATGGCTCGGCGTTGCTTTATGTTATCTGTGGTTACCCAGTGGGTCATATACTATATGTAAATAGATAAAACACTTTCGTGTATCTGTATCTAAATGATAATCATGCAGGAAGCACGCGTGTGAGGGTCTGGTCGGGCCACACATGGGAGGCATGGGAACTCGATTCAGGCCTAGTGATCTGCTTTTCAGAAAGACCTTTTCTTGGTTGTAAAACAATTTTGTTCTATATGTCTTCAACCATCCCTAGAACGAATGAAACGGCGGCAAGGAAATCAAACGTTTTAAGAAAAGTGATAAGTTTTCCATTTGTTGGTAAATAAGCATTGACGCTTTTTGTTTTCGTTTTAAATCGATGTTTGTTTTTGCATTACGCCGTAAACATTACACTACCTTAGGCCTATTTACATACCGGATCTTATCACAGACATCATCACACCCTACATATATACTTGTATATTGTTTTGAATCTATACACATATAGGTAGACTAAATAATTCATTAGCACAATAAAAGCTCAGCTGTCGCAAATACAACAACAATAATAACAATAACAAAAAACCGTGGCCAAGTTGATATGTCGTGCATTCTAATAAAAGCAAAGTCTGAGATTTAAAAGCGGCTACTCATTGTGCCGCTGTAAAAAACAACAGTCCCAGCCCGCGCCCCCAACCTCCACCCAAGTTTGTAGGATAGCTCTCCCACCCACTTCCTACTTATCGTCATTGTCAATGTGACGTTGAAGGTTAAATTGCCGCTGTAGTATTAGTCGGCCGGCGAATTAGCGTGCGCGCGCAACAGCATCCACCACCAGCGGCAAGGGCGGCCACAACAAAATTAGGTTTGGCACTTTCTTGACTACCAACAGCCGTGTTCATTTATCGTCGCGAAGTCATGGCACCTTGTCACATTCTGGAGCTTAGTCTGAAGGAGCAGCGTCGCTTCATCGAATCCTTTGATATGATGATCAGCGACTGCGATGGCGTTGTCTGGTTGCTGGCTGGTTGGATACCTGGAGCTGGGGATGCAGTCAATGCCTTAAGAAGAGCCGGCAAAACCATTAAGTTTGTGTCGAATAACAGTTTTCGCACCGATGAGCAGTATTCAGAAAAGTTCAAAAAAATTGGCGCCCGTGGAGTGAACATAGAGGATGATGTTGTGCATCCTGTCAAGACAATTGTGCGGTATCTGAAAACCCACAAGCCCGGTCAGCGTGTCTTCTCTCTGATGTCACTGGAGGCGAATGAGACGTTGCGTAAGCAGGGCGTTGAGTACGAATCGCTGGTAAGTCTTATGTGACACTTTTCAGACTCGTGACAATTAATTATAACTTCAAACATGCGTTGCAGCAAATCAAGGAGCATCTTACTTCAGCCACGCTGGTGGAGCATTTAACAATTAGCAAGCCGGTGGGTGCAGTTCTCTTCGACATACATCTTGATTTATCGTATGTGGAGTTGGCCAAAGCTATACGCCATTTACAACTGTCGGATGACTGTGAACTCATTGCTGGGGGCAGCGATGTGACTATGCCGCTGTCTGAAAACTTCAATGTGGCTGGATTCTATGATTTTTTGCAGCATGTGAGTCGTTATTCAAATCGGGAGCCAACGCTCCTCGGCAAGCCATCGCATATTTTGGGGGACATGTTGAAAGAGATGTTTAACATCAAGAATTCGGAGCGTTGCGTCTTTGTGGGCGATATGCTGGTGCAGGATATTCAGTTTGGCAAATCGTGCGGCTTTCAGTCGTTGCTGGTACTTTCAGGTGGCACGACAAAACAGGATATGTTAAAAGCACCGCCAGAGGCTCAGCCGGACTATTATGCGGACAGTTTGGCTGATTTAGTGCAGCTTTTGCAAAACATGGAAAATGGATCAGCTTGAAAATGTACCCGTTTTATTTGTAGTCGTTGAATTTGTTGTGGATTTAATCCAATATAAACGTTAAAAAAAATATGAAAACCACAAGCCTGAGTAAGTCTTAGATCTCTAGATCCTCGGGATGGTAGAGCTCGGTGAGCAGTCGGTAGACATAGGAGGGCGCATGACCGCCGCTTCAAACAGAAAAACCAAATTATTAATAAGAAAATAATTAGTTAGGGTTAGCTGCAGCTTACGTGTTTGAAATAAAGAGCGTGACCAGCTCGGGCGGCACATAATCGAACATGGGACTGTAGACTTTTGCTTCGCGCGCTGGCAGCGAATCATATGGTATGACATCCTCGGCACAACCCACCATATTAAAGGCGTCCTGCTCGCACAGATGCAGCGGCGACAGTTTGTACATGGGCGCCAGCACAATGACGGGCACAGAGTAGTGCTTGGCGGCCAGGGCCACGGTATAGGCGCCACAGGCAGCCCGTAAGCCACCGTTGGCCAGCACGCTGTGGGTGCCAATGATCACCTTGTTGACGCGCGACATCATCGCAAAGATACTGGCGTCGGGTATAACAATGATATCCACAGTCTTATCATTTGCTAGCTTGGTGGCCAAGTTGTGGCCGCGACACGATGGCGCACACTCGGCAACAATTATGGTGAGGTATTGACGCTTTTTGATGGCGCGCTTCAGAAAATTCTCCACGCTCCGCGAATGACCCAACGTGAGTATGATTTCCGATGAGTGGATGTGCTCCTCTGCCTGCACACAAATGTTCTCAGAGCTCGTTTCCAGTTCGGTTTCAACCTCTTGCAGGTGATCAAGTAGCGCCTCGCGCAGACCCTGCTGCGGCTTACTATAATCCACACTCACGTTGCTTTCGCTGGTCTGCGTGACCAATTTGTGTAGCGAAAGTGAAGCCTGCGAGTCGTCAGCAAAATGCTGAATCTTGGCGTGCAGCAAATCGAACTCCTCTCGCGTCAGCTTCAGTATGCGGCGCGCAATGTTTGATGTGACGGTCTCTTGCGGCAATGCTGCCTGCATTATGCGGCTCTGGGCACGCACAATTCGCATAAGCTCGCTGATCATAAACGAAATGAAGGAATTAGATGAAGGTGCTTATTTTTAATGCGTGCGTTTCACAACTTACTCAGCATTTTGCCAACTTTTGCTCATTATGATGTATTTAAAAATGTCCAAGGTTTTGTTGGTTATGCTGTAGGAGCCCTCCACCATGCTGCAGGCATTATTATTTTACATATGTATACGGTTAGTGATCCATTGAAACGTGTTTGTGGTGAGCCAACTTACCCAACCTTGATGGCATGTATAAGCTGTGTGACCTCTTTCAGTGGCTGTTCGCGCATCTTGACAACGGACTAATTTCAAAAATAATAAAATGAAATTATATTATATTATATCACGTTCTTGATGCCTCAATATAAGAAGTTGTATCCCGAATTTGGCAGGCATAACAAACATAAAACGATACTCAAGCAAAATCGACACAGCAGCAGTGCTACCCATGATTTAAAAAAGGTAGAAGGTATGGCATTGCGCAAACCCGTTGTGGTGTTCTCTTTTTGTGACATCACATGATGACTTTTTGTTGTTGAGAGAGAGCAAAGAAAGAGAGCACAATAATCAAGTGGCAGCTAGAGTGCCATGTTTAATTTGCTCGTTCGAAGCAAATAGTTGCAGCCATACCTTCGCTCTTTGTACCGTGAGTGCTACCAGTTTTGTTTTATATATTATGTTCAATTTAAGAGCGCGCATTATAACAACAAATATTTCGAGGCGGCTGTTTATACAGATGTGACGAAATAAGTTTAACTAATGCCATTGTATTGCTCGGTTGTATAATGGGTAAATAAAGCTATAGTTCAATTAATTGCAATATTGTTTGTTTTGCCAATTGTGTGTAGGCAGCACTATGCCAACTTTGCATTTATCGCTATCGATATTTATGCAACCAGCAGGAAAAGCCGCTGTAGCAACAACAGCAACAGCGGTAGCAACAGCAACAACAACAATATGCGATAAAAGTCGGCTGCGAGATGGGCTGAATTTGTTTACGTGTCTTCTTCACCAGTCAGAGCCAAAAAAACTGACGCGAAAGCTAGAAGCACCACAACCTGTCGCAGCGCGTAACAACAATTGACAACTGCAGCTGCGTGGTGGCGCACACGCACATTATTCGAAATTGTCGTTGCCTTTAACAAAAAGATTTGACTCGTAAGCAAACATAGAGCACTTATTGTTTATCTTTAAAAACAAGAGGTGCTTTTTTTGTAATCTAAGAGTGTCAAGCGGCCCAAGAATATCTCTTCAGCCAAACACGAAAACGCGCCATGAATATACACAGTAAGTGCTGAGGGAATCAATCGTTTAGTTGAGTTCAGTGCTTGAATGGGTTAGCACCTGGCATATATTTATTTATTTATTAATTGCTATGCTTCCCGCTCCCATTTATTATCGCACCTCAGTGAACACGAACACTCTCAAGTACATTAGCCTCCTAACGCTAACGCTTCAGAATGCGATTTTGGGTCTCAGCATGCGCTATGCGCGTACTCGTCCTGGCGACATCTTTCTTAGCTCAACGGGTAAGAACATACAGCTTTACGTGGACATTAGTAACACACATATGGATACACACACATATACCCACACCATTGGTCACAGCACTTCCAATTAGCGTGGCAAGAATGCGACATACCGTAAAATGTTTTCTTGCAGATAAGAAAGACTGCCATATACACACGAGTATTTCCATTTCCTCTTGGAAATGGTTTGGCTGATAACAGCTATTAAGTAGCGTCCAAATAAACGTGTATATATGTGTGTAATATTTCCGCAATGGTATTGTTAGATGACAAATTATTTACGCTACTTTTGCAGCGGTTCTGATGTCGGAATTTGCCAAACTCATAACCTGCCTGATATTAGTTTTCAATGAGGAGGGGAAAGATGCTCAAAGATTTGTCCGATCTCTGCACAAAACGATCGTGGCCAATCCCATAGATACGCTGAAGGTGTGCGTGCCATCGCTGGTGTATATTGTACAGAATAATCTGCTGTACGTGTCAGCCTCGCATTTGGATGCGGCCACATACCAAGTGACATACCAGCTGAAAATATTGACCACGGCCATGTTCGCTGTCGTCATATTACGGCGCAAGTTGCTAAACACTCAATGGGGCTCTCTCCTGCTCCTGGTCGCTGGCATTGTGCTCGTCCAACTGGCACAAACGGATGGCGGTTCAGCTGTGAAAGCGAAAGATGAAACAGGACCTGTACAGAACCGTATGCTGGGCCTGTGGGCAGCATTGGGTGCTTGCTTTCTATCAGGCTTCGCCGGCATTTATTTTGAGAAGATACTTAAAGGAGCCGATATCTCTGTGTGGATGCGGAATGTGCAGCTGAGTCTGCTCAGCATACCCTTTGGTCTGATCACCTGCTTCGTGAACGATGCCAGTCCTATATATGAAAAGGGCTTCTTCTACGGCTACGATATGTTCATCTGGTATTTGGTTTTGCTGCAAGCAGGAGGCGGTCTTATTGTGGCCGCTGTTGTTAAGTATGCGGACAATATACTGAAAGGTTTTGCCACTTCACTGGCCATCATAATCTCATGCATAGCATCAATATACATATTTGATTTTAATCTGACGCTGCAATTCTCATGCGGCGCCGGCCTGGTCATTTCCTCAATCTTCCTTTATGGCTACGATCCGGGCCGTCACGCCTCAAAACCAACAATGCAGCAGCAACAGCAGTCGGCGGCGGATGAGGAGAAGCTTCTGCCGCGTGTGTGACGCTCTGACACCTGAAACTCTAAAGTTGAACAGTATTTGTCTAGTGGTTGCCGTCATAATCATTATCATCATCATCAACATCATCATCAGCAGCAGTTGTTTAATGAGCTGTTGTTGCCCTCGATCGTTGATCGCCGGGCAACGTTGTGTGATTGCCTCTGTGTACTTCATCTGATATTTGCATTGTGTATTTTTGGAATATAGAGCTGGCTGCTCATCTCCACAAAGTGCGTTTAAACGGTCTTTCGTTTATACGTTTATTCAATTTTTAAGTCCTATGTATGTATGTACTATATATGTATCCTATCTCTACACTATTATGTTTTTATCACGCAGACATGTTTTTAAAAGTGTTTGCAATTATGTTTTTCAATAAAAACAATGTAAAACATAAACCGCTTCGACTTTGAAAGGGAGACGATTTTTTATTACACATCGTAAAATCTAAGAAACAAGAAATTCTGATCTTCTGCTCTACTTAGATAAAAGGTTTAACGTTTGGGTTCTACTCTAAAAACAAACGGAGCATTGCGTTAGGTGGAGACACTACTCTGTGGCTGGAGAAAAAAGACTTTTTAGAAATTTGTATAATCTAACAAGGCGGAATATATGTGACTCGAAGTGCGGCACTTAATGGTTCTGATTTGGCAGGCATTTAGCATCTGTTGATTGGCCCCTTTATATAAATGCTTATCTGTCAAAAACAAAAAACACTTTCTCTGTGCATATAGTATAGCAACGGTATATTCCATTAGTAAAAACATTAAGAGAGATCTTAAGGTACAATCATATTTGAGTTATTACCAATTATCAGAACCTTTGGCACTCTAGTTACGACTATCTGGCAAATGTGTATATGTACATATATTATGTCAAATCTGTATTAACAGCTTTCTGTTACGACTATTTTTATTGGTTCGTAATACCCGAAAATGTGAAAAGCGAATTTTAGCCTAAACAATTACCAGTTTAATAAACTTATTTATGAACATAAAATAAATAACAAATATATCTGATAAAAATGTAAAAAGGAGTGTTTCATTTAAAAAATGTGAATGTACATACATAGCTAATTATTTTTAATATAAGCCGGTAATTATAAACCGATTTTATTCCAGAAAAAGTATATAGAAATAATAAAATAGAAATGAATATACATATGTACTTGTATGTACGTATTATCTAATGCATTTAAATATTTGGAGCATTAAGTGATCTTTTCTATACCCTTCTTGCTTTGCTGTTCTGTAGTACTTCTTTCTAACAATAAACTACGTTTCCCCCACATATACATGAATTCTGAGAAGAAATATGAAATTATGGCTAAGCGTTAATAACATTATGATTTCATGATAAAAATACAATCTGAAGACATACATACATACGTATGGGCTAATTTTATCATACTGAGGACCTCTCTTTCTGTGCAACATTTAGTATTTATTATACTTAGTATTTTTTCTATAATGAGTATACTCACCTAAAGTATATTTATTTTAAGCTATCAACTTCCTCTCAAAGAAAGTTACACCATCTGTAATTGACTTTTCCAGTTTCATAAGCCAGCTAATTTTGTTTCATAAAATGCATTCTAAAATGGTATACGGAAGGAAAGGTATAGGACGGTTTGTTAGGGCTTACATTGTAGCTGACTTCCCCTGAATCTTGCAGTCCTCCCAAAATGAAGCAATGGAATGATATTTCAGCATTTCGAAGTTGATTTCATTCCTATCCTTGCAATGAAGTGTCATTCTGAAAATTGCCCACACCGTCTAAAGTGAATACAAGATAGATCCAACAAAACAGGCTTCAACTTCAGCAATAAGACCACTAGATAGTCGGTGTATAAAGACAGATGCGAAGCGATGATGCCAGTTATTATACATACATAAGTTGTTGACATTTTAAATGCGACCCACGAGCATGAACCGAAGACCTTTCATAAAAAAGAAACAATGTTGATACTTATATTATGTTTATACTTATTTTTGCTTAATCTGTAAATTATGTACGCTTTAAAGTAATACAGAACCAAAGATAGATTTCTCAGTAACTTATTTTAGCATAATTCGCGCCGCCGTTCCTCAACACAAAAAACTTAAATAAGTAGTAAAAGGTAGATCTTATAACTAAAACAAGATAGAACGCTACAGTCGAGCAAGCCCGACAGTAAAATAGCCTGTACTCTCCACAAAAAAGAAAAATTAAAAAAAAAAAAATTAAAAAAAAAATTAAATTATTAAAAAAAATTAATGAATTAATTAATTAAATTAAATTAGAATATATGTTTATGTTTAGTTTTAACAGCATACATTTACATCACGTACCTATGCGTGTTTATATGCGTGTATGTATGCAGCACAAAGTTGAACCAAAGCAGCAACAACAACAACAGCTGCGGGCAGCGCTGCCGACAGAGGCAGCGCATGAGCAGCGATTTTACTTATGGCTATAACTTTCTTCAGAATTGACCTATCATGATGAAATTTGGCACACGGACACATTAGTACTAACTGGATGTACCTACCAAAATTGATTTTTAAATTCTGAGAATTACGGAAGTTATAAGAAAAAACACGAATTGCGGGGGAGTGGGGGGGTGCATCGAAAAAAAACTCAAACTCGTACTTTCTCGGTCTTAGGAGAATATGGAAACCAAGTTTGGTTATTCTAGCTCTTATACTTTCTGAGATCCTTGCGTTCATACGGACAGACGGACAGACGGACAGACGGACGGACGGACAAGGCTATATCGACTCGGCTTCCCATCCTGATCAAGAATATATATACTTTGTGGGGTCTGCCACGCCTCCTTCTGTGTGTTACATACATGCGCACAAAACTAGTATAGCCTTTCACCCTTTGGGTACAGGCTATAACAAATGAAATCTCGACTTCATCAAATGAGCATGTGTGCAAACTAAATGTTGCCTATTTACTCCAGGCCATGCGTATATCGTCGGCGTGGTTTTGCATTGTGGTAACCAGCTCGTAGAGTCGCAACGATGGGCCCACTTTTAAGCCGAAGCGGTTGAGGATATCGTAGCGCGTGAGGAGCATCAGCGAGACGCCATCGATGTCCTGAAACTTGAAGACATTCGCCTCGTTGGGGTAACGTTTGTGTACAAAGGAGACGACCTCATCAGTGGTCCAATGCTGCACCGGCAGATTAATGTATGTCCGCTTCACAACGGGCTCTGCAATCTTGTCAACATTGCCCCTTTCGTTCTCGTTCTCGTTGGACAGATGCTGCGATGCGATTGAGTAGAGCGGAGGGGGTGGGTGAGTCGATGGCAAGTTGTCCTCGTTGCTGTGGCGCCGCTTCTTTTTTAATATAGAGTTGGCTGCTAACGTAGTAATAGGCTGCAACGGCGGTAGGGAGCTGCACGAACTCATGGAAGCATCTTCGTCACCGCTGCTCAATTTATGGGTTGGCTTCCCATTGCTGGCGAGGCCAACATTTGCCTTTTTCTTGGGGCCCATTACGGATTTGCGCATTGCATCGGCATCCTTAGACTTTCTGCCTGCATCGCGCGCAGCTTCGCGGGCGGCGGCCTCTCGCACGCTATTGATTTTAGCCACGCATTTGGCACATTTCCACTTGGGGCCGACTAGCTTGGTGTCCAGCACGGGCGGATGGTGGCACTCCAAATGATATGTTTCCACACACATGCTGCACACGATCTTGTCCTTCTGTAAGACAGTTTAGTAGTTAGCAGGAAACCTTTTCAAAGCTTCGCTTTACTCACTTGAATCCTGGCATGTTTGCCGGACAGGCAAACAGTGCAAGAACGGCATCTTTCGCATCTATATTTCTTTCGCGCAAGACTCAAATTTTCGAAATTTATGGACATGCAGTGAAAGTGCCCTAAAAGGTGAGCAACGGAATGTTAGGGAAGATCAGAAACTTGTCAAGTTACTTACACTTCCGCAGGCAGGTCTTGCAGGTTAGGAAGTTACTTTTGTGTCCGGAACCACGCTTGGGCTCGCTTTTATGGCATTTCATACAAGTATCAAATGTGAGGTTTTTAGGTGGCGGTGGCGCCGGTGGCTCTGCAGAGGAACCATTAGTTGGAGTAGCAGTCGCCAAAACAACACCACGGCTAACGGTATCCGGAACAGTAGCAGCATCAGTGTCTTCATCCTTTTCCGATTTTACCGATTGAATGTCAGCAGCATCCATGCAATAAGTAGCCTCCGCTAATCGGTTTACCAACATGGTCTGCCGTTTCCCAATGTAGTAGTCGGACGGATCGTAGACCTGTTTTGGTTTCTGTATAAAAATTGTCAGCAGGCAAAGTAGTTATTTAGTAAATAGCAGAAAGTACAAAGCACACTTGAAAGCCGCATTGAAGAGTCAAAGCATACCTTAACGCGTCCTGTGGTACGTACTGTGGCGGCTGTGCCACTCGTCTCGTTGCCGCTGCTGTTGTTCAGCAAACTGTTGCTACAGCTGCTACTTGTGCAAGAGCTGTAGTCCTTGTCCTCCTCTCGGTTGCGCTTCATTTTCTGTGAATAAATGTAATACCCTTGCTGCAGTTAACTTAATTCTGCGGCTAATCCTATTCTGCAATGCGCGCTTGCCGCTTGTTTAACGTACAAACCTACGATAAGTTATCGATAACAGTGCACCAATTTATCGAACTGAAGCTGCAAAACTGGCTTTTTTCAATTTTTCTTAATACAAGTAAATGTTGTGTTTATGGTTTCCTCATATTCCCCAAACATTTAGCCCCTTTTTCAATTATGTTTTGGAAAATGAAACTAATTGTAATTATAATACACTACTCGTTGATCAAGTGTAGCCTAGAAGGCAGGAGAAAAAGAAAGGGCAGCGACGATTTGAATTCGGAAAAATAAATACAATGTATTCGTTTTTCCTCGTTGCACTTTTTGCTTTGTACAGCCATTTGTAGAGTTTCTTTTAATTTCCCATTTAAAAAATACCCAAATTGAAAATGCAGTGTAGTTGCGCGTTTGATTCGTTGTCTTTTCTGTTTCTGTGTCATTACCAAAATATAGTTGAGTAATTAAATTACACACTACAAACATACAAGTATTAAGTACAGTAAAATAACTTAAATTTGATTCTTAAACATAACATACATCATTGCCTGAAGTTACATGTATGTACTGATATACCAAAAGTAGACATAATAATTTTAAGCGGTTGTGATGTGCATGGCGATGCAGACAATGCAGGTTTTGCGAAGTCTTTGGCGAAGTGTTTGAGTAAATATTAACAACAACAATAAATTTTTTTAAATGAATAGCAATTATTCAATTTTGATTCGGCGTGCGTATTTCCAGGCCAGGCGCACCAAGTCCCTATGGGCCAACGCCCAAGATCCCAAGCATAAAAGGCCGGATGCGAAGCCAATGGCTAAATGGGTGCCCAGAGCGGCATTACGGTACTGCAAGAAAATAATAAAAATCACAATATGAGAGCTAGACATTATTATAATGGGCGTAAGACTTAATTACCCAAAAGCAACTGCAGCCAGCGAATATGAGCGTGCCACCAAAAAGCTTGCCCGGCCACAGGCCCAGCAGTGGATTTAACGCCAAGGGCTGATACTGCAGACGTATATGGTATGTGCTGCAGAGAGAATATATCTTTAAAAACTTCACTTATTTCAGCGCTCCCGTCCCTCCCTCACCTGTACAAAATGCGGCTCAGCATGTTAATGCAATTGGCAAAGATGAACCCGACTGGCCCGAAAATACCCGTTAGTATATAGGAGAGCACTAGGAAGCTGATAGAAAATATAGCCATAATGAAGTTGTATTTGTCAATTTCGCGACTTGTGTTTGTGGCAAACATATAGCCTTCGGTGATACCATTAATGGACAGCAAATATATGGCCAAACAATGCCACTGGAGCAGACTTTGGGGCAAGCCGCCAGCGACGAAATCATCGCCGCCATACATTTGCAACACCGTGTGTGAGTAACTCTGCCCAAAGGTGCAAGCCAGCAGGCCGATAGAGCTAACGGCTAGCAGCAGATTGTGTAAAACGCTGCATGCTTGCCGCACACGTTCCGGTGGCTGTTTATCCAGCTTTATATCACGTGAGATGGTTTGCGTGAAGTAGAAATAGGCGCTATCTTCAATGGGACGAAAGATGAAACGCGCTGCCATGCTGCCCAAATTATTCACCACATCGTACGTGGCCTGCTCACTAAAGCTAAGTACTGGACTAACAGACATCACGTACTTCTCGCCCTCTGTGAGTATGTGCTTAAGCACGCCCTGCTTTACGAAACTGAGCGTCAGAGTTTGCAGTTCCTTGTTGAAGAACGCGCCTTTGTTCTCTGTGACACCGGGCAGCATCTCGCTTAGCCTGGTGAACGGAAAGTCCTCCATGTGCTCAAACATTGTGCGCTCCCAGGACGTTAGCTCAGCTTGGGTTCTCGGCGACTTTCCTTTCCGGGACTGTTGTAGCTTGAACCGATTGAAGCGCTTGATATAATAGTGGAAGAAGCCGTATTGGCTAACGATTATGGTTATGGAACTGGCCAATTGCGCAATGGCAAAGGCATAGATGGCCACACTTTGATCCCCGATGACAATCCACAAAAAGATGACAGAACGGACCAGAATGTGCAGCGTGTTAAGGAGAATTTTAAGTTTGACAAAGCAAAAGACTTGGGCCACAAATACGGTCGACTCGGCCATCAATTCCAGCACACAGGACAAGGCCACAGCATAGCAAGCAAACTCATATTGTGCTTTATAGATAGCGTCGACATTCGACAGCCAATGCAACCAGCTGTACAGACAAGGTGCGCAAAGAGCTGCGCAGATGAGAACACTGCAATTGAAGGGACAAGGGATAGGGTATCTATTGTCTGCGTCAGCTGTCTGTGTCCCACTTACGTAAGCCACATTTGGTTGATCAACTGTGCCCAGGAGCATTTGTCGCGCTGCTGAGAGTTGGCACTCAATGCGGCACGATTGATTGCCTCGCGCGACAAAAAGAGCAGCGTACTCTCAAGCAGCAGCAGGCGCACATTCATAATGCCCAGCACTTCGCGACCCACATTCCTCACGATATAGGCATTAATGCCGAATGTTAGAATGCGGCACAGTATCTAAGAACACAAAAATAAGATAACATTAGTTGTTTTTTCGAGTCTTTTTTTTGCTTAATTATTACCTGAAAGATAATGCTGAAGCCAGCGCCCAGCAGACTGCTCTCCAGCACGTTGCGCGCCATTTGGAAAGTGTGGTTGTTTATCAGTTGTAAATCTATATCATCACGTATGACAGCTATGTGTACAACTGAATAAAAAATTGAAATAAATTCGAAATTTAATAACAGAAAAATGTGAATGCCAAAACAACACGTCAAATGGTAGCGGTTTGTTGTTTGGGCAAAACAGCTGATGGTCGCATCAGCTATCGATAGGTCGACACACACACATAAGCACAACAGCTGTTTAGCGTTGCCAGTTCCTCAAATAATGCACTTTACTGGTGTGGCAGATTGCGCAAGCATTTGGCGCCCTATTTGTTTTTCTGAATTTTCGATACAAATTTTCTATGGTTATTATTTAGTTTTCATTCTGCCTTGCTACGCATGTCTGCTAAAAAATGAATTAAAATTTTTTTAGCAAACACCTTCAATCAATCAACTGGGCGCTTAATTTGTTTACTTCATAAATCACCAGCTGTATGTCCTTTTCTTTGAAATATTGCCTGCTAACAATGTTGGCATGAAAAGCCAAACAACTCGTTGCAAACTGGTCGCAACAACTTTCGTTGCGGCTGAAGTTTTCTGTTGGCTGGCTGCTTGGCCTTAACTCGTAAGTCAGTAAGTCAGTCAGCATTTTGGCGTGAAAAGAGTCGGTCGGCACAGCTTTTCTACTGCCATCTTCTCGTTTACAACGCTGTCAGTCAGTTAATCAGTCTTTTAGTTTTCCAGCTGGCTAAGAAAGGTGCGCAAGCGCGTGCGCTCTCGCTTGAAAAAGTGGCCGAGTGTTCTGCAAGACGGAGCGTGAAGTGCATTTCGCTGCCGTGTGCGCGTCTTAACGTTTTTGTTTTGTTTATTGTTATTTTTTGTTATTGTTGTTAGTGTGTTTTTTTTCATCTTCATCTTTTATAATACGCTTTTCATGTGGAAAAACACGCGGAAAATCTGATTTCGAAAAATAAGAGGCACAGCCAAGAAACCCAACGAAACAAACAAACAAACAAACACAACAACAAACGTAACAACATCGCCTCACTATCAGTTACAGCGTGTGACACTTTTCAAAGTGACCGAAACAGGTTGACGTTATAGAGCTAGAGTCGTTGTTTTAAAGGGTGCCTTTAGCCACTCGCCGCCCGGTCATGTTATTTGCTATTGCTGTGGCAGACAGCCGTTGATGCACTCGCAGCTGGCAAATATAACATCTGGACAGACCCAGGCGAACCAGGATGTCGGACATCTATTACTGCAGCAATAGCCAGGTGAGTTGACGTTCTTTGAGAACTTTCCGCCATACGCCGCCATAAAAATCCAGCCATATTTATGGCATTTCAATTCATCTTCTAGCATACATGCGCACTTATTAATGCGCTCGAAATAGTTAAAACAAATTAATAATCATAATAATAACACAACAATCATATAAATTATTTGGTCATGACATTAAACGAAGCCATAAAACGTATTTCATAGCAGAGAAAGAATTTACAAAATTCGAATAAAACTGACAATAGTTTTTAAATTAATAAATTACTCAAAATCATTCAACATAATGAATTAATCATACTAAAAAGAGGTTTGTTTTTTATCCTTTTAATTATAACTTATAAAGCTTCTTATATGTATGGAAACTTGTATTGCTAAATATACAAGTATATGTTGTTGAATAAACAATTTATAAATTGGATAAAGCAAATAAATAATAATATGAATAATATATGGATTAAATAATAACAAATAAAATAAATAATAACTTTTTAGTATGTTGGCGCAATGATTGATGTCTAATAACAAGTTATGAGTTTAAAATAAAAAAAAAGTATAGTACTTACAACAATCAGTGCATTTGTTAGGCAAGAAATACGTCAATTTTTTTTTAAATGCTCATCACTGTTGTGTACTAATTCTTCATCAGCGCGTACTACTTTGGTTTTGATTTCTCACTATATTACTTTTAGCATGAAATCCAGGCAATATACATAAGAGTTATTTTGTCATATAGCTTTTACCTTGATTTGCAAACCAAATGAAATGTTCATAAAGGATCATTAAGTTCTATTTACCAACGTGTATTAAATCCAAGTACAACCATAACACTATTTCTAGAAGTTGAGCTGTAAAGATTAATTTGATTTTAATCAAATATTGTGCGCTTTAAGAATTCGCACGCTTCTTTTATTGAACAATTTGTCTCTTTTATTTCTCGATTTCTGCTTAGGTATTCGATTTATATTTATGTTTAGTTACTAAACGGTTTTGACTTTCGTTTTTCAATAAGTTTATTTGCAGCACAATTAATTTTAATTAATTGAATACTTGAAAATCTACAAAACTTATCGCATCATAAACAGTCCCATGTCTTCTAGTCTGCCCCCTCTACTCCTAAATGTTTAGTTTAGATACGTTTGATTAAGTGCACATAGTGGGAGCAGGAAGGAAAAGTATTTTAGTTTCTCTTTGACAAAAATATTTCTTATTTTTAAATTAGAGATAATTCTTTTCCATTTTTTATTTTATTTTTTCTCAATACAATACAATATAATACATTTCAATACATAATCGCCGAAAATGCTCTTGGGAATTATAGTTCAATGCTCGAACAAAATATCCGATTGCAAAAAAATGTAAGAGAGAAATAATTGATGCTGTGCTTACAGCAAAAAAACTTCAATGTTGTTAAAGTACTTAAAGTTTTTTTTGAATCCCTTTGCTTTCTAGCATTCTATTTATTTTATTTGGCTTCAAGAGAAAATTTGATTGATTCTTAAAATGGGTTTCGTAACAGCATAAGAGTAAAGTAAGAGGCTCTAGCGACTACTACACTCGAATATCAATGCTATAGAATGCTTACGCCCAGTAGGCATGCATTCAATATTTGTGTAAGAAAGATCAGCTCTTGCATTTGCCCCCCAAATTAATTTTTACAAGTAAATTGAATCTTGAACTATGAATAATTGAAAATTTCCCTCGGAGTCGTCGCGTGCTTTGGCTTGGCGTGTAATTTCATTTTGTTATGCAGTCGCCTCGCTGCGCTGTTATTGTTGTATTTATGCCGTATACACACACACACACACACACACACTCAGATAATCATATGTACTCGCTTGTGCTATAGTATGCAACAGTTAAGAGACTGCTGATCGTGTGTGAGAGAGAGTGAGAGCCGGGGCGAGGGAAGAAGAGCCAACTTTAGCTTATTTGTTAAGCAGCAGAGCCTGCGTTGTCCAATCGAACGCGCTGTCATCACAATGTCATAATTGGAAATTGTACGATAATTAATGGAAACAAAAGTAAAAGCGCACAAAGTAGACAACGATGAGGAGAGAAGAAATGAGAGGAAGCAACGGTATTTTGTGTAAAAAAGTCATTTGTTGTTGCTTGACAAATGATTTATTTTTGTTTTCTTCGCGATTATGCAATGTTGTTGTTGTCGTTGTTGCTGTGCCTGCTGCATTATGTTGGCTTATCGATAAGTTTTTAATTTCAATTACAATTTCACAAGCAGTTCAGGCCAACGGCAGTTGTTAATGTACTCCATGTAACAGCTTATGATGTGCAAACATACATAATGTATTTATTTACATACCCCATGTACATATAAGTAATAGCCTGCATTTTCCGGCTATTTTTCTAAGAGTATTAAATACATTTTTTGTCATCACTTATTTGGTAATGCTTTTTTGTTGCAAATTAAAATTTAAATATCTATGGATGTTTACTCATTTTCAACATTTGTTAAAAATTCGTAAAACAAAAACAAGATTTGAGGAAATTTTGTATATTACATTCATATCGAAGTTGAACATTTTTTCAAAATAATCATGGAACAAAAAACTTTGCGAAAGTATATTTGGAAAAGAGATAAGAATTATTAATATTTGGCTTTCTTCATTTTCAATCAATGAAATTCATTAAAGTTCATGCATTCAACTTTGTTTACTACATATGTATTTAAAAAATTTTATTTTTATTAGGATTCGCCCCAGATTCTTCAAAATGATAGATTCTAGAAGAGACTTTTAGTATCTATTGTACAACAATGTTTCAGGTTTTTAGTAAAAATATAATTTTGTTTGCTTAAAAGAAGTTTTTCCTATGCATAATCGCAGAAAAAAAAACTGGGAATTATAGTCCAACGCAGTCTAATATATAATTAATATTTATCTGTGGATTTGCTCCATTGAACAAAAGTTGTTGTTGTGTTTCAGCCGGTTTTCTGGGATTAGTTTTCGAGTATATTGGTTGATTTATACAAATGAGTAATATCGTATTTTGTCAGTTGGGAAATTTCTTAGATTTGTTGATCACAAAATAAGTGAATCTCTCGAATTCATTTCACATAATCTAACTTTTAGTTCGGTGTCCCCACATTTAATCGAATTAGGAAAGGTCAGAAGACCTCATTATCCTCATCGAATTAGTCAATGTCTTTGTAAATATTCACCATTCAGATTATCTGGCGATATGCAAGAGACATACATACATATGTACATGTATCTTCCTGAGTTGGAAAGCAGTGTGTAGACAGATATTCATATTTACGCACTGATGTGTGTAGTTGGCTTGGCTGCCTGTCTTTATGTTGATATATCTTTATGTAAGTACGTAATTCATATTGCAACTATAAAATTTATGTAAATTGCAGTGTAAGCAAAGCATGGCCAACATCAACGCCCCCCCTACGCCCGATCTGTGCAGCGCGCACGCCTTGCGGTTGATGCGCGCGGCAGCTTCTGGCAGCGAAAACGCAAAGACGGCGACGCGCGATAGCTTACGAATGGCTGGCGACGATTAGAGAGTTGCGCGCGTGAAAAAAAGTGTCGTTACGCTCACGCACATTCCCAGAAACTAAGTTTTCCTTGCATTCAAAAATCCTCGGGGCTTTTAATATTTAACGTTTAAGTACTTTTTTTTTGTTAAATGTTAAATGAGTATTATTTCTGAAGGTTTTGAATTTTGGTGTCATATCAGGTTTTCATTTATTTAAAATATTGACCTCAGTTAAACCTATTGGTATCTATTTTCCATCCGCATTTGTATTTGGATTTCTTATTTTTCTAAATATGTATTGATTTCAGTTAAACCTATATAACCTTTTTTATTTTGATTTGAGTTCCTGGGTAGATTATTTCCATCCCCTTTCAAATTTTGTACAAGATAACAAATTTTGTAAGTTTTTGTAAATTCTCACACATTTTAAATTATAGAAGATAACGAGGAAATTAGTGACTGAAAGATTAAAATCGATCAAGCTTTTGCGATACCAAAAAGAGAAAGGCTATGAAGAAGATGAACGTTTTAAGTTAACGAAATCAAAAATCTGTATAGAATTCTGTGCGAATTAATGATTGAAGTACAAAGAATAAAGAAGATAAAAGTTTAGTTTTTGTTTTTCAAGCTTATGGAGATTTGAACTAGCTTTATAATTTGAAATGAGATTTTTGTTTTTAACCTTTATGGAGATGTAATTAAGTTTGTTATCAATATAAAACTCGAAGGAAAATTTCTATATGTTTTCTAAACTTCATAGAGAGATTTTGTAATCAATATGTAGCTTGTATTTTATATACATATGTATATATTTCTTTCATTCACATAATTAAATATAGTATCTATATAAAATTCTACAAAGAATTTCTTAATTTGAAAAAACGGATGTTTTTGTCAACTCCATAGAGATTTTGTATTTATACGATATAGTCTCTAAGAAGTAATAAATATACATAAAGAATTTGATCAATGTTTCTGAGTCCAATATCGAGATCGGAATCATTTTTATCTTGCAATTTTTTATGTCAAGTATTGTACTTTTTTGTAAGTTTGTGTATTTGATACTCACGCACGCATTCACGCACTCCCGCACAGCTCTAGCGACGATGCTGGGCCACAGAGATGTAGTGAAAGTGCGTCCCGTTATACGGCTGTGGCAGAGGCTGGGCAGAGAGGCTGGCAATTTGCCTTAGTAACTTAGTTTTGTTGGCAATGCTATTGTTGCTGTTGTTGTTGCTTATGTGGCTTTGGGCGCATTGCTGTAAAAAATTTGCCGCCTCTTTTATGGCACACCGCTATCGCTGCTGTTGTTGTTGTTGTTGCTGCTGCTGCTGCTGACTCGCTGTTATTATGCTGATTGTTATTATTGGTGTTGTTGTTGTTGTTGGCTGCCAAAAGAAATCAAAAGTTTTCTGCTGCACTGTGCGTCTGTTTCCCTCAGTTGGGCTTCTTTTGTTTGTTTTTTATTTCTCTTCTTGTGTGTATTTTTTTGTTGTTATTTTAATTTGCAGCTGTTTTTTGTTTCTTCTTTTTGATTTTAATGCAAAAATGCTGTTTTTTGTTGTTGTTGCTGTTGAATGCTTTGTAAAAATTTGTTTGTGAAATGAAATGTCTGCATTGCCCACTTTTGGTAGTTTTGCTTTGTTTTGTTGCTGTTTTTTGTTGGTCATGAGAATTTTTTCGACGACGAGCAACAAAATGGCAACAAAATGTGTCGCTGTCAACAATAAAGCGAATTAAACACACAATGTATACCAAGGTTTTCACTGACCAACATTTTTACAATGTACATATTATTGTAATTGCTGTTGCAGGGCGTTTGTCTTGTTGTTGCATAGTTAGGCCAACTATTGAGCAATGCGCTTGTAATTTAAGCCTAGCTACAAGCATACATTTGTCCATGCATACATACATACATACATACATACATACATACATATATCAATATCAGCACAAAAAACGTTATACTGTATGTACGAGAGTAGGCATTTGTTTCAATGTGCGAATTGTCTGACAAACATTCCAATAAGTCGCCTAGTCTGCACAGACACAGTCACACACATACTGGTGCGCCAAAAGTGATTGCAGCGACAACAACTACAATAACAGCAACAAACTCGTTTGGCAAAAAAATGAAACACCAACAAAATGCGAGAAAAAAAAATCGCAACAACTTTCAGTCTTTCAGTATGTTTTTTTTTTTTTTGCAACAGCCGCTTAAGTTTGCTTATCTTGCCAGTTGTTGTTGCTGCTGCTACTGCTGCTGTTGTTGTTGTTGTTGCTGCTGCTGCTGTTGCCTTTGCACAATCACAAAATTTAGAAACGACACTGCACTGCACTGCACTGCACTGCCATCCATCCATCCACAGCGGCCGTGTTGTTGGCACAGTCGTTGATAACGAAAACAGAAACAATAACTGCAACGTCACCCACAATATGAATGCATTCGAAAATTCGTAGGGAACTTTCGAAAGTCTCGAAAGTTGTTGACAAACAAAGGAAGAACAGCTGGAGTTGCCACAACTATGGTGTATACCCTATCAGCATTTATAAATACTATACTATACTAATGACTGATTGCGGTTTGATGCAGAGATGGGCACAACATCACCAAGAACTTGGCTTTCGTTCCTCTATAACGCAAGATCAGCAAAGAAAACAAGACGAGCTGAGCCTTAAGACTAACTTATTCTCACAATATTATAATTCTTTCATATCCAAGGCTACTGCAATGATATGCTTATCGCTGATTTATTTAGGTTTAAGGGATGGGCTTTATGTGTCTGTTTGGCAGAAGTTTCATCGCAGCTTAAGTTACTTATTTACATACATATTTATTGAGTGACACCCTAATATTTATTTACGTAATGTATTGGGAATGTTTTTCATCTTATCCGCAGTTGTTTAGTGTATAGAATGATAATTTTAATGAGTTTGATGAGCCCTGGGGATTCCAGATTAACGAACGTACCCGTCGCAACCAATGACAAGCCGTAAGACGCTGCAGCCATTTCCCGAATCGCGACTCCAGTTTGTCATAATAGTCGAGGCGTTGCCCTTTTGTCACCCTCGCTCTGTAGGACCTCAATATGATTGAACCCCTACGTAGGAAGTGGCAGACATTGCTGCACTTTGCCGAACTCCACCTGCGAGTCCAGTTTTCAAGCCACAGTTCACCTGTTGCCGGGCGCCGAGATAAGAAGGCAAATGTCAATGAGGCAAGCAGATGGTAGTAGTTGAATTCTCTTTAGGGGCATTGGAATGTCTGCTGCACAGATCAAATATAGCAGTACAATGGGCTGATATTATTTGCTGATGAAATATCAAAACATAAATTACTTCTAGCTTGTTTTTTTTCCACTCTTAATCATAGTTTACTGTTGTGATCGCATATCTATAATTATTTGCATTGTCTGTTCTATTTGTTGCTTTGAATATCATAGACATGTATGTATGTATGTAGGTATGTATGTGTGTATTGTGTGTCTGTCTGTACGTCTGTATATAAGACTTGATTTTATTGCTTCATTCAATGTCTTTTTTTTATTCCATAAGCAACAGGTTCATATTCCTACATAAAGTTAAAAAAAAACAAACAATCGTAGTGGTTGGCAGCAACAACAACAACAACAACAAAATGTTGCTGCCATTTGCTAAATGCCACACGACAGCAGTTGCCGCCGTCGCACCAATAACAACAACAACAACAGAGCATTTGGCACATTCGCTTGGCATGCACCAATAATAATCATTGTTGTTGTTGTTGCTATTGTGATTTTTTAGTTCGTGCTTTACTTGTTGCCTTGTTGTTGCTGGCTGTTGTAGTTGTTGTTGATATTCTTTTAAGTCGCTCAGTTGTTGTTGCTGTTGTTGTTACTCTTGAGCATAATTGGCATTATTGAGCGCAAACGCAAAAAATTGAGCGTCAATTGAGAGCGACCTTTGGCTGTGGCTGTGGCTGCGGCTGCGGCTGTGACCGGGCCACTGTAAATGTTAAATGAGAATTAAATGTTAAGTGGCACCCCACCGCCCTCTGTAACTTTCTCTGCTGTTAAGAATTTGCGCTTCTACATAAATGTTAACAGCGGGACAGGTTGTTTGCCAAGTTCGTTGTTTAAGTCTTTTGTTTATTCTGTGACTTCTTTTTAGTTGAGTTGAGAAATATCATTGAAATAAATTAAAGGGAAACAAGGCAAATTAAGTAGACAACAAAATACTGGAAATATAAAGTTGAAAATCTTTTCATTCTGATACCGACGTCAGCGTCAGCGTCAACGTCAAGATCGACGACGGGCTGCGCTGCTTTCATGCCAATGTTTGCTTACCTAAAGCGTTAGCAAAGAGCTTCAAAGAAAGTAGCACAAATCATTGGCTGTTTGTTTCTGCGTGTTGCCTGCTGTGGCTTCTACTCTTATTGTTGTTGTTGTTGTGGCGACTGGGTCGCAGAAGCGCAAAGTATTTTTATGATTTTATGATTTTTTTTTATAAACAGCAACAGCAGCCGCACAACCATTCATGAATGTCTTTTAAATTGGATTTCCTTTCGATTGTCTGTATATAAGAGTCTGTTTCTGTATGCGTGTGTGTGTGTGTGCGTTTGTCCGTGCCCTTTACTTTCCAATTCGCAATGCTTTATTATGCGCCCATTGCCTATTACCTTTCTTTCTTTTTTATTTTCTTCATTTTTTTTCTCTCATTTTCGTTTTGTTTCGCTTGCCACGCTCGCCCAGCTTTTACGCAAATTAACAACAGTTTGTATGCTTATCTATGCATACTTGTATGTATGTATGTGTGCGTGTGTCCGTGCGTGCAATTTGTTTAGCCTTGAACTGCGCCAACGCCAACGTCAACGTCGACGTCGACGGCAGCTGCGCTGCTCTGCTCTGCGCAGCTTGTGCGTGGGTTGGTCACACGCTTAATTTATAGCTGTTGTTATTACTATTGTTGCCATTACTGTTGTTGTTGTTGTTGTTACTTTTTGACAACTATTTTTGGTGAATTTCCTGCTGCAGTTCACAAGCAAACATGTATTTTGAGATAAAGTTGTCCAGCTATATATGAGGTTTTGTGTTTTTGGTTTTTTTCTTTCAGCAAATTTCGTCGGAAATTTCAAGAGCGGAAATTAATATTAACAATTAGTTTAATAAAAAACCCCATTTTCCCACATTTATGCAGCTGTGCATTGTTATGCAAACATAACTCAAAGATGATACAATTCGACCCCTTTTGGGTAAATGAGGCTAAGCGTCGTTTTCTTCTCTTCAATTTCTTCTTCGAATTTTTTTACGTTTATGAGGCTGTTTTATTTAATTGATAACGAAAACACTTTCATCTTTTTTATGTTCAAGTAAAATATACAGCTTCTAAAATCTATTTAAATTATTTTAATATTTAAAAGCAATGGAAGTTATAGGGAAGTACTATTTGAAAACTGTAAACAGAGTTGGAAAAGTTACATACAGTTTTAAAGACTCCAAATCATTGTGAAATGTTTAAAGTAATTTTTAACACAACGAAATGTTTCTACTCTTTGCTTTAAAGTCATTCATTTTTTGGCTTAAGCTTAGAAAGCTTGCATCTTATATTTTTAGTACTGCCTTATCATTACTAAACAAACGCATATAAGAAACTTGAAAAAGTTTAAAGCTTAGGTCAGAAGGTATGCCTTACTTGGAGAAACTATCGCGGTCGGTGGCTCTCGAAAATCATATGGAAATAAATACCATTATTTCGCATTACGCATAAACAATAACTACAATTATTTTCTCTCTTTCTTTCTCTTTCCCCTACAAACCCTGGCCGCAATTTTATCTCAATTTTAGGTCGAGTTTCCGCAAAATTAGCCTTTCAGTTATTCAAAACAATGAAAAATAAATAGAGAAGATAGATTCATTCACAACATCTGAAAACTTAAACAATGTTTAACATTTTATTTTTGAATTTGAGTGCGAAAATCGCTGAAAAGCTTGAGGTACTGGCAATTTCGGGATATAGGCGGGAAAAATCCGAGCTCATTTCGGGTACAGGATATCGTAATGACCCGGCTTATAAATGAGATAGACCATCGGGTCTAAGCCTTCGGGGAAATCGTGGGTGTTGGCTGTGCTGCTGCCACCTCTGTCCAAATATTCGACGCGTACTCCGACGCGTAGAGCCTTGCACAAAGCAATGATGTGGATGTGGTCCGACTCTTTGTACATGGGTTCCACCTCCTGATGGCAGAACTCCTCGATTGTGTAGTTGCCCTCGATGAAATTTTGATAGAACTCGGCGTCCTCCTGCAGTTTTCCCGAGACGATAAGCCGTAGATAGACCACCACATAGTCCGAGTAGCCCTGTTCGTTCATTATTCTGTGCAGTTCGCTCTGCAGCTGTCCCGGTTCCTTTTCACCCGGCGAGGTGGGATTCAGACGCGTAATAACATCCATAAACGTTTCATGGAAGTCCTCCAATGTGAATCTCTGAAAACCCAGCTCGGCCAGCCTGTCCTTCGACGATTCGGCCAGTTTTCGGAACTCATGATAAGCGGCCTGATTTGTAATCAAATACTCGAGATAGGAGTACGCGAATGCTCGGAAAAAGCAGTTGCCGTCGGGACGAGTGCGTCGAATGTATTTATATTTCTTCAGCAGCCCCTCGATTTTTGCGATGAAGACCTCATCGCCCATATATTCGGTTTTCAAGCATATCAAGGCCTGCCTCTCACTTACCAACGGCGTCGAGTCGCAAACCTCTCTGGCTATGTTCTGCTGCTGTTTCAGGAATTCCTCATACTTCGAGTCCATGGTATCAGTATCGGTGTATAGTTTGTTTTGTGAAAAATCTGTACTAAATTTTTATATGTATGTATGTGGGATGCTGTTGTAGTTATCACAATTTTTTATTTTTTTATTTTTTTTTTATATTCTACATTGAGGATGCGAAAGTAATGTCTATGTACATTTGTTTTCGAAAACATTTGAAAAATGTGTAACAATTTAGAAAAGAAAAAATATTATCCAATTTTGGAAAACATTCAATACAGTGGCGTGAAAAAAATATGCAACCATTGAGTGTTGATCTGCCAAAAAAAGTTATTAGCAAAGCAAATGAATCCAAATTTTTTCTGTTAGTTCTCTCAATATATCTTAACAAATCCATGTACAAAACAAAACATAATCATGTAATGTATGAACTAAATTTTGCTCCTTTTAAAAATTTCTAACAGTGCTTATCAGAATTCAAAGACATTTTTTTTCTGTACTTTGTCCAAAGACTCTTATTTTTATCTACGCTTTTAATTCTATTTGGCATACTTTTGATTCGATTTTCTATAATTTCCTTTGGAATTGCGTTCCATTCTTGCTGAATTCACTGCCACAAATCCTGTTGGTTTGCTGGAACCGATTTGTGGATTCCCAATCCTCCCGCTGTATATAAAAAAGTTTAAAGTACTTTTCCATTCTGAAATCATTCTAGTAGCTGGAATAAGACATAGAACTAGAAAGCCTATTAATTAGAGTTGAGGGAAGAGTTCATGGGAAATTGGAGCACAACTGCGTGACTATATTGTGGTTGCTTTGCTGAAACGAGTAATGAAATCGTAAGAATGCCTATGATTCCCAATGCTCCCATTTAATGTGGTCGTCAGCTCACGTACATGCGTATATTTTGTTTCTCCAACTATTTAGAAGAAGCTGAATGGCATTTTAATAAGCGGGTGTCTGGAGAACTTTCTACTTCATTTGAATGCAAAACAAAAGCCAACTCACACACACACACACACACACACTCAGAAATCTGATGGAACTAAAAAGGCAGAAGGCGCAGACAACGTCGAGGCCGAATGAATTGATGAGCGCGCATTTTGATTTGCAATATTTTATGTCAAAGCAACAGCTGCGTAGGTGGGACACACGTTAAACAGACAAACACATACACATACATATATATACATACTTGTATATATATTAGTTACACGTTTACATGAGTCAGCAGCCAGCAACACACCCTAAGCAACAACAACACTATTTTACAGAGAATACAACCAAATAAATAAAGTCAACCCAGTTTTTGGCGCACTGCACTTTACTTGTAAGACGCTTGAAAAAACTAAAATGGAAAATCGCATTGATGCCACAGTCACGTCTAGAGACGTCTATACAAGTAGACCCTAGTTTAAAGTGCTGCACACTCAGCAAAAAAAATCACTGTTCTAAATCTTAATGGTAGACCACAAAGTGAAAAGCCTACTCAGTAGTTGCCTGATTCCAACACAAGTGGGGAGTCAGCTTAGTATTAGATCGTATAAGTAGAAGCACGCTATATACGTGTATATCGAACTGGAGTCTAGCTTGGCGTCTTAGATCGCCTCAGTTCGTATAGTATAGTATAGTAGTGATACGTCTTTATCATAAACAGTGAAAAATGAATAAACATTTATAATTGAACTAAAAATAATTATATAGTGGAACTAAATCGTCTTAATCGGCCGCTGTGAATTGGGGAATAGCTGGCAAAACAAATTCCCTCACCGATTCGTAATTTCTATAGGCTTTTATTCATTTATTTAAAAAGAACTCCTATGCGACGTAAAATCTACATATGAGCAGGCCTTTTAATACTTTAGTTTTTTCTTGAAGTTTAAGTTCTCTATTGTATTAATTTTGAAATAAATAAATAAATTAAATAAACTAAGTCCAGATCCATGAAGCCAGCGGCATAAGTAGTTGCAGAGTAGTGTGTTGGGAAAACGTTACACGCCGGCCACACATATACTCTAGATGCGTAATGGGCATTTTTTTCAAAGGTGCGGGAATTATTTGCGATTCTATATACATACTCGTACATATGTACGCTTCTATAGATCATTGGACCAGCTCCTGAAAGCGTTGTTTTTCTTATTTTTATTGTTGTTTATATTTTTTAATTTGAATTGAATTTTGTTAAAATTTAAGACATTTTTGATTAGACAGAAAGATAATGGTGGGGCCAAAAGCGTTTTTTTTTGCCAGCATTTGACTGCAGGCCTGGGGGGAAATACTCATCATTTGTTTGGGAAACTCGGTGGTTTTCCATTAGGTGTCGAGGCAAAACTATTCAGCATTAGCACGTCAATAGAGGCGTTAATGTAATTGCAGGGTGGGTGACAAACAGAATAATGATATTTAATATTGCGCGGGCTAATCAACTAATTGTAGCTCAAGAATATTTCATATTGATGTTAAAACATATGTTATTATAGTAGTAAACAGCTCTTAAAGTTTAATAATTTACGAATAATTGAAGCATATTACGATATAGTTGTTGGCAATAAAATTAGCATTACAATAAAGTTGAATACAATACATTCTTTTGATGCCTTCGGGCAACCATTCCTAGACGATCTCACAGATACCACAAAACTGAGGATCGTAAAGTAAAATAAACCAATAAATAAATATTAACTAAGTTCATTGACAACTCAGGGTCGTCGAAGGCGGATCAATAAAGCCAAAGACGATTTAATTGGCCTGCTTCTCCTAAATGTATTTAACCTACTTAGTTATCTAAGCTATATATTTACTATGTCGTGCCTTATGGCTACGATTTGTTGAAGCCGTCAATTGAAATATATTTAATAATGTTTCCTTCAGCTAATTGCTGAATTAGATTAATTAAATTAATTAGATTGGCTATACATTTCAATGGTAAATACATACTTACATATTTCACACAATGTCTTTGGTATTTTAAAAAATTCCTTCTGTTCATTATAAGTGCCTCTACTTGTATGTAAATTGTCTGTTCTATGCTTGCTTTATGGTTGACTCTATTATTTAATTACTTGTTCTAAGTTTATTTCACTTTTTTTAAGCATTTCAGTGGTTTTTGTATGTTATTTATGAATAGGTCTAGTTACCCTTTAATATCTACTTTATTTGTCTTTCCATTTTATTGAATAATCGACTCGAAGTGAGTCGGTTCTCTTTTTGTTTATATTCGGGCTAAGAATTATACGAATACCATAAATCCATTCACCTCTCCTTTTAGTCCCGCTAAAGACAATTTGATATTTCTCGTAAAATTTAAAAAATAAATGACAGCATCTATTACAGCTTTTCTATACAAGTAAATCTTTTAATGTAATATCAGCTTCAGATATCTCTATCTATGTTTCGTTAGTTTAGGCTCAATAATACTTTTAATCTATATATACTTGTAAATGAATAGAATTACATTTCTGTATGATAAATATAAACACAAATACTTTATAGGTAATTTGTAAAAATAAATTAAAAATTTGTTTAGATTTAATTAACTTGTGAAGAGTCTAACCGCTGGATTGTGCAAGAGATCTTCTCTTAAGCATCTATTTGTATAGTCAAGTGATGTTTACATCGAGATGCTGGCGACCGTACAATGTTTTGAAAATATTGCGTGACACATATATATCTCATTCGCCGGGAATACTGGACACAAGTTTCCAAATAGGAATGGAAATTCGAAAAATACAGCTAAAATACATGCCGCGTCTGCTTTTCATTTCTAATATCTTCCATATATTCTTGAGTTGAAATACTAACAATAAGGAATGCGCGTCATCCAAGGAGGTGGATTTAAGAAAAAAATCTATAATAAAAGGTGTAAGCTTTTTATTTTTTTGCCAAGTGTAGAATTAGGTTTGCCGTCCACATCAGAAAAGTTAAAAATCTAGTCACCACGCATTTTGTCAATGCCACGCCTTTTCAGTCCGAAAGTCTCTAAACCTAATGCCCATGTGTGCCTTTTTTTCGCTTGGCATGCAAAGCAATTCGTCGAAATTGTGCGCGCCAGAAACGTTGTAGAGGATGGAAAAAGATAGAGAGCCCCCTCCGCACAGAAAAGGGTCAAGTGGGGCGAGCAACGATTCTGATCTGTCGCGGCCGCTACTTTCCCTGGAACGCCAATTGGGTTTGCTATTGTATTTGTTGTATTTGTTGTATTTGTTGTTGCTGTTGCCGCTGAGGGTGAACAAGCGTTGTGTTATTAATTCGTCACGTTTGACTGACGAAGCTGATTGGCGTGCAACATCAGTGGTGGTTGGTTCGTTGGTTGTTTGGTTGTTTGGTTGGTGGCGGCATCGTTGACTGCTGCCGCTTGTCTGCTTAAAGGGAAATTAGTGAAAAGCTGTCACAGCTGCCGCTGTGGTTGCTGCCGCACGTGGTTGCCGCAACTGTTGCTGCTGCTGCTGCCGCTTCTAATGCCTCTCTTTATTATTTTTTTCTCACAATTGCAACTTTCGTTCGTTCGTTCGTTCATTCGTTTGTTCGCTCGTGGCTCGTTCATGCTGGCATGGGGGTCAGGCAGGCAGGCTGGCAGACAGGCATCCAAGCATCCAAACACTTAGGCAGCCATCCAATGAGCCATTCAGCCTGCCCGTCAGCTGCAACAGCGCCTGCGCCAGCCCCAGCGCCAGCAAGCCCGTGAAAGTGCAGTCACAGTTCAAAAGACTGAGGAGACGAACTCGTTTGCTGGCAAAACCACAGTGGTTGGCATTCAAATGAAACCAATTCCAAATTAAACCGAGAACTTCTGAAACATTTTCTATTTACGAATATAGAGCGCAGTTTCTTGAGACATGCGGGAATTAAAGCACTCTTTTTATTATTATTTTGATTTAAAAGTAATTAGAAAAGAAACGCACATTTCTAACAAGTGTCTCGTTCCTATTTATAGTTTTTAAATTATTAAGGTGACCCCTTTAATAATTTCGTAGGGCTACGATTTAATATCATATCTTAAGATCAAAGATAAAATAAAAAAAAACTGAGTTTATAGAAACTATTTATTTTGTGCACGTGTATATCGAAGTGTATTCGATCTAAGTCAATTGAACGATGCCGGAAAACAACCACAACTCAGGCGAGAGCGGCTTCTTTTTTCGTGCATTGTTCACAGAACGGTCGTCTTACGATCCAGAAAATGTATTTCATCAACATTTTCCTTAAGACCTCGGAAGATTGCGCCATAATCCATTTAATTCGAAATATTTCGACTTTGCAAATTATTACAAATCAGCCTTAGCTTTTCATTTAATATTCGTTTGAGCTCGACTCACTGTGCAGCGCACAATGACAAGTGTCATTGGTTTTTGGCATACCGAATAAGAAGAAGACGAAGAAGCGCCTACCTGGCGCATTTTGTTTGCATTGTGTGTGCAATTCATTTTATTTGCCAGCGTGATTATTGTTTTTTTTTCTCATTTCTCGCCATTGTCGCTGCTGTAGCTGCAGCGAAAGCGAATTTTTCGTGCAGCAGCAACAACAACGACAACAACAACCACAATAACGATAACAACAGCGACTGCAACTCACATTGTTTACGTCGCGGCCAAAAAAAAAAATGGAAAATGGAAAACAAATTGAAAAAGCAAAAAAATATCAAAGCCAAGGTAAAGCATCTGCCAATATAGCGTCGGCATCGGCGTCGGCGTCGGCGACGATAGCGAAATGAAAGTGTTTGTCAGCAAACACGTTTTGCGGAGGGGTGGGAGGGGTTGGACAGCAACAGGAGCTGAAAGATTGCGGCAAACATGTTTTAAAAACGTCCCATGTGTGTGAATTTCTGTTTTTTTTTTTTTTTTTTTAGTTTTAATGCATTTTCCTAATTAGATACATATGTACATGCACGAGTTTGTGCAAGAAAAGCGAAAACGACATTGCATGTTGTCCGTTGATGGCAAAAATATTGATAGCAACAACAGCAACAATGACAACAGCAGCAGGCAGCAACAACAATAACAAACAATGCAAAGTAAAAGTTGACGGACTTACGAGATAATAAGAATCGAAAATAAAAGTAACACACACACACACACATTTACACACATATGCATGTGTGTGTGTGTGAAGTGTATTTAAAAAGCATGCATGAAAAATACATAAATTGTGTCACAACAACAGCAACAGCAACGAAGAATCGTGCAGGTCGTCACCAACGCCACCATAAATGCCGCAGCACACACAAACAAAACGAAAAATAAATTCACAAAAAAAATGTATAAATAATAAGACGCTGTCGCAAAGGAAACAACACGGCAACTTTCTTTTGCTGCGACGCAGGCGTCGACGCTGAGACTGACGTCGACTTCACATGAATATGCATGGGGGCTGTTTGACTCTGTTAAGCTCTCTGTTGACAACACGCTGCCACTGTTATTGAATGTTGCTTCCCATGTTTTTTTTTTGAGTGCTTTTTTTTTGTTTCATTTCTTTAGCTGCGCTAAACTAGAGCAGCTTAGTCATCGGCAAAGAGTCGGCAAAATTGTTGGTGTTGTTGTTGTTGTTGTTGTTTTTGGTTAGGCTGTGGTCATTGGACGCTACTGGTTTTCTGGTCATATTGCCACCTAATGTCAAACAATTAGCACCTGTTGGCCGCTCATGTTGTCTTTATTACCATGTTTGTAAAGATGTGCCAGTTCTGAGTGCACGATTTTTGTTTTCTACTATTCCTTACATACTCATATGTTTCCATCATTTTGTTTGGCTTACAGATTAAAAAATCTCGCGATGTTGACAAAAGCACAATCATGGCCAATAGCAACAACAGCAACAGTACAGCCGATAACAAAAAGAGCAATAACAGTTGCAGCAATCGCAACAGCAACAGTAACAGCAGCTGCAAAGAGCACAAGCACAACAGTGGCGGCAACAGCAACAGCAACAATAACATTAACAGCAGTATGCAAGCAAATGGCAAAAACAATTGGAAGGTAAGTAAATACTAATTACATACTGTACTAAAATGTTGTGGTCAGACAAGCAAATGGTTTGCTGTTATTTTATTTGTATTTCAATGCAAGAGGGCTTGCAAGAATTGATTGACTTTTAAACATAGATGGTGTTCACCAGCTCTGTTAAGTTGATTGATGATCATTACAGCACACACACAAGCCAGTGGGCATCCCATTTGTTCATAGTGAGAAAAGATGCTGTAAGCATAAAACAAGATTTAATGGAACGAAAAATAAAGTTAAGCGTGGAAGAAATAGAAAGTACCAATGAAAGTCCCTTATACTTAGTTATAAAAATCGATGAGATGAACTCATTCAGAAGACGTTCTGAAGACAGTTTTGTCTTGCCTCCGTTTGTCATTCCTGCCATTATCTTATAGAAGCATTATTTAAAAATTACTTACAGTCTAACAATTCTGTAAGTTCTGTCAAACTTGTCGCGTATTATCGCCAAATATCCAGGCCGATTCGCAACATAATAGAAAAAAACAATATTTGTTCTGCTTGTTAGAAATCGAATGGAAAAAACATAGAGGTTTTTTCGTACTCTTGCGAGAATTGCGTATTTTTGCAGAAGCCATTGAATCTATTTTTATTAGTATTTATTTGATTAACTATCACGGAATGAAATAAACGGCAAACAAGTCACATCGATAAAATAGCCAATTATGAATATTTTTGTGGTATTTACTTGCGGTTTTCTCTGTTGCAGTTTTTGTTTTTATGGATTTTTTTGTGGCAGCATTTTTGTGGAAGTATTAGTACTTTGATTGGGCTAGTGAATATCAGTAGAGTTTTCTGCTACAGTCGATTGATTTGAAATGTTTTACTTTACTTTACATGCCTGAAAGCAACTTCATTACATGCTATAGTTATACTGGACACAAAATCGTCGAATAGACTTGCTTCAATAAAGCAATAATTCTATATTAAAACATAATTTTACTTTGCTGAACATGCCTGATTGTAGCTTAAATATATTATTATATATTTTTCTGCTACATCCAGCTGCTTTGGGATGATCTAGTTTCCTTCACAATCGGACATTGAAGATTAAATGAATTAATCGTGTGCAAAGCTATGGACAGACTAGGTACAAATTCATGAATGGGAATTCTATATTTAAACAAACAAACAAACATAATTTTCTGCTAAAATCAGCTGCTTTGGGATGCTCTACTCTGCTTCACAATTAGATGCTGTAGCGTAATTGAATGAGTGATTAATGCAAGTTCGTCAAATGTCACAATTATGCCGGGACTCCTAAAGTACTTATCATGAGTAGGAATTCTATATTTAAAAAATCATAGTGTTCTGCTACAACAAGCTGTTTTGGAAGTTAGCTTTCAGAGCCCACTTGTAAAATAATACAAATGAGTTGTTTGCATGTCTGACCGCGAGATTAATTGAATGTGTGTAAGCGATGCTTCGAAAGCATTTGCAATTAGATATGCTTATGCGGTAATTAAGGAAGCAAAAACCGATTGCGTGCCTGTGTGCGTGTGTGTGTGTGTTTGTGTGTGTGTGAGGTAATAAAATGTAATGAAGTAGCAAATTTTTGCACGTGCTTTTTGCAACGCACCAACGCACAACACACGTCGTACGCCGTACGCCACACGTACATTTGATACCGTTATGCGGCCGACTGACTCTTTGACTCCTCTCTGCCGTGAGTGACTGACTGAGCGTGTGCGTGCGTGCGTGCGTGAGGAGTGAATGCGTTGATTTGCTGGCCGGTAAAAGTTGCTGCAACAATTGCAACATGCAAATGGCGTTAATAGGTTTTTACAAAGCTCGTCAGCTCTGAGCGACACGGCCAATAAAACGTCGTCCACGTCTCATCTTCGTCGGCGTCATCTACGTTGATATTGTTGTTGTTGTTGATTATGAAATGAGGAAACCATTTGAGCTTACTATAGTTTTTAATTACATTTGCTGTGTTTGCTGCATGTAGATACATATGTATGTGTGTTTGTTGTTGTTGGGCATTTTGCTTCTACATTTCTTTAATTGTTGTTGTTATGTTACTTCTTGGTAGCATCACGCTTGCAGCATGTTGAAGAAAAGTGGGTCGCACGCTGGATAGCGACCTGTTTATACACATAAATATATGTGTGTATGGATGGATACCCGCCAGCTGCCAGTTTATTTCAATTTAGTTTACTTAAGCGGTCGGCGCGCGCGCGCAGGTTTTGCTTTAATTAATTTTCTAAAATGTGTGTTTATGTGGCGGCTGTATGTGTGTGCGTGTGTGTGTGCGTTCTGTTTTGTGGCTTTCGCGTGCTATTTCGCTCATTGAAATGCTCTACGGTTGCAACATAAAACCAACCACATACGAATACATACATATGTAACAATATTGGGGGTATTCCTGATTTCATGGTGATTGCGCTTTTTTAGCTATTCCCTACAAAATCTGGAATAATGTGATAATAATAATAATATTTATAGATCGAGTTGATGGCGTTATTCAAGTTAAATTATTTCTATTTAGGCTCTTCAGCTGAGAAGGCATCTATGCTTGTCGATTTATTAAGAAAATAAATTTATATTTTTCAAATTGAATTTTGTTGTTAAAAAGACATTTTTTAAAATGAGAAAACTAAAATTGAATTTAATTAAACTGATAACTATTTTCTGTACTATAAAACAGTATTTTGCAAAGCTCGTTTAATTACACTGCATAATTTGTTTGCAGAATTTCTTTGCACTTTATCCTTTCTTGTGAGGGCACTGTAGGTTAATATATGTATGTACATAGAAATGTAATTATGTTTGTGTAGGTGCAGTACATACCAGTTTTTAGAGTTCCTAAAGTAACCTTCAATGAACAGCTGTTCAACAAAATCAAGTCGTCGAGCCTTTGGTTTATGTATGTTTCTACTTTATTTTAAGCCACTTCCAAGATGCCGTTACATTAGCGTGTCCTCCTACCCAAATATTTTTCACTTTATGGGTAGCACTGTACTCGTACTTCGTAGCGTTGCCATTCTTGTAGATCCTTTTCGCGCCTGTGCAGTGCTGCCACACTGTCGCCACAAAAACTATTCAACCAGCTGCATTACACAACGTACGTAAATTTTTGATTAACGTTGGAGCCGTTAATTGACTTCAAATACTTTAACTTTTGTAAAGTTTCTGACAAATATTGCGAAGTTAGGTGCAAGGCACTTAACGACTAAATTTGGGTTTGTCCACATTGCAGTTGCCTGCATCGTTAATTATTAAAATTTAAAACAAATTGCTTGCTGCACACACATTGTAACGTAATTAATTCAACATTTTCGTTATGGGCCAAAAAGAAAAGAAAATAAATTTTAAGTGCTTCCTCAAGCTTATGCATTAACTTTTTTTTTGGATATATTTTTTTATGTTGCATCTGCAACTTTATGCGGTGGTCGTGTTACATGCAAACAGTTCGCGTTAATTTTTCTACATTGTTGCTGTTGTTTATGTATTTGTTGTTGTTCGTGTGGCATTTGCATGTGGCGCGGCGAAACTATGTAAAATTTAAAATTTCCAACATTTCAAGTGCATTGGCTGGCCAGAGCCGCTGCCGCAGCCACAGCCACAGTCACAGCTAATAAGTTGCTGCGTTGTTCCAACGGCTGATTTAACGGCATGATTTGCGCAAATTTAGCAGCGACGCCAACGCCGAAGTCGTAGTGGAAACACTTAAAGCGATTTTATGGTCATTGACCAATGGCTTGATTGGCTGCCCATCGCTGTCTTGTCACCAAACAAGTAACCATGAATGACACAAGTATTGAACATCGCCTCATTACCGTTACGAATTGTTGGCCAGAGTCGATTAATTGTTGTTTTTGTGCTTCTTTTACGTCTCTTTTCAGGGTATTGTACAAAGCAATCCAAATGGAGTGCGCGACTCAACGGGCAATGGCAATGGCAATGCGGCGGTGGCAGCATCGCCACCCAAAATTTTTCACAACACACGCTGTACGCGGCATCACAAACCACATCACACACACAATAACAATAACAACAACAACAGCTCTGAGCTGACTAGCAACACACAACAACAGATGCTACAGCATCTGAGTAGCAATGGAAATGGAAATGGCAGCAGTCATAACCACAGCCACAACCACACACATAGCCACACACACATGCCGCAGAGTCATCATCATGTCCATCATGGCAGCTCTGGAAACGTTGGTCTGCGACGCAAATCCGAATCGGTTCTATCCACAGACTCGGACATACGCTTTACACGTCGCAAGTTGGGCGATAGTCAGAAATGTGGCTGTGCTGTGATTGCTGGTTTCCTCATCGCTCTCCTTGTCGCCGGCGCCTTTGTCTATGTGGGCTGTAAGTCCATCGACATGAGTTGTAACGAAACGTCATAAACTTATATTACTTTCCAGACACCTATTTTCGTCCGGAGCCTTTGCCGGATCGTGTGTTTCGTGGCAAGTTTCTTGTGCTGAACGACAAGTGGAGCATGGATTTGGCCAATCAGAACTCGCTGCGTTTTCAGCACAAGGCGCGCGATTATAGGGAACGCATTAATCTCACCCTGCGTCGCTCCGATCTGCGTGATGCGTACGAAGGTAGCGAAATATTGGCGCTAGATGGGTGAGTCTAAGATGGAGTTGAAATTTGAGCTCATTATTATTACATATTTTGGTCCACTTTGTAGCAGCGACGATACCAACGACATTGTTGTCCACTTTAACATGATCTTTGACCCGTATGCGGGCTTAGTCTCCACAGGTGATTTGCTGGCGCTGTTTAATGAGGAAATGACGAATCCGCAGCGCCGTTACTTCGCCAACATGACAGTGGATGCGCAAAGCTTAACGATTAAAGAGACTACCGGCATTATTGAGGAGCCTGTGATGTCCTCATCGCCATTGGGTGGTCACGACGAGACCACAGAGCTAATAACCACCACACCACGACCGCCACGTCGCTGTGAGCCGCTCCAACTGAATTATTGCCGCAACGTCGGCTACAATGTGACTACCTACCCCAATTTACTAGGACATGCCAGCTACGAGGAAGTGGCAGCCGATGTCATTGTATTTCGTGAACTTGTCGATGGCGAATGCTTCCGGGAAGCATACGATTTCGTTTGCCGCTTGTTGCAACCGCCGTGTGATTCACACGGCAGCGGCTTGGAGCCCACACCGGGCTCTATCTGCCGCGAGTATTGTGAGGCCTTCATGCTTGGCTGTGGAGGCCGACTGCCGGCACGTTTCAAACAACATTTCGACTGCGAACGCTTTCCAGAGTCGACGGGAACGCAATCGTGCCAGCAGAAACCGCACTGCGTCAACGACATGCAGACCAATGTCCAGAGTCCACGTCTCTGCGATGGGTATGCGGACTGTCCGGATCTCTCGGATGAGCGCAGCTGCACCTTCTGTGCCTCTAACGCCATCTACTGTGGACGTGGCCGGGCGTGTGTGCCGCGCAAGGCACGCTGCGATGGCAAGGCCGATTGCCCGGATGGTTCCGATGAGAAGGACTGCTGTAAGTCAACTAATCAATTAAATTGCTGTGCCTTCAATCTTCAATCGCATTACCTTTCAGTGTCTATAGCGCCGCTGGCCGCGGATTTGTTGCAACCGGAGCCGTTGGTACCCTATTTGTCGCGCTTTTATGCCGAAGGCTTTGCGGTCTTCTCCGAAAAGGGCGTTGTGGGCAAGCTGTGCGCCGAAGGACTCGAAGGCGATTCCAAGCTAATTGTCCGGCAAACTGTCTCCGAATCACTCTGCAAGTCCTTGGGCTATGAGTAAGTTTCCACAACTCTTTTGCTTAAAATATATCGAATATATCGTATATTAAAGTTTTTAAATGTTTATTTGCTAGATCTTAATTGAAGATTTCATAGAAAAACACTTAACTTTAAATATATAATATTCTCATTGGAAAACATTCGAATAAAACATAAAAAATAATAAGCTATACCAACCTGTTGCTTGCAGATCTGTGGAAATATTCGATGTCCAGAACGATACCGAACACTTGGAGGATTATGTGCGCGTGTTGGATCCACACGCGCCCGAAATATCCTTTATCAGGACTCACTGTCCCAGGCGGCAGGTGTTGTATGTGGGATGTGGGGAGCTGCGATGTGGCGTCCAATCCGTGCTCTCTAACACTAAACAGCATTTGTCGCTGCCAAAGATGTCCTCGCCTGGAGACTGGCCATGGCTGGTGGCGCTCTTCCGGGAGGACATACATGTGTGCGATGGCACGCTGATATCGCGGGATTGGGTGCTGACCACGGAGAGTTGTTTTCAAGGACAACCACGGGCCACTTGGATGGCCATATTCGGATCGGTGCGTCTTTCGGCGAAGGCGCCATGGACCCAGCGTCGCCGCATCATTGGCATGATCAAGAGTCCTGTAGAGGGCTCTACGGCGGCGATGGTGCGCCTGGAGACGCCCGTCAACTTCTCCGATCATGTGCGTCCCATTTGTTTACCCGACGCACTTCACCGTCAGCAGCAACAAATCCAGAGACGCGCCTATGTGCCCGTTGCCGAGCGCCTCGAAGGCACCCAACGTCAGGCCATACGATCGGGCAACAATCAGCAGCGACGCCTCGCACAGGAGACCCAACAGTTCTTCCTCTTTCCCTCCCAAGAAACGGATGGCGACAGCAACAGTGCAGAACGCAGTGATGCCCAAGAGGAGCCCGCCCCTAGCTATGATTATTTAGTGCCAGAAGCCTCGCATATGCCGCGTGCCGAGGCACTCCATCAAGCGGAAGTGGAGACGGAGTCCGTGGAGGCAGATCTTTCCAAATTAAGCTCTGTCTATCCTTTGCCAGAACACGCTCCGCAGGTCAACTATTTTGATGCCTCCGCGGCGGCGGCGGGGGCAGCGGCCCGAGCTAACAAGGTAGTCAAAAGCACACAACCTCCCACTGCAGCGCCGGAACAGATTTGGATGAATTGCAACACACTCGGCTGGTCCAGGCAGCGCGATCATCTGCAACGCGTCCAACTCAAAATTGGAGACATGGCGCCGTGCGAGAACGTCTCCATAGCAACGGTCAACTCCATGTGTATGGAAGCCACCTACCAAAAATATGACTGCACGGTAAGTGATCGAGAAGTTATCCTACAAGAATTAAGTCTAGACGAATTATAAAGACAGTGATGGGGTTTTTAAAACTAGTTTTATTGCCCAGTGCTCTAAACTTAAACTTTTAAAAGATGGGTAAAAAGTTTGAATGTGGTTAACAGGTAGAAGTAGGCGTATAAGACCCAATATTACAGGTAAATACGGATGTATGTATGGACATACATAGGCATGTCCGTCTGTATGAACAGCGATACCTTTTGAATCATAAAACCTAGCGGCACTGAAATATCTACATAGGAGCATATGTTTATTACAAATCCATTAGAAAGATCGGGCCATAAGTCACTCGCTGTAGTACAAATTATTGAATATATTCTGATGGAGGAATCTTTCGCAAATAAATTAAAAAATTAAAACGTTTTTTTTGTAGTCTGCAATAATTGTATATAGTCTTTAAATTTAAAGTCGTAAGCAAAAATTGCCTGACAATTACGAAATTCGCAAACTTTCTTCCAAACAATTACTTGCATATAGAAATTTGTTCGTTTTTTTTTTACCACCTTGGTAACTTTTTTCGTCTTATATCTATATATAGATTGATTGCAAAATTGCTTTTTTGTATAATTATATGGTTGATTTATAGCACATACTATTGAGTCAGTATTTCCATATTAAATTCAATTCAAATTCTTAAATTATTTTGCGAAATTGAAAAACGAAGTGAAATCCATTTTAATAAATTAGTTCAAAATCGGAAACGAAAAAGACTTGTGTATAAGTTTTTTTTAATTATACATAAATAAATGTATGATATACTCCTATATATTAAATATTCTCTTTACATACATATATAAATATATACTAGACTATATTTGAATTCAATTGTTTAGCGACTAAAAATAGGAACTTCAGTTCAAAATCTCAATAATTCTGTGGGTGGATTCATCTTAATTCTAGTTATGTACAAAAAAAAAAAAAACAATTTGGTTTGCTCTGCTCGTGCATCTTAGATGCGTATGAAGCGATGGGAGCTGGAAGTGGTAGTCCTCATCAGGTCCAGAGATTCGCGCGGCTTTCTGTGTAACATGAGGCGAATACGCTTCGCTTGGGGTTCCTCATTATGTTGATTCTGTTGATGAGATCGACGTGCTTGGTCTTGGGCGGATCTTGACCTCGTCTGCTCCAATTGTTGGCATTGTCGCTCACAGAGTACTTTCGGGAACACTCCAAAGAACGCGTTCTGGCGATAAACAGGCACTGCCACATAGTCGAACTCCTCCTCCTCCTCGCCTACCGCTGACTGCTGCTGACCGTCAGCTTCGGCGGGCTGTTCGCGACGACGTTTGAGCAAAGGCAGCGTCGCTGTCTCGACATGTTCCGTAACCGCTCTTCGCAGCTTATTCCAATCCAGGCGCAAATAAAATACCATTTCGGGGCACGGAAAGAGCAGCAGAAAGCATTCGAAGAGCTTCGGTTCAAAAACGTATCCCTGGCCGTTGGTCAGCACCAATCCGCGACGCTGCTGTGTGGGAATGTTGAACCGGAAGCTGGCTGCGAAAGCGGGCAGGGAGAAAGAGGAAGAGGGGGGAGATAGAGTGTTAAGTCTCGTTTTGATCAATTGGCTTCTCACACAACTTACCTAGCGCCATAATCTCCATATAGCTTTGGCCGGCATCACAAATTATGAAATTCAGCTCGCCTTGATAGCTGATCTTTAGGCAGTTCTTTATAGCCGACATGATGAAATTGGCTAACAACACTATATGCACATATGTATATGTATATATGTATTATTTCACTTTTATCGCGTTAATATTCTCACTATCTGGTTTCCCGCTTGTGGGTTCCGCTCACCACCAAAGTCTGCGCTTCAATAAATACATTGCAGTGAAGCGGCATTTCTTTTATACACAAACAGTTACTCTCTCACGCACACACACGCACGCACTCACACACTCACTCTCTCACCCTCTCTCTCACTATCTTTCGTGGCTTGGGCGCACTGTGCGTGCAGCTGCACTCTACGAATCGAGGGTCCCAGGTAGAGCGCCAGCGCCAGCGCACGCACTCGCCTCGATCTATTGTTCTTCCCATTCACGCGGGATGTTTCTAGCATTTTCATACCCTGAACCCTCCAAAAAGGTAAAAAGGGTATATTCTCTGTGTGCAAACGAATGTAACAGACAGAAGGGGACATATTCGATCGTCCATTTGTGCGTCTGTCTGTATGATGAACGCAAAGATTTCGGACCCAAACTCCTCTTTTCTTGAATGCTGTCCACAATTCTACAGCTATTAGTATAATTATCAGCATTACAGCCTGGTTACGAAAGGCCTTCACATACATATATCTACTTCTGACAGTTCATTGTAGTTATCTTCCACAGCATCTATCCACCTCGCTGTCCCCTGCTTCTTCGACAGCCCAGTAGTTCCTTCTAGATCTATCTATCTTTATTTATGGGATTTGATAAAGCGTGTTATGCTCACAGATTTCATTAATGTTTCATGTACGTCGTTATAACATAGGCTTAATGTATTAAATTTCATTAATGTTTCAAGTTTGTCGTTATAATGTGTGTATGTGTGTCATGTGTATATATGTGTAATATCCTCTTAATAACAATATACATATATTTACATATGTATTTAATTTCTACATATTATATTGAACTGCATTCAGTCTTAGGGCCATATGTAAGTGTCGGCTTTCCAATTCTTCTATGTACATATGTATGTATGTATATACGAAATTTCAAAGCTACATTAATATAAAATTTTTTATATGTATGTATGTTTACGATACATTATATATATATGTATATATTTATTTTCAAATTTTATTCAAATACGTCGACCCTAAGAACATTTATTTAGCTAATTAATTTGTGAAAATACATTTAAACATGTTTATTTTGTAGGTATAGTGTATTTCCTCGTCGGGCTTGACTAGCCCTAACACTCTCTAGCGTGTGTGTGAGCGTGTGACAATAAACGCACGTGCGGGGGGAGAACGAGAGCATGAATGACTGTCCAGGCTGCCTCTGCCTCTACCGCTGCTGCAGCCGCCGCCTTTGTTAGCGTGGTTGTTGCTGTTTTTGTTTATTACTCATACATTTGTTGGTCGGGCCGAACGATTCAAAACAAACGCGTTGCTTCATGTCGCGTGTGCATTAGACTGTCTCATGACGTCACGGACTAGCACACAGGGTGTTCAAACAGGAGCCGTTTGTGCAGTTGTGTGCAAAAACTTGAATGTGGAATTCTGTCTAAAATTTCAAAAATATTCTCTATTTCATACTTATTTACTTTGTTACTTTTTCAGTATTTATATACATATATATGAAATTAGAGAAGTTTTTTTTACCCTAAAAAGAATAAACAAATTAAGGAAAAAGTACTATCTCAATGAAGCTATTTTTATAAATACTCAAGTGTTTACTAAGATACGATATATCAAAATTGAAGAATTTAACAAGTTTGGCAATTTTCAATATCAATGAAGAAATGACGCTATGATTTAAACCAGTTTAATATTACAAAATTTTGTAATGTGCACAATAAGAAACAAATGCAAAAATTTAAGTTAAAAAAATTTAGTTTCTTCGTTTGTGAATTCGACTATTTTTTTAATATCGATTTCGGTTCAAAGATGCTTTTCTACAATTTTAAAATTAAGTTTCATGAAGGAACAACAAACTTTTAACTTAGCTTTTAAGAAAAACAAAACAACAACCTAGATTCCTAATATTGAATTCAATTTATAGTCGATTACGTTTCGGAGATGATTTAAAACAAATGCTAATGTAGATACAAATCCAGCAATGATTAGAAAACGAAGGAAAATTTAGGTTTAGACGATGCTAAAACAAAACGTATTTATTAGTAGCTACTCGTATATTATTCATAGTACGTTTCTGAAAGTTATAATGGATTTGAAATAAGCTACGAAACTAGTGTTTCTGCTGGGTTAGACCTGCGACCAATAATTTGATTTCGATTTGAATATTCCACATGTCTTACTTTTTTTAATTGGAACTCATAATCATGCAATGCCATTTATCTATGGGAAGGAATAATACAAATTTGTTACCTTTTATTATTTACAGCAAGAGGAGTATTCGGGGGCGCCTGTGCAATGCCTCATACCTGGAACGAATCAGTGGGCACTCATTGGTGTCTCATCGTGGCGGATTGCCTGTGGCCCGACGGGTGTAGAAAGGCCGCGAATGTATGATAAGATCGCCTCAAATGCCGCCTGGATACGGGAGACGGTGAATGCGGTGTAGCTGCCGCGCCCTGCATTTTGTAAAACAAGAGCGTAATGATTTCAATAGGACGCTGGAGTATATATTTATTTGGATTCTGGTGTGGCAAACACTGTGTATTATGAATGTAAAAAGAAAGAACAACAAACAAGACACAACTTAAACATAACTAACTGCATACTACTCTATTAATTATTATTATTTTTTTTAAAAACTGTTTTGTGTAATATTTATTAACTATTTTAGTTGTATTCTAAACAAAAGTGAAAAGGACGAAAAGAGAATTAAATTTAGATTAATTTTAGTTGATGTAACTGTGTAATAATTTTGTTTGTAAAAAGCGAAGCGAGCCCATTGTTTTGTTGCAAATTGTATCGGTTGAATAAAATAATGAAAACATATATAATTCGCTGCTTTCGTTTAGGTGGCCACATGCATGGCCAGCCATTGCCCATTGTCCTGCCGACGATATTGTACCCGATCCGCAATTGCTCCAACTCCTGCTTTTAGGAAGTCCCAGCGCTCTGGTTGAAATTTGAATGCCGTGCTATGGAAAGGGAAAGATGAGTGTTGAGTTTGTAATAATCAATAAATGCACTTACTAGGTGTCTGGGCGCTCGAGTGGTCTACCGCTGCTTAAATGCTGTCTGAGGCATTCATCGTGCTTGGCTTTAAGCTCCTCATACTCAACCGGCTCGCCGCAGGGAAAGACCAAAGCACGTATGCGAGTGGCAAGCACCTCCTCAGACCAAAGGGCGTCCAATTCCGATTCAGCCAGCTCCGTAGCGGTGGCGCCCAAACCACGTACCTGCCAGACACACGGTTCAGCACCTTCGGCCGGTACCATCAGCTTTGGCCAATAGAATGTAAAGCACGCCTTTGGATTGGCCTTCAGGTTCTTATAATTGCGCGTGAAACGTTGTGTCACGTAAATAATGCCGTTATCATTGGACAAACCACGATATATCACCGTCCGATTGAGTACGCCGTATTCGTCATCAACTGTGGCCAAATTCATGGTTTGCGGCATTGTGGGATTTCTATGTTTCAGTAGTTTTTGAAGAAATTCCACAGGCTCTCTCGGAGAGTCATTAATCCTAGACACTTCAGACTCGGCCATGTCTGCGAATTATGTATTAATAATGAAATTGTGGTAATTCTGATTTTGAATTTAACGAGCGCTGCATAAAAATTGGCAGCACTGCGCCATTCACGCAACTCTGTACCGGCTGATTGCATCGATTATCGATAGCATGGCTGGCAAGCTTATCGACATAACAAATAGAATATAAAAAAAAAACACAGCCTCTATGGCGAATCTGTAGCCAACAAATACCATGCACATCCTGTGGTTGTAAGTGTAAGTGTAAGAGAAGGAAGTGGCGGGCAGACATGACGTCCATACTGGATATGAAATCCGGTCCGCCGGACTATTGGGCCGAAATAAGTAACTTCTTTTTGCCGCTTAAATATCTCATAACAAACGACCGCTTCGATGCGCTGGTTAAAGACATAGACTTATCTTACCTGATAAACGCTGTGTTTTGGATCTTCGTAACGTTATCCTTGGGCTTTTGCGGCTTTCACCGTATGTTCCACGTAAGTCAGAGTACAAGATTTGATATGCACCAGTAAATACAGATCTGACAGTGTTACGGGTACGGGCGATGCACTGCATTTGGGTGTGCATTAAAATTGTTTTTTGCATTTATAAATAGAATTGGGCCATCGGCTCTACGAATGGCAAAAACAAAACCACTGAGACATCGTGGGCGACTTCTGCTCCACCCAAGATAACATAAGTTATTGAGACCGAAGTTCATTGGTATTGCCGTGCCTATTGTATGTACATATATACAGATGTATGTCCATATCACATCCTCATACATATGTACGTATATATAATGCTGAACGTATGCATTAGAGCACTGCATGCATATGTACTCTTCTCCCATTATAATTAAATACACATACATATATACACGAGTGGAAAAGAGTGAGAGAAATTGCTATTGTTTGTCTTTCTCGTTTCTGTGGAAATGACAATTTCATCTGAAGCGTCCCGATTTATGATCACATACCTTTTTTTTATCTGCTTAAAGAAAACATTGCATTTGCTCAGTCTATTCATTTGCATTCTCACACATGCATTAATTTATTTAACAAGGAACTGACATGTTTGTCACAATTTTTCCATCCAATAAGATTCGAAACTTTAGAGAATATGAGTGTAAACAAATAACCCTTTTTGGAGCCTAGTAACTGAGATGAAAATAGGGACTTAAGCTATTCCTGCAAAGGATTCGTAACTTTTAACATTTAATTAGGCTCTTCTATTTTATTTGTTCCTTCAATTGAATTAGATTTAGAGTAGATTAATAAGTATTTCAAGTTTAAACCCCTTTTTTATACTCATTTGCCGCAAATTTACTTTTATACTAAAATTGTACATACATACATACATATGTATGTATGTATATAGTTTGTTTGTCAATTTGTGGAACACTGATAGCCTAAATTGACATTTATTCTATTCGTTCACTTTATCTGAAAAAAAAACACTCTTAAACTTGAAGTGCTTTCGAACAGTCGGGCAATTAAAGTCTTAAGCTGCGGTCAGACATGCAAAAAATTTGTGCACTAAAACCTAACAAGTACGTCTGCTTACAGCAGAGATCAGAATTGTTGTTGATTGAAGCATTATTATATTCATGACACACCTGTCTTAATCAATCGAATGCCTGTTTTTTCGAAATCACTTCGGCTGCGTTTTTAGAGTGGAATTTTCGTTCAAGAGTCATCTTTATTTGCGATCGGCGTGATGGAGAATGATTGATTGATGTGTAGAATGGACTGCGTCACCCTTTTGCCATGCATACTCCTAATATGTATCTATTTGTACATATATAGTGCAATTAGTTGAATATGCAGTCAATTATCGAATCATTTACAATTGACATTTAATTGCACTCTAGTCTCTTCACTTACAATTTTGTTTGTTTTTTTTGCAGTTTTTTCTCAAATCGTCGAATGTTAAATACTTTAAACGGAAACAGTTTGCGCGTCTGATTTGGAATATCGCCTTTTATGCCGCCTGCTCCCTGTTTCTACACTTCTATAACGAGTTCATGATCTTGCCACAGCTGATGAAGAATCAGGGACGCTATTCGCTGTTCCACTCGTCCGAGAATCTCATTTTCTACAGATCGCAGCAGTATGAGAAATTCGAATTCTATTCAATATTCATCATCACCTTCTACCTGCATGGCGCGATGCTGGACTTCAAGGAGGCAGATTTCCTAGAGGCTGCCTCCAAGGGCGTCTACCTGTTGGCGCTGCTGGCTATTGATGTTTACAAGTGCGTCTTAGTTTTTACAATATTAGTTGTACATATACCCAGTACCTAAGTCTAAGCAAATGTATGTCACAGGCACAAACATGTCCGTCTGCCCATCTGTACGACTGTATGAACGCCGAGAACTTTTTAACCATAGCAGCTAGGGACACCAAATTTAGTATGTAGAATTGTGTTATCCATACGCAGAGCAAGTTTATGACAGACAAAATATAAGCTCATTATTTTATATAGCTCCTGTAGGATCGATCGTTGCAAATACCATTTTGTTGTTGCTTATTTCGATATCGTAAGTTCAGTATAATTTATTATATGAGTTTCTTATAATCTCCAGTCTTATCAAAGTGGGGTAACAATATCATATAGCCTGGCATGGGAATGATTAGTACAGCTAGGGTGATTTTAGTTGTTTAGTTCTTTACAGTTCTATCCATTGTTTGATTCATTTGTTTTGCTTGCAGATATGAGAACTATTTTGTTGGCTTGAATCTGACGCTGGGCCTCTACTACATACTCACGGAGTGTCTGGCCTTGGTGGCTTTGCAGAACTCGAAACGGAATTGTCTGATCTATCAGATATTTTTAGGATTCCGTATAGCGGCCTGGTTGCATGTTTTCATCAACTTAATACCCTTTAAGTACTTTCTGCCGACGCTGTTTGCCAAAAACTTTAAGTTGCCACTGAATGTGGCCATATGGTTGTGGTATGGCTTATCCATTTGGAATTCCCCAGTGCTTCAATATTTTTATCATCAAATCTATCATACAACACCATCGGATTGTTCCGGCGAGGGGTCAGCAGCCAAGTAAGCAATCAATTGTCACACTCCAAATAAATGCTGTGCTTAAAGAATTTCTGCTGCTACATTTTAGGTGCATCCTGCTGAAGGACTCTAGCGAGTTTCGGCATTACAAAACGCTGAAGAAGGCCTACATGGAGGTGAAGTTGGCCCACGAACGTGCTACGGCCAGCTCCATGCCGGCCACTGAGTCGGCATCGGCAAAAACTTTTCAGGCCATCAAATGTAAATGCTCGAAGTTAGCGCTTCAGTTGCGTTTTTAATTGAAAATTTATGACCTATTGCAGGCGTCATGATGTTGAAGCGCAAACTGAAACGCATACGCGAGGGTCGTGGCGCCGAACCGGAGGATGAAACCGAGGAACTATCCGTTGACTGTTAAGACTAGCAATAACATGACAACTGAGCGGCACAAAATGTACACAAAACTAAAGAAAGAGAAGAGAAGAAAGAGAGCAAAAGGACATGAAACTATTACCTACCTGCCTGCCCCTTTTCTCGATGGCAAGACGCGACTTGCTGCAACACTGACTATAAAAGACAAAGTCTATGCTGGCTACGCTAGCTAATTACTAACTTTAACACTCTAGCACACATATTTATCTATATGCTATGTTTATGAGGAATCTAAAAAGTGGGCGTTATATGAGCATGTGGATTCATTGTGCTTTGAGAGCTCCGTTTCTATCCCAGTATTCTGCGCAGTTGAGCCCAAAGAGTGAAATATTTTCCAGTATAACACACACACACACACACACACACATACACATCTAAACACATGCACACCCACATCTATCCAAACAACAATGTACTGCTTAGTTAGGCACTAACCTCTATATCTGTAATACAATTCTTCTCACATACTTTTATCGTTTAGTTTAGAATACTTAATGCGCCTCAGCTGCGCTCACCTTAATAATGTTATTTATTCGCTGTGACTTATGACATATTTAAATATTGTAGTTCTTAGCTGAAACTGTTAATAGAATATACCAAAAATAAATAAACACCAATGAGCATTAAAAAATACACACTCGTTTTTTTTTGAATATTTTTCCTGCTTTATTGATATTTGAAAAGAATTTTCTATTTGAATTTTCGAATGGCTCTTCTCATTTTGTTTTATTATTTCGTTTCTTTTTTGTTTTTGTTTTCGTTTTCTTGTTATGCCATTATAGCTAACTTATTATTTGTTTTGTAAATAAGTAGTTTCTGTTGTTGTTTTTTATCGTTGCTTATTAGTTCTCCGCTTCGTTTTACATAGTTTCTGTTTTCGTTTGCCTTATTTATGTTTTAATGTTACTTTTCTTTGTTTGTGTGGCTCGCCTTGGCGCTTCGTTCTTATTTCATTTCTTAGCTTAAATTGTTTGGTTTTCTTGGGGGCTTTCGTTCATTGTTTTCTTTCGTTTATTATTATTATTTTTGTTCTTGTTGTTGTTGTCTGTTTTTGTTTTTGTTTTGTGTGTTAAAAATCCATGCTAGTTACTATGCATTCTTTTTGGCATATTTGCGCTGCATTTTTTTTTTAAATTTAATTACCATAATTCCAATTTGATTTATGTATTCAATGTACATATGTATGTGTGTGTGTCTGTATGTGTGGGTGTGTATGAAAGAAATCTTTTACGTACTTTTAGGTGCGACGAAACGCTTCTGAGGATTCGTGGCTAGAGAGATTATTATAGTTGAATGAAATTTTGTGCTTTTGTGTGTCTCTCTCTTTCTATCTGTTTTAGAGCCTTCCTCCTTTGTGCACATTTATGTTAAATGGTTGTGTGTGTGTGTGTGTGTGGGTGCTTGGAGACTAGACTGAATCGTTTTGTGCAATGGATTTTACAGAGTTAAGTATTTTGGTTTTCGTTCATATTAGAGTTAATTTTTTTGTGGCCCCTCCTGCTAGTGCTGTTGGCCAATTAGTGCGAGTGAAGGGCACCTTGGGGATAGCAGATAAATCATCTAGCAGTGTGATTAATTGGCACTATCGATCGAATGCTTCAAATATTACACTGCCAAAATTATTGCATGTTTTAAAATCTTTCAAGTATTCTCACAACATTTTACTAGTATATATCTCTATTCAGATATCAAGTGCATTAAGCTAATTCGATATTCGAGAAAAGGTTTGCTATTGTTTCAAACTGAATACTGAAGCTAAGGTTTCTATTTAATTCAATTTCAATTAGCAAGATGCAATTGTTTAGTATGTATGCACAACTGTTAAGCTTTTTATGTTCGAATCCATTGACAACTTAAAGATGGTCTTGAAGCATACTTTTAGGGGCAACTGATTTTTAAGTCATTTTACTTTCGCATGGACAATTGCTAGCAGCTATGCCACTGTCAGCTTGTGAAGGTACTTATAATAAAAGCGTTAAGAAAAAGAACAAAAGAATTTCAGTAGCGAAAAAAACAGTAATATTCTTTGCAGGCCAATTGACAATTGTATTAATAATCTCAAACGTGGATAAATTGTGCAATTATTGGCAAAATCTCTGCTGCAGTTTAAAACTGAAAACTAGAAGTCATCATGAAATGGTCGGGGTTTTCAATATTTATTTTATTAATTTTAAAATAGCAACGATTAATTGCTTAGTGGCATGAAGTATTAAAAGTTAGTCGATTTAAAAATCGATTCGGAAGCAGAAATAGAGTCTAAGTCAAAAGCAAGTAACATATGGCTCTGTTGGCGAAATAAAGATAACTTTTTAACGATCGATGTGTGATACTGTTGATCGATTTTGAAGTAATCTTCGAATGTTCTAAAAAATTTCATTTCTAGTTTGAAAAACGGGCATTTAAAACATTTCAGATTTGTTGGCGACTTCAAAAATATATGATCAAATCGATCGATTTAACGGTTAAGCCATTTTCTTTTCATTGTAAAGAGGAAAACAAAAAATTAATTTGAAGCTTTAGGCTGCTCTGTTGGACTTCTCGCGATAGATTTAAATTAAATTTTCTACTGAAAAAACGACGTTTCATGCTTCATTTTTTTGCAAGAAAGAATAAAATGCGCTTCAAATCATTTAAGCCAAAGGCGGCATTTAAATTTGTAAGGAAACCAAAAGTAATTGCCTATAACGATCTAGTTTTTCGGTCTAATTGATCCCATAACAGCCATATGATATAGTCAGCCGATTGTTAATAAACTCTAACCAATTGCTTAGGATAGCTAAATAAAAAAACAGTACACCACTCTACTATATGGCTATAACATACATATACATATAAGTACATATATATATATATATAGTATATATAGTATTTATAAATTAGTCTCGTCGTGCTCGTCTAGGGTATATACATTAGAATTAAAATTTTTAAGTGAAACTTTTACTGTTTTGCAGACTACAACAACACAATGGAAGCATCGAATATTGATTGTGAAGATTTGCAAAAACATGAAAGCCATAAATATATATATTTCTATGATTCGACCAAAGTGCCAAAAGGGATTCACACTGCGTATGTTTCTGCTGCTCTCCAAGGAGATAGCCTGCATGACCTTAAAAATTTGACAAAAAAAAAATTACTTTACCTACAATTATATAGTTGCGATTTCTTATGTTTTTCCCTTTCAGTTAAACTTAGTTTTGTAAATCGTATAATTTAGTTTGCAGTTGTTTTCTTTTTTTCTTTTTCACTTTCTTTTATAGTTAATTTCAATATTTTCAATTACCCAATAATGTGTTATTATTGTTGCTTATAAATTAATTCAATTTGTTTTTTGTTTGTCTTAAATTGTTATGCATTGTTTTTAGTTTTGTTTTTGTTTTCCTTTTAAACAATTTCACTAAGTTTTTTGTTTGTTAACAATTTGCTGTGCTGCTGAATTCCACTTAGACATTTACTAATTGTTTGGTTTTCGTTCTCTGTCTCGTAATTGTAAATTAAATGTAGTGTTTTATTTTAAATTAATGTTAATGTTAGTTTCATTTTGTTCGCTATTCGTCAGCTTACAGTTGGTTTTCACTTTTAAAGGTACGGGCTAAAAAAGTTCCTTTTTTGTAAATTTCATTATTAATATTCAATATTCTTATACAAATTGTGGCTCCCCCTTTTATTCTCCTTCCGTCCCCCTTTTCGATGATAACACATATAATTACGTACATATATATATATCTCTAAATAGAATGTTATGTGCCAACGAGATTACTTCGAGCTGATTCGATTGATGGCTACGTTTTCGACAGAGGTTCAAATATTTAGTCACTATTTCATGTTCTTGTTGTTGTGGATGATCCTGTAGTGTTGTTTTGTTTAGACATTGCTGCCTCTGTTCGAACACCCGTCCGCCCCTTCACCAGGCCGGCGGCTTGTCTGCCTTTCTGTCTGTAAAAAATATTTCAAAATTTTTACATTTAGCCTTGTGGCCGGGCCTGGGCCTTTTTTTTGGCATAGTTTATGTTGTTGTTGTTGTCGCCGTCAATCTCTCAATTTTCCAATTTCCCAATTTCAGAATTTCTCCATTTTTCAATTTGGCTGCAGTTTCTATTTAACTTTATATAAATATTCGTTTTCATTTACTCTTTGTTACGAGCATGTTGTCTGTTATGACTAGTGATATATGTATGTATATATATATATACATATATGCGCTCCCATTTTTTGGCCACACACGCACACCAACACACACCCACACAAATACACACACACACATACACATACACGCGCACATAGACGCACAAGTTGCTTTTACATGAAGCATACAATTTGTTGCCAATTTGCTTTTGAAAATTCAGATTCGCACAACAAGGCCTGCCGCCTTTCAAAAAATCTTTGCCAGATCCATAGAGAAGTGCATATGTACAAGTTATATTTGAAGAAAATATATTTTTGGCTGGCTTAGCTGAAGTTGACAGATAATAAAAAAGAAATGGCATTTCACATTTTCTATTGCGTTTTCAATGCCTCAAAGCAATATCCTTTTGTTGCTGCTATGTGCAAAAGCTAAGCGATATAAAACTTCTGTTGAAAAAGATTGCAAAAATACTGGAATCGATTAACTGTTGTGGCAACTGTACTTTCGAGTTTCTGACCAACCTTAAGCAGCCCATACATTTCATATAAAGGGGACTTTTGTGGTTCTTTCTTTGGAAATTTGAAAGCCATACTCGAAGTCATAATGCTTCTACCGATATGGTTTCTTGTGTTAATAGACCGTTAGAGACTTTCAGAGGCGTGCCCAAAAATAATACTTCTTAGCCCGTTGAAAGTTACTTCCTACTTTTAAATGATTTAATTATCATACTCGTAGAGGGAAAATTCTATTGAAAGTTGGTGAGAAATATCATCTGAATACTAAATCCAAAAACGATTGTTCAAAGCGTGATGTTAAATAGTTCCTAGTCGGTCTGCAGAAAGGTGAGCAATTAGACGACCAAAAATATCCCGAGAAGTCACAAATAATCAACCAAGGAGAGTCCTACGGACTGCTAATGATGTAGAGCCTGTTTAGAATGGCAATTCAGTCAATTAAGTGCCCACAGTAAGAAGGGAAAGTAGTTCCGAGTCTATTAAGAAGACTTAAAAGCCCAGGGAAGTCTACAGAACACCTAGGACAGTCCTGCTAACAATATAAGATTTAAAGGGAGAGAGAGCATTTGTTTTGGAGCGACTCAATATAATAAGAATATTGTATACTGCAGAGACTGAATGAATGAGGAGCACACAGGCATATTAAAACAATAGCCTCACAAGCTGCTGTATTTTTTTATAGAGCTATGTTTCTTACCAAAATTTGGTTATTGAAGTCTGCAGGTGGCTCTGTTTTGAGCTCTGGAGATGTTATTAATATTAAAAATACACTCATTCGGCTCTGATGTTTATTTTCAAGTAAGGCTTGTTCTAAAATTAGCTAATTTGTTGGCAAAAAATGTGTTAAAATTAATAATCCAAGTGCAAAGCAAATGTAAAAGAGGGGAATGTTGAAATTTAGACAAAATTTGACGATGCCTTCAACACGATTGATAATTTTTGCTTTGTTTGCCAAGCAATTGGCATATTAGTTTGGTTTGGTTTAGCTTAGC